CCCTCTCATGTGGTCTTCCCCTACCTGCAAACAGACCTGAACCAGAACCCTCCTCCAAAGAAACCTTTCTTTTCAATTCTTTGGACATAAGGGCATCTTTCACATCATTAACAGAAATTGTAGTTCTACCATATAGCATAGTATCTACAAAATTCTCATATGAACCAGGTAGTGAACACAATAAAATTAGGGCTTGGTCTTCATCATCTACTTTAACCTCAACTCCTTGAAGATCAAGAATGATACGGTTAAAGGTATCAAGATGATCCTTTACCTGAGTACTTTCGGACATCCGAAGGGTGTAAAGACGTTGCTTCTGATATAGCCTGTTCGTGAGGGAGTTGTTTTGGTACTTCTCACACAGTTTATTCCATAACCCAAAAGCCGTTGTCTGATCTACAACCTCCCGTAACACCTCATCAGTAACTGACAGCAAGATCGCGGAATGAGCCCTTGCCAAAATCTCCTTATTTACCTCCTCCTTCGTGTCTTTAGGAAACTTGTCTTCTCCCTCCAACGCAGCCGCACATCCTTGTTGAACCAGAAGTGCCCTCATCTTGACCTTCCAGAGCGTGAAGTCATTCGACCCATTAAACTTCTCCAGATCAAACTTATACGAGGACATCTTCAATCAATGAGATATGGCTCTGATACCACTTGTTATGAGAAAACGAGAAAGAAAGCAAATAAAGAACACAGAGGTTTTACGTGGTTCGGTGACGGTGTGTCAACCTACGTCCACGGGCAGGAACCGGAGAGATTTTATTATACTGATTCAGAGATTTACAATATGTCATCCGACTAAGAACCATAGTTGTCTATTTATAAGCACCCCAAAACACCCTAAACCGTAAGCCTATTTGTTATCGATTAGGATAAGCCCAAAAGGAACCCTGCCAATTGAAACAGCCATTTCGCTTTGGTTTAGGGTCGGGTAGACCGCTAAATCCAAGTCACGTTTCAACAAGATTCATATACGTTGTCTTTACAACCTCACTTGTTTCATTAAGTTGAAATTCAACAAAATAACTCTAAACATTGATAATTATTTTTTGAATTTAAAAATCATTGTAATAAGTCTTATTCTCTTATTATCTTGTGTATTAGTCTAAGGGCGTGTTTGACAATTAGTTGATTCAATTAGCTGATTCAATTAGCTGGTTTGACTAGCTGATTCGATTAGTTGTTTGTATTAAAATGTTTGGTAAAACAACTGTTTGACATTAGTTGTTTATACGTAAAATGACAATTGAGGACATTTCTATTTTATTCTTGTTTTTAATATATTCAATTATGTTTTTTTGGGTTTAGAATGTTAAAAAATTTTTGTTATTAGTTATTGAAAATTGTAAAAGTGTTATAAAAATATTTATTTTTATTACAGTTAGATTTAAAAAATAATATATTTTTATGAAAATATATAAATAGTTTTTTTTTATTGAAAATGATGTAAAATATAAAATAATAAATTTTTCGTGTATATATTTATTATGTTAGTTATCGATTAGTTCATTATATTTATAATTTTCAATAAATTTAATTTATTTAATTTATTTTTAGTATAAAATCTATATAATATAATTTTAATAAAAAAATAAATTATTAATATTTATATTTTTTATTTATGTTGATTTTAATAAATTTATATATTTTACAATTAAAATAATTTTTATATAAAAATTAATTATTTTAAATTTATAAAAGTAAAACTATAATATAATAAAATATTCTAATATAATTAATAAATAATCAAAATATATTTATTTGTGTAAAATGTATAATAAATTTTTAAGGGCATATAAGGAATAAAATTTTTTTACAGAAAAAGCTATTTCAAAATGCTGGGTAAGTTAGCTTTTCAGAAATTAGCTTTTTGGGTCCAAAAAGCTATTCCAAAAAGCTAAACTACCAAACACCTCAATTAGTTTTTTGACTGGTCAAACAGCTAAAAGCTGTTCAATAAACTAAAAGTTCTTCAAAAAACTATTTGCCAAACACCCCTAAGTATATGACATTTTTAATTCAGAGAAATCAAATTATAAATCAAACTTTCTAAATCTTCAAATATATTATTTTGTAGAACAACTGTCATACACTTTGAATCACAATCATATTATATTGTATCTGACTTTCGTATAATGTTACCATCCCGGTACAGTAAAATATCAATATTGATCTGGCCACTACTCGTTGTTTATTTATGTAAGAATATATATATATATATTAAATGTCATTAAATAAATACTAATAAGAATAAAAATAATAGTATGAAAATAAGCAATATATAAAAATATTATTATAAGAAATACACATAAATACATTATACATATAAACAATATATCATAAAAAAATACCATAAATATAAATTTATAAATAATACCGAAACAAACTACTAAGATGTTATAAAATACAAATATATACACAAATACTAAACAACTAATTTATTAAAAACAATGTCAAAATAAATATGGTATCAAGATAATTTGAAATCAAACAACAATATACAATATAAAACAAAATATTGTATAAAAATTATAAAATATTTAAGTCAAAAAAATATTACCCGGAAGTTGGACCTTTTGAAAAGAAATTTTGCTTCAGAAACGAATACACCATACACACAATTTGGAATATAACAAAATCGTTTATGATTGTTTAAATTAAAATTAAAAGTATAGGAAAAATAAGTTAAATTATACTGGCAATCAAGATACTCCTCCAAAGTATTTTCATATATTTTTTAAAAAATGAAGCGATAATAAGTGATAGTTTTGGAAAAATAAAAATAATTTTATTGTATAGTAATTATTTTATTTTATTTTATTAAATTATTGACTTTTTTATAAGTGATGCATTAATATTTATATATTGTACTCCTTCCGTCCACGGATAAAATATACATTTACTTTTGACACCATGTTTAAGAAATAATAGTATTTTAATTATAATGAGTAGTTAAAAATAGTGTAATGATATTTTTACTTTTATTTTTTGGTATAAAAATAATGTTGTGATGTAAAGTAAAGATATTTGTGGAAAAAAAATAAAGTATTTAATGAAATATTTACTTTGTAATTGGACGTTCCAAAATAGAAATGTGTATACTTTTTAGCTGGATAGAGAGAGTATTTTTTTTTTATAATATTACAAAAATTGTGCCCAAAAAATCGATTAGGTAAACAAATTGTGACAATTTAATAATAAAAATTGTGAAAAGATATTGTAAATAGAACAATTGTTTAAGGGTGTGTTATTCTGATTTTTTTTTTAAAAAAATAAATATTATTTTAGTTTTGTATAGTAAAAGAAAAAATTGAACGACCATATTAAAAACAAAGAGTATAAGATTTCTAAATGAGATAAATTCGTAATTGCAAAATGTTCTGATCGGATCAAATTGATATTTACAATTGGACCAAATTAAATTTTCATGATTTTTTATTTTTATTTTTTTAAAAAAGCATTTAAATTGTATTCGGTTAATGTATACACCCATAATATCTCTAGCTGAGTCATAATGTTACAAAGTGAGCCATTATGGGGTGTCTTTGTTTTGTAAAATTGTTGAAAAAATATATAATTTTTTATGTGAGTTACCGAGAATTAAAAAAAATATAAAAATAATAAATTTAAAAAAAACTTGTGAAAAAAAGTATTGAAACAACAAAACTATGATATCAAAATTACTGGTTATGAAGTTTTTACACTTAAAGACCAATATATATAAGATCTATTTATTATTTTAAAATGATATTCCATTTGCCCCAGGTAATATGGGAATACTACTGTAAATACAAGAATTTAGGTAAAGTATAATTATTAAGTAATTAAGAAGTGCATTAGTAAAAGTAATTATTGTATAGTAAAAATAATTATATTTTAAGATTAATATAACTAAATAATTTAATTAAGATTTTAAAAATTATAAAATATAAAAATTTAAATTGTGATTAAAATGTATAATTATTTTTTTTAAAAAAATAACAAATTATATGAGGCCGACGAAAATAAAAAAAAATATGGATAAATTACATGGGACTAAAGAAGTAATAAATTAGATACTAAACTAAAACCACTTTATCCCCTAAGATATATATTAAGATTTAAGGGTGTGTTTCTCCAACCCTAAATTTGGGGTTGTCCACCATTCCGCCGACGTTGTGCATGTATATATATATATATTTTAAAAAATTAAAATATAATTTAATATTTATTATAATTAAATGAAAAAAATATATAAAATATATATGTCATTTTGTAAATAATAAAATTTTTTAAAATACAAATAAATAAAAATTTAAATATATATATTGGGGATAATATAAATTTATAATTAAATCATACAATATAAATTTTATCAATTAAATCAAATACACATTTATATTATTCTATTCATTATCCATCGAATCAATATACATCAAAACTCCCAAAATCCCAACCAAATCCAAACAAAAAAGAAGCAACAAAAATTCAAACTCATCGCAAAATTCAAATAAAAACTAAATCCAAACCAAACTTTCCCCAAACTCCCTTAAAAACACACCATAAGTACTATATACTTATTGATCCATATAAAATAAATATTAATACTCTCCCTTGTCTCTTTATCAATTTAATATTATATTAAAATATAATAGAAATAAAATATAAAAAATTAAAATAATTTTATTAAATATTATGCAATATAAAAATAATAATATTTATATTATATTTTATAAATTATAAAAATATTTTTAATATTAAATAAAAGATCGCTAAAAGAAAAAAATAAATACTTATTCAAGTACAAAGTGAAGGAGTAAATTTTTTTCAAAGAAAAATACTAAATTGAGTGTACAATCCGTTAACCAATAGCATCCCTGGCGCACAAATTAATAAAAAACAAAAAATGCTGAGATAAATCTAACCGATGGGGGCCCACATGAGCGAATTCAAATTATATAGCCGTTTAGCTAGCTACAGCTCTACAACCCTACATTATTATCATTCTACTTTCTTCTTGCTTTCCTTAATCTCTCTCTCTCTCTCTCTCTCTCTCTCTCTCTCTCTACAATTCAAAATTCCACAGCGCCATCTGATATCAATTCTCATCTCATCTCACCACACTTGTTCAAATTCCTTCTTTAACTCTGCACTCTACTTCGAGATACAGAGACAGAGGGCGCAATGTCAAACTAGATTCATTCAAGAAGAGAGTGAAGAATCAACCAAGCCTTGAAATTTAAAGAATACAGTACAAGAAGAAGAAGGTTAGAGTTCATGTTTTGGTTCAAGATTTTTGTCGCAGATTCGTAGTTTAATTCCATCCGAAGAGAAGATTTCAAGATCTCGCGTTGCCGGAGTTCTTCTCCTCGACAGGTGGGGCTTTATTACCAATTTCTTCAAGAAATCGAGAAACCTTCATTTCGACATTGTATTTTTCAACTCATCTATCTCGCTGTTTCACTTCCTTTTCAAAATTATCGACGACTGTCCTTTCTCTCAAAGCTCAGGATGTTGAGGGATTTCAAATTCCTGCGACGCAATTCCGGGAAGAGCAGCAATGCGGAGGAGGCGGAGAACGTGCCGATAAACCCTAGCGATTCTTCGACTCCCTACATAGCCACAGATCCCTCCCGCCCCCCCTTGAATGCAATTCAAGAGCCGTCTCGAATCCCTAGAGCAATTCCAGAACCTTCCAAGAAAGTAGATCCAGCTCCTCTTGTTAAGCCCAAGCGGAAGTACTCAGATACTTCGATGGGGCTCCGAACTCCGGAGAAGCAAGGAATTTCGAAAAACCGATTCAGTTGGGGTCACAGGACTGAGTATCCGCCGGCTAATGCTGCTGCTGCGGATGCCAAGGAGGAAGGAAGAGTAGCTTCAGTCACCAACACTCCAACTTCCAACAGAATGGGGAGCAGAGCTAATCAGGCTTATTCTGAGTGCAATTCGACGCAAAGCACGCCGTCGAAGAGTGTAAACAAGCCCCCGAATCCAGGACTTTGTTTAGCTAGTGGTTCCAGAACTGTTCCCAGTGGAGGTGGTTCTCGGATGCCTAACTATGCCGCACTCTCTAAAGGAGCTTCCAGCTCTGGTAATCCCTCCATTGTTGTCAATACTGTTGAGGTTCCGTATTTCGAACTCAAGGAAGATCCATCGTTCTGGTTAGAACACAATGTGCAAGTAAGCTATTATTGTTGTCATTGTGTGTGAACTGTGTTTGCAACCTCCCTTGGTTCATAACAAATAGAAGCTAATAATTTAACTCTATATTTCAGGTCTTGATTCGAATTCGACCTCTGAATAACATGGAGAAAAGCAGTTTTGGATATAATAGGTGCTTGAAGCAGGAGAGTCCACACAGTCTCACTTGGATTGGGCATCCGGAGACCCGGTTTATGTTTGATCATGTAGCGTGTGAAGCTATAGACCAGGTTGGTTAACATACATTTGTAATGGCTGATTTCGTAATGAGACGAAGAGATTGACTATTGCTTTGGTGTTTTCAGGATACACTTTTTAGGATGGTTGGTTTGCCCATGGTGGAGAATTGCTTGTCTGGATATAATAGCTGTATGTTTGCCTATGGTCAGGTAATAAATAAAACTTACGCGACCTTAAATGTGCTTGTATTATTATGCATTATATATATATATTTTCGATCTAGTGTTTTGCATACTAAGATTTGATTGATAATTAGACCGGTAGTGGGAAGACATACACAATGCTTGGTGAGATTGAAGAGCTGGAAGTGAAACCCAGTTCGAATCGTGGGATGACCCCTCGCATATTTGAGTTCTTGTTTGCAAGGATTAGAGCGGTAACTTTGCTTCTCTTTGCTTCCATACACACTGTTTTTTGATACACATAATTAGCCTGTCACTGTCTCTTCCAGGAAGAGGAAAGCCGAAGAGATGAGCGGCTGAAGTACTATTGCAAATGCTCTTTTCTGGAGATCTATAACGAACAAATTACTGATCTTCTTGAACCTTCAGCCACAAATTTGATGGTAAAGCACACTCTTAGATACTTCTCAATACTCCAGCATCGCTGCATTCTCTCATAAGATTTTGTTTCTAATACCAGTTGCGGGAGGACATGCAAAAGGGTGTGTATGTTGAAGATCTGTCAGAATTCGAGGTTCACTCAGTGGGGGATATTGTCCAGCTCCTAACTCAGGTAAAATACGCTCGAGATTTTCTTTTTATGGCTTACAAAATCTTCAAGTATGCATGTCACTAAGTAGTATTATATACTTTGGTTTGCGCTACAGGGTTCCTCGAATAGGAAAGTTGCTGCAACAAATATGAACAGAGAAAGCAGCCGTTCGCACAGCGTTTTTACATGTGTAATCGAAAGTAGGTGGGAGAAGGATTCCACCACTAACTTCCGCTTTGCCAGGCTCAACCTTGTTGACCTTGCTGGCTCTGAAAGGTGCCTGATCGTACATGTAAAATTGGCCTCTGATAAAATGATTCACATTCTTATTTAACTGCATCATCCCTATCATCCAACAGGCAAAAAACTTCGGGTGCTGAGGGGGAACGCCTGAAAGAAGCTGCAAATATTAATAAATCTTTGTCGACTCTAGGGTACTAAGCTCACCATACATTTCTACTATTTCTTTCTTTTCCTCTTCGCTTGTGGGAGTTAACATTTCCTCATTCTTTTTGCAGCCATGTAATCATGGTCTTGGTGGATGTAGCAAATGGAAAACCAAGGCATGTTCCTTACAGAGATTCAAGGCTGACATTTCTGCTTCAGGTGCATCATTAATTTGTGCTTCATCTATTATCCAAAGTGCTTTCCATTGTCTGCTGTGTTGTTATTTGATAATGAAATGAAATACAGGATTCTCTGGGTGGAAACTCGAAGACAGTGATAGTAGCTAACATCAGCCCATCTATCTGGTATGTAATATTTTCATGTTTGAACTGTCTTTTTTGTTCTTATCTGTTGGAAAAGCATTGGATTAAGAGAGCATGTCTTTGCTTTCATTTACTGTGTCTTTGGTGTACAGTTCTGCAGCAGAAACATTGAACACTTTGAAGTTTGCTCAACGTGCGAAACTGATTCAGAACAATGTGAGCTCATTTGTTTTCTCACTGAAAGTTTAGTCAGTTAGCCATTATAAATCCATTGTTCTTCATGATCTGTTTAATGAGTTATTATGCATTTTTAGGCTGTCATTAATGAAGATTCTTCTGGAGATATTGTTGCATTAAAACGTCAGATACAACTGTTGAAGGTCTGGATTAGCTCCGTATGGTTTTAACTTTAATAACTTGTCTTCATTTTTGAAGCAAATATGCGATGTTGGTTGTGGCAGGAGGAGCTTTCTGCCATCAAACGAGAAAAGGTATTCCGATCACTGTCATTTGAACGACCTGCGATTACAGACACAAGAAACAAAGGCTTTGACGATTGCAATGAAAGAACATTTGAAGAGGATCAACCCCTTGTGTTTGGAAAAGAACATCATGGAGTTGTCAGAGTGTCCAGTAAACAGGTAATGAACGGTGCTCTATGTTTTTTAACATCCCTTTTGGTAGAACAATGCTTGTCCTTTTCAGAATGTTGAACATGTAAAGCACTAAATATTAGTTGAAGGATTTTTGTTGCATTTTTGTTGTATTTTTCTTTTTTATTCCAGTTAAAGTCATTGGAAACAACCGTTGCTGGCTCCTTGCGGAGAGAGCAGATGGCAGAATCTACAATTAAACAACTTGAAGCTGAAATTGAGCACTTGAATCGTCTGGTATTCTTTATCCTTGTTCCATCTGTTTTTTTCTATTTTAAATAATAATAGTAAAAAAAATGAGCATTTCAAGAATCTGTGTTTTCTAACTCCCTGGAATGCTGATGAAGTCTAAAAACAATGTTGCTTCTCAGGTTAGTCAGAGAGAGGAGGACACCAGGTGCACAAAAATGATGCTGAAGTTTAGAGAAGACAAAATTCAGAGAATGGAGGCTGTACTTGGTGGTACGATGTCAGCAGATGCTTATTTGCTGAAAGAAAATAGTGCACTTACAGAAGAGATTGAGCTCTTGAGAGCAAGAATTGAGAAGAATCCTGAAGTGACACGCTTTGCCCTTGAAAACATCAGGCTTTTAGAGCAAGTCCGGAGGTACATTTTTCTAAAACACAAGTCAACCTGAAGCTGATCTGTTACTGCCATGTACGGGCTTTTGAATTTGCAAAATTTTCATGTTGGAACCTTGTAGGTTTCAAGATATGTATGATGATGGGGAAAGAGACTTGTTGCTGAATGAAATATCGGAATTGCGAAAACAGGTAGCGTAACCACTTCCTTCTTGTGAATGGCTTACCGATCTGTTTTGAGCTCTATTCCTATGGCCTTCTCCAACAATGCCTTGATAGTTTGATGCTTACTGTTGACAGCTTATTGTCGTCCTCGATGGAAATTCAAAGCATCCTCCTAATCAGCACGAGGCAAAGGGGGTATATAATGACTTTTATTTTCCGGTTCAGTTCATGTTTTACATATCTTCCAGTTCTTTATATGATTTATATATCTTGTTTCAATTTTGATGCAGAGTCGTTCAAATCATGAAGAATTCCACAATAGTTCATTTCATAAGGAGGTTTGATATCTTTTCTCTGATCTTAAGCCTATGGTTAAGATATGCTGGTACAGATGATCTTTAATATGCTTTTTGTTTTGTAGCAGTTGACGAAAGCTCTTTCTGAGTTAGAGGAGAGTAAGAACAAATTAAGTTGTTGTCTGGAAGACAATGCAAAGCTCAGGCGGTGAGATTTTGGACTTATTTGCACCTTCTTATATTCGTTTCCTCGCTTCCATGCAATTTCATGTTTGGTGTTTGTTGTCTTGGTAATCTTCTGCAGGGAATTAAAGGAGCTGCGCGATGCCTCGTTAAGTGCTGTTGCATCTGCAAATCAGGATCATGATTGCAGTGCAGAAGTTATAAAGGAGTCTATAGTGGAAGTTCCCTCTTTCAGTAATCCAGAAAAAATGGCTATCCCACAGGAGGACAGAGGAGCAGCATATGGAGATCATAAGACCAAAAATCTCCCAAAGCATGCAGAAGAGATCATGGATTTACAGCTGGAGCTCGATATCCTCAAAGTTATTCTTCAGGAAGAGAAGACATATCGTGCTGAAGCTGAGGAAATGGTGAATTCTGTTAACAGGGAACTTCAGTTGTCCAAAGAAAAGATTATGGATATAACCAAACAGCATGAGAAAGTCCAGGAAGAGCTCAGAAACACAAAGCTGATTTTTGAGGCTCTTGAGTCTCAACATATTCAAGCAATTAATGAAATAGAAGATCTCAAGAACTCCAAAGATCGATTTGAAGGATTGCTGAACGAGAAGGAGCTGGAAATTTCGAAGCTAAAGGAGCAAAGCGATCTCTCTTTATGTAGAACTTTGGCGAGTCAGGACTCTCCTTTGGAAGCAAAGTTGAAGAAGATGCACGATTCTCTTGAAAAAGCCAAGAAACTGAACAAGCAGTATCAAGATGAACTTGTCTTGCAAGTATCAGCTGATGAAGAATTGGAGGAAGCTCGCAGACAGGTCGAGGCTGAAACTGCACAGGTCATTGTTTGCTTGCAGGAAGAGCTCTCTGCTCTTCAGCAGGAAGTTCTCGATAGTAACATGAAGGAGACAGGCACAAGAGACAGGTTGACGCAAGTGGAAACTCAAATGACTGTAATGGAGGAAAGTTTACGTGCAAGAACTGAAGAAAATGCAGAGCTAGCTGCAATTCTTGAAGAGAAAGATAGGGAGTTAAAGAAGATGATGGAAGAATGTGATTCGATAGCCACTGAAATTGAAGCTATTCTCACTGGCGGGCATGAGGCTGTTGAAGATACTGCAGACCAAACTGATGCCGGTTCTGATTCAGCTACTCACAATCAATGCCGGATATCTGAACCATTTGAAAGGATGAGAAAGTATGTTTTCGAAAAGGAGGTATTGATAGAAGAACTGAATCGATGCCTGAAGGATGCAGTAGATGGGAAGAATGATATGGAGTGCATGCTGAGGTCTTTGAGAGGGGCGGCTTTGGCCATGACTGAGACACACCAACTGGAGTGCACAGAAAAGGAGAATGAAATCATCCTTTTAAAGTCTGAGTTAGATGACAAGATATCCACCATTAAAGAACTTCAGTGCTTAAATCAGCATGGACAGGATGAACTCAAAAAGGCATCAACTTGTGCTACAGCAGCTTTTGTGATTGTGAACCGATTGTGGGAGTTGAATGCTACCAATCAGGGATCTTTGCATGATAAGGAAGTTCAGATTCATGAGTTAAGTGAAATTATTATGGATAAAGATACAACTCTCCAGAATCAGGCTCCGATGATTGAAGAAGTAAATAAGAAGATTGATTCTCTCCAAATGAAACTAGCAGCATCGGAGGAATATTGCACTAAATTAAGAATGGAGTTGGCTGAGGAGCACGAACAATTTGAAAAGAATGAGGAGAGCAACATACTAGAAGCCAAAGAAAGACTGAAGGAGTTGCATTCTGGAGTCTCAACATTGAAGTCTTTCATGGCGGCCGAGCATGCAAAACAGCATGGTGATTTTGAGACATGTGTCTCTACCAATGACGAGCGCGAATTAGGGGTTTGCATACTTCTCTTTTTGGAGTTCTTTCATATGTAGTTTGTTGCTATACTTTTTATGATCAATCGATGGTTTTATGGACAATTGAGTTTAAGTTTAATGTTGTTGCAGACAGGTAGCAAACCAGCAAAAGACTTAAATGAGACAGCCTCGTGGAGGAGCATTGGGGATGTGAAAATGAAAGACTCGATTAAAAATGATATCAATTCGGTATCTGAGAGTACCACCATCGAGGGTGCTAATGGTAGAGATGCTGATATAATTCTTTTGAAGAAAGAGATTGAATGTGCTCTCGGGAGCTTGCAATTCTTGCAAGCTGAGACGACTACTCTACAAGCGGAGAAAGAAGAGATCTTGGCATCCGAGAAATGCAGTCGCCAGGGCATCAGGTCCTTGATCAAGCAGGCAGTTTTTCTCCAAGATTCCATGGTTAATTTTGAACGTACATTGGAGCTCAAAGTCAATGCTATGGATGTCAAGATGAACAAACTTGAAGAAATAGTTCAAGAATCTTTAGATTCCTGGTCTCATCAAACAGAGGTAGGATGTTATGTTAACTTGCTTTTGACCTATCTATTTTACGCTCATAGTGATCTTTTTCCTACCTCATTTACCCTTATTACCGAGGATTGACGGGCGGATATTCTTTCGTGCTCATCATTTTTGGCAGCTCCTTGAAGATGAACTTGATGCTGCTAAAGTGGTGGCTTCCCAGAAAATCATCGAAGCATCGTGTGTCTTTGAGAAATTTGAGGAAGCTCAAGACACAATGAAGGAAGCAGACATTATGGTTAACGAATTGCTAAAAGCTAACGAAGACTTGAAGCTTAGCATTCAGGAATTGAAAGCAAAAGAAAAAAACTTGACTCGTGAGAGAGAACAACTTGCAAAAGAAGTTGAAAGCTTGAAGCTCTCAAGTGAATTGAACGAGCAGAATTACGTGAAGCTGGAGAAGCAGTACGACACCGATCTTGTCTCCATGAAGAGCATGCTGTCAGAACTAGAAGATGTTCTGTCGGAGTTCCAGATCACTTCTTGCGAAGAATGGAAGTCTATTTCATCTGATTTCCTAAGTGTAAAGTCCCACGTTCATAATTCAACCGCGTCGATCAAGGCCATGCTCGAAGAGATCTGGTCGGAGATTATTGTCAAGGATTGCGCCGTGTCCGTCTTACATCTCTGTCACATGGGAATTCTCTTGGAAACTGCAAATGGATTGAATGCAGAAAATGGTCTTCTCCACCATGGATTATGTGAGTCAAGCTCAGTTATTTCCGAACTCCAGGGTCACAATTCGAGAACATGCAAAGAGCTTGAGATGTGCAGAGCTCTTAAGGGGAAGCTATTAGCTGATATCATGAAAGGTTTCAATCAAATCTCAAGTAAAGTCGATGAAGACGGCGAGATGACCCTCAAGCTCACCTCTTTCGAAAAGAAGGTGCAAGATTTATGTGTTCTTGAAGAGGCAATGCTGCAAAGGTCCAACGACATGGGATCTGAGCTCTCTGCGCTAATGAAGGAGCTCGATATCAGTAACAAGAATGCAATAGCATCTATACTGGATCAAGAGAGACTCCTGGAGCAGAAAGACGAATTGCTGCAGTTGCAGGAAGAGAATTTTGCCGTCGAATCATCTGCTAAAGATTTCGAATTGTTAGTCCTTTCGAGTGAACTCAGGCAGAAGTCTCTTCTGAAATGTGATTTAGAGAATTCCTACATTGCCACTTTCGAAAGCTTAAAACAGGATACAGTTTTCAAGAGCATAGAAGCTGATTCCATGGAGTTGATATTGCTTGACAAGGAATCTGATCTTCGAACTTCTCATGAGAAAATGCACTGCTTGCAGAATAATGCGTGTCTGCAGGAAAAAGAGTTATGCAAGCTCCGAGCCGAGCTGGAAAAGAAAGACGAAGAGCTCGAAAGACTAAGTTGCATTGAGAAGGAGAATGGAGCACTTCAGGATCGTCTGAACGACAGCATGATAGAGTGTCCTAGACTGAGAGAGAACATTTCAGTATTGGAGAATAGCATTGCCAAGTTAGAAGAGGATCTAAACTTGGCGAGCGTTAAAATCGAATCGCTCGAGCATTCTCGCGCTGTTGTCGAAGACGGTTTGTGCTCAACGACGCAGGATCTACAACGGAAACTGGATGATATGAATTCTTTGAAGGAGGAAAATATGTTACTGAGGAAACAACTTGGAGCTCATCAGGTACATGAGTATGAACACCTCAATGCACTAAACTCGAAGCTTTCGAGGAATGTTGATTTAGTCGAAAATGCTGACGTTGCAAGCTGCAACACAGTTAATCTGATTAAGGAAAAAATCACTGAGGTCGATAATAAGTTTCAGAAGATCGTCAATGAAATGGGGATAACTGATGAGATCTTGGAGCAGTTCGAACACCTAGGGAGTCTTGCTATGCAGTTGGAATCTGAAGTTTCGTCTCTTCGGATGGAGTTGTCGAGAAAGGATGAAGTTCTTAAAGGATTGTTATTCGATTTGAGTCTGCTGCAAGAGTCTGCATCGAATAGTAAAGATCAGAAAGACGAGATGGAAGAATTGACAGTGTCTTTAAGAGCATTAGAAAAAGATTTCGAATTGAAGTCGGTGGAATTGGAAAATGCCGTTGCTGATTGTCGAGCACTCGAAGCTAAGCTCCATGAACAGGAAGAAAGGGCGGCTTCTCTCGAATCATATCGTGGAAAAGATCACGAGACGATAGATTCACTAACCAGGAAGCATGCTGAGCTTTTAGCTGCTGCAGAAGAAGCCGCAGATGCAAGGGATTCCACGGCGAAGGAATTGGACGAAATGACGATCAAAACGAAGAACTTAGAGGCCGAGCTTTGTAAAATGGAAAATGCTCTTGCTCGAATGAACGCAATGACTGAATCACTGCAGAGCAAACTGGATGCAGTTGCCTCTCAGAGGGATGAATTGGATGGTGAAGTTCTTGCTTTGTCGGAGGAGCTCGAGATCGTACGAGCTCGAGCTGAAGAGAACGAATCACTTGTGGTAGAAGCTCAAGAGGTAGGTAGAAATATTCGTTTCGATTATATTCGTTATGCTCTAGAGATGGTCCTGATATGTCTCGACTTGTTTATACCAGGCGGCGGAATTTCAGAAAGTCTCAGCTGAAGAAAAAGAGGAGGAAGTGAAACTATTAGAACGGTCCATCGAAGAGCTCGAATGTACCATAAACGTACTCGAACAAAAGGTATATACACATTTGGAAAAAGCTTTACATGATCATAGTTTCATTAGATTCGATTCTTACCATTGCGGTATTTCCGTTGTCAAGGTCGACATTGTCAAAGGAGACGCAGAAAGACAACGATTGCAGAGAGAGGAACTCGAGTTGGAGCTTCTTAACGTCAAAGAACAAATGCAGAGCGTCGAAAACAACGATTCTGAGATGAAACGGTAAGATTGAATTCCGGTACTTTGTTTGTAAAGTCTTAGAATGTAATCTCTAATCATAAATGCTTCATTCTCAGAATTCTCGACGAAAAAGAGCGAAACTTGCAAGAATCACTTCAACGCGTACAGCTTCTCGAGAAGGAAATAGCTGCAAGAGATCTCGAGGTAACGCTATCGCGTTCTCTTCCCCGATTAGACGTTCATATTGTTTATCTTAACCTTTGTTCTTCAACAGATGTCACAATGTAAAGCTCATATTTGCGAACTAAATTTGCACGCTGAAGCTCAGGCTAACGAATACAAGCAAAAGGTGAGAGCTCTCTTTTATCGAAGCATTTGAAATTATATCGAATTCAAGCGTATTTACACATCGATCAATGCTTTCAATTTTCGAAACAGTTCAAGGCATTGGAAACTATGTTAGAGCAAGTCAAATACGAAGCTCCTGCCGCAACTTCATCGTCAAACAAGTTGGAAAGGAACGGTTCGAATTCGAAGCCTAGAGGCTCAGGATCGCCCTTCAAATGCATTGGGTTGGGATTAGCGCAGCAAATTAAATCCGAGAAGGACGAAGAACTCACCGCTGGCAGGCAACGGATCGAGGAGCTCGAGGTTCTCGCATGCAGCCGGCAAAAAGAGGTATGCGTAAAGCTTTCTGAGACGTACGTAAATTTTAGATATGCTTCGGCTGTATAATAACCGTGTCGTTTCTTCGAGCAGATATTCACTCTCAAGGCCCGATTGGCTGCCACCGAAAGCATGACACACGACGTGATTCGGGATTTGCTTGGCGTAAAACTGAACATGAAGAACTACGCTGTAAGTTCACGAATCGCGACCACGATTTTAGCCACGCGTTAAAACAAGTTTAACACGTCGACTTTCCCGTTTCCAGAACATGATTGACAATCAGCAGCTGCAGTCATTAGTCGAAGGGAATAAACAGCTCAACATCGAAGACGAAGTAAAGGTAGAAAGCTTTTTCCCCGATCTTGATCTCAACCGCTTCTCCAATTAATAATAATATTGTTTCCTCGGATTACTCTTACAGCAACAGGAAATCGCGAATCTGAAGCTGCAAATAAACGAGTTTGTTAAGGAGAAGAACGGGTAATAAGACGTTTGAAACTAATCCTCCGATTTCTCTCTAACTTGCATGACTTAAATTTCGAATATCGTTTCAGATGGTTAGAAGAAATCGAGAGAAAACAAAGTGAACTAATGGCTGCACACGTCGCGCTCGAAAGACTTCGCCACCAAGATAAACTACTCGCGACGGAAAATGAAATGTTAAAGGTCGAAAGAATCTTAATATATATAGTCTCTACGATTCTCCTAAATGTCGTTGTTTTCTTTATTTCATTCGACGGTTTTGTTTTCTCAGGTCGAGAACGCCAATCACAAGAAGAGAGTGATGGAGCTCGAGATCGAAGTCAAGAAACTCTGCGGCCAACAGAATATCCAACAACGAATCCATCATCACGCGAAAATAAAGGCAAGAATCGTCATACGATGAAAATAATAATACTTTATCTGTCATTTAAATCTGTATAGTGAAAGATAAATTTGGATGACAGTAAAAGTAATAATAATCGATATACTTTTCCATTGTAGGAAGAAAATAATTCATTGAGGCGTCAAAACGAGGATCTAAGCATTAAGCTACGTAAAACCGAGGCCATTCTTGGTCGAGTCAAGGATGAGCTGGCTCAGTTCCGCGCAGCGAATGGCCGGAATCCTTGCATTGATTTCGACGGGGAGCAGCAGTTGGACGAGAAGTTGAAGGTTAGTACAACACGGGGATCTTGTCCGAAAGAGACAAAACCGCGCGTATGGATTTCTAACTAACGGCTTCCTGTCTGAATCAGGAAACCGAAGAGGAGCGGCTGCAGTTAGCTCAAAAGCTACTCGGCCTTTGTACTAACGTACTAAAGGCTGCTGGCATTACAAAACCGGCTGCGACGATGTCTGATATAAGTCCGGCCATGGCTGAGGAAGCGCTCGAACACCTCAAGAATAAGGTTGTCGCTTTAGAAATGGAACTTGAAGACGTCAAGCTTAAGGTATCGAGGAAGTTGTAGAAAATCTTTGTCTGAATTTCTTGTTTCGCTTCTTGATTTTGGGTTTTTGTTGTCTTTGTGTTCTTCAGAATAGGATATCGGAGGAAAGAATCAGATTGTCTGAGCTGAGGCCGCAAACTTCTTTGTTGTCGCCAGAAATGAGCTCAAGAGGAGATGACGGCGACGGCGATCACCGGAGTCTTGGTCGACCGTCGCAAGCATTTCTCTCTGAGCTGGATCGATGAAAATGATCGCTGATCTGTTGTAGACACATATATATATATATATATATTTGTGTATGTACAGATGAAGAACAACCTACACAACAATGTTCGTTGTATGTATAAATGATTTTTTTGACAATGCAAGAGAAGTTCATCATCTTCGCCCACACGTTGTAATGAAAAATTCTGTATTGGTTGTGTTGCTGATTGATTGGCTAGCACGTGCTATATCATCAGTATATGGGGTAAAAATCAAAATTGGTCTATATATAAAATTAAAAGAAACAATTTTGATCTCATTTTGGTATTGTCCCATAATGATGCATATAATATATTGGTGAACTATCAATGGAAGAAATGTAAGTTTGTTATAACTAATTTGGCAGTGGGATGAATTAGATTGTTAGGGGATCATTTGGAGTGTGTAGCTTGATTATATCCATATACTCCTTCAATTGTTTTGATAATGAATCACGCTTGAATTAAAAACTCCAGACGTAAGTTTATACAGCTAAACTGGATTAACAATTGTTTGTACTGTATTCATTTTGTCACTGTACTCGCAGTCCGATATAAGAAAACAAAACACAACACACACTTAAATTATAATAATGATTGATCTCATGCCATAAGTTATCCACCCCTCAATTTATTAGTTAGTTTCTGGTAAAGAAAACAAAACACAACACACACTTAAATTATAAATAACCTTAAGTGATCATCAAATTACATTTTCATGCTGTGTTCTCTAATGCAAATCGAAATCGAACAAACAACACGGGAGGGGAGCAACGTACCAACACGGCCGTGTTGTTGTTCACATGGCGTAGACTATCTCTCCGCTGCTGTCCATGTCGAGCTCCGGATCACTCTCCAAGTCCTCGTCCATGTCGTCGTCGATGTCAAGACTCCCCGTCAGGCACTGGTTATGACTGTTCGATCCCGCCGGCGGGATCGTCGCCTCCGTTATTATCTGCATTATCTCCTCGTCGCTCTGCATCGGCTGGTCCGCCGGCTCTTCGAATTGGCTGTTGGCGCTGCTCTCGTCCATCAGATCCGCCGGAAGGTTCTTTTTGAACCACTCGTGGATCTTTATTTCCGGGATCGTTATTCTCTATATCGGACATAGCACGGAGTAGTCGAAGTTACGTAAAAATTACACGTGCCGCGGGTAATAAAGGTTTTTTTCTCAACATACCTTTGCCGGGTCAGCAACGAATATACGGGAAATCAAGTGACGACACTCCGGGGATATGTGGACGTAATCGGGGATCGAGTATTGGACGTTCAGGATTCGCTGGATCGTTTTCCGGAAGTTTTTGGGCTCTTCCGGATCCTCGAAGGGATACGCCCCGACCAACATTACGTATAGCGTTACTCCGCAGGACCAAACGTCGGCGATCTAGACAAGAAATGCGATAAAAATTTGTAGAATCGAGTCATATACTTCTTCTGTCCGCTTCTAAAGTTACATTTATCTTTTATACTTAACATTAAAAATATCTTTATATTTTCGTTTGATATAATAATTAAATTCAAAGTTAAACACTTAAAAAATATATATAATTTTTAGAGCCGGATGAAAAAAGTATAATATAAATATAATCTACGTACTCTCGAATCTATTTTCGAATAGAAACGGGATAGAATTACCTTCCCGTCGTATTCCTTCTTAAGCAACACTTCCGGGGCGATATATGCAGGCGTACCGACTGTCGACTTTGGTTGTGAGTGAAGCACCGAAGACTGAAACCGACAAGTACGTCACGCAAGGCACATTTGGAATGGAAAAAAATGATCGAAAACTAAAGCGTTCGAATTCGTTGTACCTTAGAGTACCCGAAGTCGCAAATTTTAAGACGGGGCGCGGGGCTTCCATCCAACAATGTGTTCTCCAGTTTCAAATCCCGGTGGCAGATTTGCTTCGAAATAGAAATAAAATGTTAGGAAAAGAGCGTCGGTCGCTAAAAAAATTTTGATCGATCGATTATTACCATCGCATGACAGTAGCTGACCCCCGAAATGAGCTGCTGGAAGAAAAACCTTGCCTGAAAAAACACGAATACATATTCGATGATTTGAATGTCTGGAAAATAGCGAGACGGTGGAAAAACGAGTAGTAGTACCTCATCCTCGCTGAATCGCCCTGCATTGCAAATCCGTTCGAAAAGCTCTCCACCGGATGCGTATTCCATCACGATCGCTAAATGCGTCGGCGTAAGTATAACCTACAATCATTGATACATATGCATATATATTGTTAAGGTTCAGAGTGCTGAGAAATGTCGAATGATTTCAAGAACAGATTATGACCTCCTTAAATCTGACAATGTTCGGATGGCGGAGCGATCTGTGGTTAATGATTTCGCGCTGCACGTTCTCGTCAATCTACACAATGCAAGAGTAATTACAGCACATAGGCGAATCATCGAAAGCCAAATTAGTGTAATGCATAATTCAATCGCGCATGTTTCAGACAGGCGACGAGAGATCAAACATATCCTTGAGTTGCATAATTCAATATAACAATTTCGACAGCGGCCGATAGATCAAACATAGCCCTGAGTTGCATAGTTCAATCACATACTTCAAGCAGGTAAGATCAAACATAGTCAAATATTGCCTCGAGTTGCAAAATTCAATCGAACAATTCAAGCAGGGTATGATAGATCATACAGAGCCTTGATTTGCATAATAATCAAACTTTTTCATAGCATAATTCAATCGAATATTTCACAGAGGAGGAGATGATAGATCAAACATAGTCTTGAGTTGCTTGATTCGATCGAACAGACAGAGATTAGACAGAGCTTTGAGCTGCATAATTCAATGGATATTTCAGAGAGGAGACGACAGTGACAGTTAGATAGAACAAACATAGCCTTGAATTGTACAATTCAATCGAATATTCCAGACAGAAGACGATAGATCGATCAAACAAAGATGAAGCAGCAGTAGAATTAAGTAAAGCTTCGAAGACTAGAACCACTACAAAAACATGAAAACCAAGTCGACAGAGCAAAACCAAAACCAGAACTAATGCACTCTTATTGCAGTCAGAGATCAAATTCGTGCAGAGCAGACGAACACGAAACGAAACTCGATGTTCAATCAATCGATATGCAAACAGTAGAAATTAGTTACGTACGTACCTTCTCGCCCCTCTCGATGTACTTAACAGCAACGAGTTCATTGGTCTGGCGATCTCTCATGAGACGAGCAACCCCAAAATTGCCGGAGCCAATGTCCTTAACGAGCTCATACCGATCGCTGTCGTGCATGATCGGCAAATCCATGCCCGCCGATCGATCCATGAGCAGCAAACTCGAAATCCCCAAAATACAAGGAAAGGAGGAAGGAAGGAAGCCCTGGAACCCCTCAACCAATCAATCAAGCTCAACTTCAAGCAGCTCCCATCCTGACCAGAGGTTCGGTGGAATCCAACAAACCAAACCTAATAAAAAAATCAAAACCACCAAAACCAGAATAAATTAAAATTCATCAAACAAAAAGGAGGGGGAAAAAGCTGCAGCAGCTTCACGTGGCGAGGAAACGAGTCACGAAGCAAAGACGCGATGAATGATATAATGAATTCAAGTTTTAGGTGAGCGAAGCAATCAATCAATCAAGCAAGCAAGGAAATGAGATTAGATCAGAAGATTTAGAGATAGACATGGATTGAATTGGGGGATTGGGCGCCCGTGAAGAAACCACCACCGCGATGAAACCACCACCCACCCACCCTACCTCCTCATCACCACAAACAACACGTCACCCACCAATTATTTGGCATTCAATTTGCGGCTGCAGACTGCACAGAAATAGCAAAAATGGCGTCCGTGGCGTCACTCACTCACTCCCACCCAACCCTCTCTCACTGTGATTACTTTATTGCGAGCGACAGAGAGAGAAATTGAGTAGGACGGTGCGCTCGTGAATCGAAGCTGCAGGCTCTGCGGAATTGAAAATTGACTGACACATGGCCATGGATTCTTTCCGAAAGGAGGTGGGTGGGGTGGGGTTTTCCCAAGCCTGAAGCAACATGGATGGGGGTGGGATGGGATCTTTCCATAATTGGACTTTGCCAGAGCAGCAGACCGCAGCAACAGAGCAGATGATCGATAATTCTCGTCTCGTCAATCGAGGAGGATGAGGGGATTTCAATTCATCGATAATTAATAGTGATAATTCTCTATCTTTAGTTTCCCCCAATTTCAGTTGAGCTCGCAATTACAAACCCTAATCTCATCTGAGTATTAATTAATTACTTCGCCATTTTCGACACTACACTTTTTCTTTTTATTGATGACACTACACTTTCTTCTTTTTCATCTTCTGACGTTGTGTTTGTTTTTATTTTTACATTATTCCCAATTCCAATTTGTGAATTGTGGTGGTCACAATTTTGCCTATTATATCAATTAATTTGTCTATATTTTTTACTTTCGTCAGTCTTATATAATAATAATAATAATAATAATTTTTTTAAAACATAATTATTTTTTAATTATATTTTAAATTTTATAATTTTTTTATCTTAATTAAATTATTTATTTATTTTAATTTTAAATTTAATTTATAATTATTTTTATTCGTATATTTCTTAGTTACCCAGTGCTCAAAGGGTGTGTTTGTTTGAAGGATTTTGGTGGATTTTCACTATTCATCTAATTTTTTCCCCCCAAAAATATCAAATCAAACACCTATTTTTCATTTTTTATATTATACTAAAAATTAATTTTACATTCAAAACATCACATCAAACCCTATTTATATCACATCATACAACTATTCAAATTCAAAATTTTTACTATTCAAATTCCAACTCAAAATCCAAACCCCCAAACAAACACACCCAAAATATATGCAACGGGGGAATATCTATTTTGTAATAGTAGTCTTTACATAAATATACAAAATTCTTATATTTCAATCATTATTTCAATAATATTATAATTAATTTTAGCTCGGTTAAAGATAAAATTGTTTATTCATCCATCTATTATACTACAAGGAGGAAATATATAAATCTGCGTTGTTTAATACTTTAATTTCAATTTATTATTATTACTATTATATTGAAAAACAAAATGTATTAATGATATAAAAAATTATATTGAATTATTTACTTTTTAATGAGTAAAGTATATATTCATCCATCCAGTATAATTTTGTCAGTTCTTTTCATTTCGGCCCTATAATTTGTTTCTTTAGAAATATTATTATACATTTTAATTATATTTAAAGATTTCATAATTTATAATTTTTAAAATTAATTAAATTATTTAGATATTTTAATTTTAATTTATAATTATTTTTATTATATCGTAATTATTTTTATTAATATACTGATTACACAATACCTAAAGCTTCATGCCAATTAAGGCGGACAAATTAATTTATATACTTCTTTCGTCCGGGTACAATGAACACAATTTTTATTTTTGTTGTTTCGTAACAATTGATATATATATATATATATATATTTTTAATAAAATTTACTAAATCAAAATATACTTAACAAATATAATTTAACTTAATTAATTATATAACATATAACATTATATATATTTTAAAACTCACTCAAAATTTTTCTATTAATATTTTTTTAAAAAAAATATTTTTATCTACATTCAAAAGTACATCTCTCTATAAAATTAATATATTTTAATTATAAATAATTATTTTTTAAGTACGGTTAATACTGGGCCTAGAGTTGAATTTAAATGCCCAATAAGATATGTCGGAAAACTAGCCCAGCCCATTTATTATCCGTTAGTCCAAATCTTCGACAGAAAAAGTCGATAGGTGGTTACCCGTCGGAGAGCCACCAGTTTCTCCTCCGCCGCCGCCGCGATTCTTCGCCTGAGCGATGCTTCTGAGCTTGAATTGCACCAATAGTCAAATAATAAGTCTTCAGGATAACAATTCCTGCTCCTTCCACCGCCGCCGATGTCGCATTTCCCTCGCCTCGGCACCGTACCTGAAAGTCGCCCTCTCAATCGCTGCATCTTCCTCGTCGGCGGGAGCATCAGTATCGCACAGAATAGAAGAGGAAAAGGAAAATGAATCTGATTTTTATAAATGGAAGCAGCACAGTTTTGACGAGCCGTTCGACCTGACCGAGTTGAAACGCTTTGAAACGCCGTCTGTGGAGGTGAAGGAGCTGGAGGAGCTGCCTGACCAGTGGCGGAGGTCCAGATTGGCGTGGCTGTGCAAGGAGCTTCCGGCGCACAGGTCAGGTACATTTATTCGTGTCCTCAATGCCCAGCGCAAGTGGATTAGGCAAGATGATTGCACTTATATCGCCGTCCATTGCATGCGGATTCGCGAAAACGAGTCCGCGTTTAGGGTGAGTTCTACATACCTCATGGATTTTTTCTCGGCTGATGATATTCATAACTATTTCTCCTGTCTTTGCACAATTTGTTGAACTAATCAAGTGGAAGAAGAGGTAGATTACTATGTCCATAACCTAATCTTATTCAATCTTAAATCCTGAATTACTTGAAATTGCTACTGCTTTTACAATTTTCTGGTATCATCGATGGCTTGTTTGAAGCTATTACCAAAGAATTTAATTGGATTCTCCATGAAATCCTTTAAGGAGAAAATCACACTCGTTAAAAGAAGAAATTTGGCTAGAAGTAGGACTGCTTTCCTCTTTCATTTACGTGTTTTTGTGTTTTTTCTTCCAATTTTGTTTTACATATATTGCTGATTGGAGTCCATTTTTTGGCAACTCAGATAGCTGTGCAACAATTCTTAGGTTACAAATTGATCCTAATATCAATCTTAGTCTCAAAGAATTGAATCACCAGATACTCTGCTTGATATAATCTCATCTACAATTGTAACAATCTACAATTTGCATTGTTTAGGTGTACAAATGGATGATGCACCAACGATGGTTCTGTTTCGATTTTGCACTTGCAACCAAATTAGCGGATTACATGGGTAAGGAGCGGAAACACTTGAAATGCCGTGAGATATTTGATGATATAATTAACCAAGGTCGAGTCCCTAATGAGTCCACATTTCATATTTTGATTGTTGCCTACCTTAGCTCATCTCCTTCGAGTTGCCTAGACGAAGCCTGCAGTATTTACAATAAAATGATCCATTTGGGCGGATACAAGCCTCGCCTGAGCTTGCACAACTCTCTTTTTAGGGCCCTCGTAGCGAAAACAGGACTATCTTCTAAACATCATCTGAGACAAGCTGAGTTCATCTTTCACAATCTGACTGCTTGTGGCCTTAAAGTACACAGTGATATTTACGGCGGGCTTATATGGCTGCATAGTTATCAAGACACAGTAGATAAAGAGAGAATTGCCGCATTAAGAACTGAGATGAAATCTGCCGGTTTTGGAGAGAGTACAGACATTCTTGTATCGGTTTTAAGGGCTTGTGCTAAGGGAGGTGATGTTACAGAAGCTGAAAGAACTTGGACAAAGATTCTTTCTTCGACCAAGAAGCCTCCAACTCAAGCCTATTTGTATCTAATGGACGTCTATTCGAGGGATGGAAAACCAGAGAAATCTTTGGAAATATTCAGGGAACTCCAAGGTCGTACCTCCTGCAATGTTGCGTTGTTTTACAGAATCATTCAGATACTGTGTAAAGCTCGGGAGATAAAACTTGCGGAGTCTGTCATGGTAGAGTTCGTCAACAGTGGAATGAAGCCCTTGACACAATCTTTTGTCGACATGATGAGTATGTATGCAGAACTAAATTTGCACGGTAAGGTGGAGATAACTTTCTTTCGGTGCCTAAAGCATTGCCATCCGAACGAGACTATTTACAATCTGTACTTGGATTCTTTGGTGCAAACCAACAATCTTGACAAGGCAGAAGAGATCTTCAACCAAATGTGCGCTGACGAGACAATTGGCGTCGATGCTAAGTCCTGCAACGCGATATTGCGGGGCTACCTTGCCGTTGGAAACAATGCTAAGGCGGAGACGGTACATAGTTTTATGCAAGAGAAGAAATATGAAGTCGAAGCTTCGTCAATGGAAAAGCTACAAAGCATTGCAACTGTAAACGATGAAGAAGTGAAAGAACCGGTAAGCTTAAAGCTCGGGAAAGAGCAGAGAGAGATCATTATCGGCTTACTTATGGGCGGACTGAGGATCGTAATCGAAGAGGAAAAGAAGAGTCATGCAGTCCATTTTGTATTCAGAGAAAATTGCGAAATCCATTCATCTCTGAAGAGACATATATACGACGAATTTCACGAGTGGTTCGCTTTTAAACTGCTGGTCGAAGATAAAATTCCTTCCCGGTTTTCAGCGATACCTCACCCTTGTTTCAAGTTCTACGGAGATCAATTCTGGCCGAAAGGTATCCCGGCAGTTCCAAACCTTATCCATCGGTGGCTGACTCCTCGGGTTATTGCGTATTGGTACATGTACGGGGGCTACAGGACATCTTCGGGAGATATACTGTTGAAGCTGAAATTCAGCAAAGACGATGTGCTGAGAATTGCAAAGACGATCAAATCTAAAGGGTTGAGTTGTCGCGTAAAGAAGAAGGGGACTGCTTTCTGGATGGGTTTTCTTGGCAGCGATGCGATGGGGCTGTGGGAACTTATCGAACCGTATGTACTTACAGATTTGAAAGAATTGTTGGAAGCAGGCACGATATCAACGAATGGAAGTTCAGGCACTGATGACGTTAACAGCAGTAATAGCCGGGACAGCGATGGCTATTCGTCAGATAATGTTGATGCATAGGTAGCTACCGTTAAATGACCTTTTCAACACGTCCTTCACATGTATATATTACATGTTCTTGTGACCACTGCATTGCGCTTGATATCTCTGTCTAATGCTGCTGCATTTATTCAGGTGCTCTTGTGGTTTTGTGTATCTATCTTTGGTCGGGATTTTCGTTGCGATTTTGCTCAAAAAGCGTTGAGAAGCTGAGGGAGATCCGGTGTTGATAAATGGTATGTTTAATTAGATCGTCTCTATCAAGTTTTAATAGATCAAAAAATTTATGTTTGTTTATGCATATGTTTTTAGACAAGGACTTATGGAATTCTAAAAATATTCTTACTTATGGAATTCTAAAAATTTGAGAATAGTAAAAAGTTAATAATTCACGTAATGATTTTAAAATGATACCAAAATTAAACAGAGCCAAATATTCTTGTATACCCTCAACAACTAAAACATGTTTCATCTTGTTTTCAATACCATATAATTTTACACTTTTCAATTAAAAAAAATGTCAATTTTATCTATAAAAAAAACCCCACATATAATCACCATTTCATTTAAAAAATAACAATCAAAACCCACAAACACAAATTAAAATACCCCCAAAATATATAATCACAACATTTTTATCACACCGCCTATTCAAGGTTAATATATTTAAATACCCTATTCAACAAAATTGGTTATAATTAAAGATGTATAAATTACAAATGCAAGACCTACACACACCTTAGTTGAAATTCCTCTTTGAGCATTCAATCTATTGCTCTACAAAAAGCTTTGAGGCTTCTCAAGATACCTTTCTCGACAGGTTCTTGAGGCCACACCCAACACATTTAAGGATCACAGTTCCAGTCGATGGATCTGGCTTTATGTCGAACTTCACACCAAGAAAATCTCTAATGTTTCGAAGGACTTCAATTCCATAGGGTGCAAGCTTCCCGACCCGAACCTTCGAAACATCTTGTGGGCACAATGCACACAGAAGGAACAATAATCCCTACAATCGAACACACAAACACAACAAAAAAAAAAAAATCATCTCACAATTACCACAAAAGAAGAAAAGAATATTACTATATTGCGTTGTTTATTAGCGCCGAACTATTATCTATCTCATTCAATGAAATGCAAGTGCTAAATATTGAATGTAAAATTATTTGTCATATAATAAATCAAAAAAATATATATTTGACATGACTTTTTGAGGGAAAAAACATGAATGAATAGTAAGAACCTAAGAAACCTATAAGCAAACACAACCTTGAGAGGTTTGTGGGGGTAAATAGAACACTCAATCATGTCTATTAAGCATGTATATGATTTGTGTTTGTATAATATTTTGTGAAAAAAATATCATATATTTTTACATAGAATCGTGAGAGTCGCACCATAAAAAAAGAAAGAAAAAACTCAAGATTGATTGAAGTTTTGGTTTCAGTTTCTTTACTATGCAATTCTTACATTTTTATGTAAAAATATATATTTATTTTCACAAAAGATCACATACAAACTACTGTTTCCCAAAAAACAAAAAAAATAAAAATAAAAATCCATAATTAAAACATAAAGTCAAACTTCAAGTAAACAAACTCCTAGGTAATTGTGCAAGTATCGAATCATGATGAACTTAATGAAATCGAAGAATAAAGTTGAGCTTGTGCAACACACCTGATGAGTTGAATCCACAACACCCCCTTGTTCAATCTCACCAAGAAGGTTCGATGCAATTTGTTCACCAATTTCCTCCGGGGGCCGTAAATCTTTCTTCTTATTCTCAACATCATCTTCGTCCTCTCCCTGAGCATACGAAACTGCTGTATCAGCAGAGATGTAGCAGCCTGATGTGGTCTCGGCAACTAATGAAATTCCATATCCCGGTGAGCTGCAATTGAAGCCAAATTCAATCATAAAATTGATACCTATCTGCAAAGCAGTTCGACAGAATTTTAATTTAACATAAAAAGCAACCCTAAAGAATAGGCATACTTTCCAGCTTGCGGTCCGGCTCTATGATTGGTGGATATGTAAACATCCGGAAGTAGCCGATTAAAAATACCACGAGCAGCATGTATCATTGTATTCTCGAATTGTACGGACACCTTAGTTGAAAAGGTCGTCCCTCTAATCCTCTTCACCATGCCTTCATCGGTCCATGTAATTGCCTGTCCCATAGAGTTCAAAAACATTTGTTACGGCATTGTCCAGCAAAGACGGAATTTTTATTTGTCGAGCATCTAAATGTTTACTTTCAAACTATCTTGAACGATTGGGATTGAGAGAACAACTTCTCCACCGCCCTCTGGAGGCACTCCCCGACTCTCTATTTTAAGGTGCAGCCCCTCCAAGGGTCCGCCAAACCTCTTCAGTAATGGCAATGTAGTCGATAAAAAAGTATCAACAGATGGGTCCTTGGAATCATTAGTAATACCTATGGGGTAGGCAGTCACCGTTTAGTAATAGAAACATCCAGAAACTAAGTATTCTTAAGTGCTGTAAGATTCAATCATGCTGCTGCAAAAACCTCAGGTGAACTACAAACTAAAATGTATAAAAGCTACAACTTCTATCTCTTTAAGTTGCTCGCATCGTAAATTCATCAAGAAAATCTAACAATAAACATTCCGGAATCAAAAAGACCACGACACCACAAAAATCTTCTCCATACGCTCGTTACTTCAAACATAATGTTACGTAATGCATTCTCAAACAAACTCTTTTTATGTGTGTTCTCAAGTAACTTTGTACTATTTATCAAAATATATCACATCAAATACTTATTTTTATATTTAAAACATTACATCAAATGTCAGCTCCATTTAGACAAAAGACATTTGCGAGTTTTGGAATTTTGGAAATTTGAAAATAGTAAAAGGTAAGCATTTCATGTGATATTTTGTAAGAAAAAAATTTGATGTGATATTTTGTAAGAAAAAAATGTATTTGAAGTGTTGTTTTTGAAAATTTGAATGGTACCAAAACCAATCTTTTTCTTTTTCTTTTTATCAAACTAACATCTCCAAAAGTCCCAAGACATATATAAACACAAATCAGCTTCGAACTAAACTCCAATCCTGATCTTCTTTTAATCTAAGTCCTACACAATTATCAGCCACCATATGTTGGCTTATACTTTTGGAACTTTCGACACTGTTTATCAAGAACAAACTTTTCAAAAATATATAGCATCACATATAACTTTTTACTATTTCCGAAATCTTATAAAAGTGCAAAGAATTTCAAAAATAATTTACATCTAAACGGAGCCAAATATATGTGTAAGCAGTGGTAGAAAAATACCTTTGAGCCTGATTGTGAGGGGTTTCTTCCCAAACAAAGCTAACACTGCCAATGGCTCCATGAAATACCCAATGGATCTGCTCGTGCCACAGTCATGAACGATATGCCTCCCGCCCATCACAATCCCCGGCTTGTACTTGAGCTTTGTGCCTGTACCGCGTATTAGAACCTCACACATTGCAATTATAGTTATCCTAGGGTTTACTACTTTACTAATTTGGTTAGGCAATTACCGGTTTCATTAATCTCAACGACGCAGTCGTCGGAGACTCTTTCGAGAAGGCGGAGGAGCGACACCTCGTATGGGCGGAGGCCAGGCCATGCGGTGTCGCTGCGTATGTCGTCGATAAGAATCGGCGTCGACGACAGCGTCGAGAGAAGAAGCCGTAGCCTTAGATTCTGGCTTCCTTTCAACCTCATGTACGGAACTTTCCCCATCCTTTAACTGCAATTTATTTGCTGCTAATTGCTCAACAGAAGGCACTCTGAAACCAATCAGCTAATTCAAAATCAATGCACGATTTCAGCAACCGAAACGATTTGATAAGCGTCTTCACGTATGGATCAGGCCAGCTATTGGACGATTTACAACGAAAACAGGACGAAAAAAAAAACAGGTAAATTCAGTCGAATAGTCGAATTGAAACAACATAACATAAATTCTCTCGATAGATTCTCAAATTGATCGTCCCTCTGATCCTCGAGAACTGAACTTACCATTGACGAAGGCGGCTGAAGAAGAAAGAAGTAGGAGAAGAATTGCCATTAGAGATTAGGGCTGGAGCTTGTTTTGATTCATTGGGCTTTTTGGGAGAGGGATTCGACCCATTTTAATACAACATAGTGTTTAATTACTTATTGGGCCACCGGCCCACATCCAGGGTTCACAATGTTTTTAAAATTAATAATAATAACAATAAGGAAAAAATAAAAAATATTCTAATAGAAAACAAAAATAATCAATTTTGATCGCATTATAAAAATTAATTTTTGATCCATTATTTTAATCATTTTTTTAATTATTTTTTATCAATACATATATAAAAATTAACGGCTGAAAAATACAGCTCTTTTTTTCATCTTTATCATTAATTCCAATTAATTAAATAAATTACAGAAAGGGTTTCGATCCATTTTCTAATTAATAAGCAAATCAACAATTTCATGAAGTTAAACTTACAGAAGAATTGGGTTCCATGATCCGCCATAGCTGCCTATTTCCTTTTTTTTTTTTTTTTTCCTATCTCACTCTATTTTTTAATAATAATTTTTTTTAATAATGAAATTAAAATTAATAATTTTTTTATAGTGAAAAAAATTAATTTTTTTAATTTTTATTGAGACTATTTTCTTTCATAAAAAAATTAAAAATTTATCTCACAGTATGTTCTATCTGTTGGCGATATTTTTCTACTTTGTTCGCGGAAGCCATAGTCATTTTATTTTGGGATAATGCACACAAATTGGAACACTATCATCCGTATTTCCGCGGAAAAGGAAAAAAATAAAAAATCATCGACTAGACTAGTTTATTCATTTATTTGCATTTTGGTTTATTTATAATATATGTATTTCACTTGTTTTATAAATAATGAGATTTCAAGTTTGTTGTTAATAAATTAATCAATATTTTATTTATTATTATTATGATTATTATTTTTTTTTAAGTTTTGTTATCACACGACCTCATTTTTATTAATTTCCGGCAATATAGCAATTTCGATGACACAAACAACTCTCCACCCAACTCTCCGGGGACAAATTATTAGATTCCGGCCTCACAACTCTCTAGTGAAGTAGATTCCGGTTCTAAAGTATATTTCTTTTGATATGTTAATATGTTAGTTTGGTTATATATTACTCCCTCCGTCCTAGATACCGTGTCTGCTACACCGTAGACACGGTACTTTACGAGATGTGTAATTAGTAGATAATTAAGAATGTATTAGTGAAAATAATTATCCTATAATATAAATAATTATAAATTAAGATTAAGATAACTAATTAGTTTAATTAAAATTAAAAAAAAAAAATTAAAAAATTTAAAATGAGATTAAAGTGTATAATCATTTTCCAAAAAAGGAAAATGATATGGTATGTGGGACGGACAGAAACGACAACGTGGACATAGTATCTGGGACGGAAGAAGTATTTGTCTTTTGATGAGATATTGATTATTTTAAATTAGTGTACTAACTTGTCAAATCAGTACGATGTTTATTGATCCAATGAACACTCTAATAGCCCCCTTTTGTTTTATTTAAATTGGTTTGTAAACTAAGTAATTTGTTTATTAGAAAAACAACATCAAAAACTATGATGCAACATTAGAAAATTTTTCCTTACAAATAATAAGCCATTTTACCTCGCAAACACCCACTTGTGAGAGAATTTGTAAAGAATTTTTTTTCCTTGCGAATAAACTATTTTATCTCACAAACATCCGTTTACGAGAGACGTGCGAAGAATTTCTTTTTTTTTTTCCTTCCAACTAGTTTGTTTTTCAGAATGTAATTTGTTTTTAAATCTCTCGCAAATTTTCTAGCAAATAAAGAAAAGTAAGTAATAATTTATTCTTTCAATATTTTTCTCGCAAAATATTCCTATAATTTTCTATTTTATTTTTTTCCAAAATTTAGTTTAAACGATACTAAATAAATTACTCTAAATCTATTTAAATCAATACCAAATAAATTAGATTAATTCTAAAAGCTAAAACAATGTCATTGGATGAATCATATTAAAGCTTCGAGCCAACGCCTATTAAATCAAGAGTTCCAAAAGACTTAGTCACATTTTTTTTTTAGATTTTTCATGACATTGAGCAAGTTTCGAGGATTTTAGGGCAAAAGTAATACTTATTAATGTATTTTTTTGTTGTTGTTGGGTTTGTTTATTAGTATTTTGATCTGAAGAATTTTTTTGTGTCAATAATATATAAAATAATATTTTATATTGAATGTTGACTTTTGTGAGAGACTAAAATATATATATTGAGAATCGTATCAAAACTCGTTATATATACAAGTAAGCGTGTATGAACATTGGGTGTTTTATGGCACTTGTTAGTGTCATAAATTATACTCCCTCCGTCCAAGTAAGAAGTATACATTTATTTTTAGCGCGGAGTTTAAAAAATAATAGTATTTTAATTATAGTGAATAGGTAAAGTAGTGTAATGATATTTTTGCCTTTGTTTTTTTGTATAAAAAGTAACTATGTGATGTAAAATAAGGGTATTTGTGAAAACAAGTAGGATATTTAATGCAATGGTTACTTTGTAATTGGAGGGAGTGCATTATTATGATATTAAAATTTTTATTATGGCTTACCATAAACTAGTGTAGCGACCTATATGTTGCCCAGTTTGTATACATTTTTATAATAGTGTTAGATAAATAATTTATTATATTGATAAATAACTTATATAAAGATACAAATATTTTTTTAGACAAATCAACAATTAATATCAAATTTATTATGTTATAATTTTTTGCTCATGTCTACTATAAATATATAAACACGGTCTATAAAAATATTAATAAACTCACATACTAATGAATATATATTTATTAATTATAATTTCATTAATGTATCAATTGTAACTATATAACATTAATGGTAACTTATTAACATTATCCATTAATATAATTAATTATTTTTATAAAAAATTCAAAAAATTAAATAAAAAATATTTGGTTACTTAGAACTCACCCAACTCAAATTAATAATATACATATAATAATAATAATAATAATAATAATAATAATAAGTGCCTAACCCTACCCGCTACGTTTGGTCCTCGGATTTTCTATAATTATATAATATTGTTAGTGAGCTATTAACTGTATCGATTAATATAATTATTTTTATTAAAAAAAATTATAAAGAGTAGATTTGGTCACGTGAGACCATCAAGTTCAAATACATAATATATTTGGTGAATTTATTATAAATAGAAGTAGATATCTAGTGATTCATTTTTCCGTACTAAGTTAGTATAAAATATTATTGGAACTCAATCAATCTATTTGGTGTATTTAGGACCTTGTAAATACACTTTGCAACGACAATATAACTTTCACCTTTTTTTTCTACTTAGCAGTTATTTAAAATCACTTTAGTCAGTTTTTTTTTTTTTTTTTTTCCGAAAACATTGCTCCAATACTCCTTCACATTGTTTTCTATGTATATCCGGTTGGAAATTAACACATCAAGAATAATGCATTGCATTAATATTGTATTTTTGAGTTTTTATCTAATTTCAAAGCTTAAATTGATTTAGTCAAATGCAAATTATTAATTTAATCAGTTTGATCTTTTCGAATATTATCTTCTTTTGTTTTTATTCTTCTCTCGTTTTCAAATTATATAGTTTGGTATTCCTAGATAGATGTATGTCATTTTCCACCGCTACAGTAGTTGTAACAATAACGCGACACGTTGTAAGAGATCTTAATTCTCATCGTTTGTTGAACAAATGCGCGACACGTTGTAAGAGATCTTAATTCTCATCGTTTGTTGAACAAATGCATCCTAAAACCTTCAAGTTCATTAATCCTCTCGGACGTACCTTCAATATTCCTACATTGATACGATTTTCAACATGAAATTTAGAATCAAAACATGAATTTATTTCGCATCTAAGATCAAATCAATATGATTTTGTTTTAAGTCAACTAACAATTTAAAATGAACTAGAATAACCTAAAACAAAACATATAAAAAACCTCGATTATGCGGAAAGCTGTATTCGATGAAAGTCGTTTTCACTTAATACTACATGTTCTTATAAAAACTAAAATATAACCTACACAAATTAACACACAAAAAAAAAAGTTCATGATTTATAAATTACAACTGTGACTAATATTTATCCAAAAGATCATTAATAAAAGTAAATATATTTACAAACTAATAATTCGACAATACAATGAATTGCCAAAATATATAAATGATGTCCAAAAGATTATACAACGATTTCAAACACAGGTTGAGACGTCCGCGATAATTATTCACATAATAAATTATATATAAATATATTATGAACATATTGAATATTAAAAAGCATATTCTATTCCAAATTTTGAATTGGAAAATAAAAAGGTAATATCTTTCTTTTATGTATTAATAGACTCAAATAAAAAAATAAAAAAAAAAATTGTTAATATATACCTTGAAATTGAGACAAAAGAGTCCAAAAGTTAATCTGATCTAAATAAATTAAATAAAACTTAATTAACATAGAAGTGAAATTATGTTTTCTGCCCTGCTGTGAACAACAAATTAATACACTCACTATAAACATATCTTCTATTGAAATAGTCTAATATATATATATATTTTTTCTGAGCAAAAAAATTAAAAATTATATTTTTTATTGCAACTCTCTTGTTACTCAATGTATTTTTCATCATCTTCATATATATGAAATGAATCATTTTTTATTTTTTATTTTTTTCAAATAATACTCACTTCTTATGTCCGGCGGATTTAAAATATTTAAAAATAAGTAAACTATTTTGAGATGTTAGTTAGGTTTTAATATTACTATGGACCATGTTTGAAAAAATAAAATTATTATAAAAATATAATAAAGTTTACAAGTTTAATTGCATAAGTATGGATTTATATATGTTCAGAAAGAACAATTGTGATATATATATATGATCTCATGGTCACAATTTAATATCTAAAAGTATTCATTTATATCTCAACTATTTTTTTTATATTTTCACAAGACACTTTAATTTTATAGAACATACAAGATATTTTATTTTGGACAATAAATTTGTATTTGAGCATGAACAACTATTAATCAACGCATGGCTTAATTAAATAAGCATGTATATTGTTATCATGTTAGCAATTTATATCATATATGTGTCATGTATTAATATACATCTTGCACTGAGATTAATCGAGACATCAGTCATGTAAATTATTATTATTACGTGGTGTCATTTCATATCCTAAATTTATTTTGTGTTATTACTTAAGATCAACCGTAATATGTATTATGTTATCATATACTGTCAATTTATTAATCATAGGTTGATTAGAGCTAATCATTATAGTAGTACCCTAAGTTCGCTAATTACCACCATATATATACATAGTTGAATATTTAGAAACACAAGATTTGAATAGCTTCGGTTATCGTGTTGATTTTCTCAAACAATATCAATAAAAGTAAGATAACACATGCATAGTAAAATAAGAGCATGCACCATCTGTTCATATTTAAAACACCTGTTTTTTTAGAAACGTATCGTATATTTTTATAGGAGTATGTCATGTGCGTTATGGGAGAATGTCGTGTGCTTTTAGTTCTTGTGTCATATTTGTATTATATTAATATAAATAAAATACTTTCCGTAGCATCATCATATTATATATATATAATCTGATGGCACACAATTAAAGGTTTTAATTTAGGAAAATAGATCATAATTATCTTTAAACATATAAATCAAATCATTATTTCACATTATATTAATTTTGAGAAATTCAAAAGTCTCCGAGATAACATAAGATTTATCTACTGACCTTTAGTTCAACATTTCAGATATAAAAAATATGTTCATAGAACACTTTTTTTTTTCTTATTCAAAACATATATAGTATATTTTGTCACGTTTTAATAGATGTTACTAGAATCCTATATTATATAAACTTATAATAAAGTAATACAAAATTTTATGCAATTTTTTTTTTTTTTTTTTTTTTTATTTTCAGCCTACTAACATCAATATATAATGTATTTATTTATTTATTTTTTGATGTATTAATTGAAATTATTTATAATGTGTTAGCTAAAAATCTAACACTTGTACTAGGGGCAGACAAAAAAAAAAAAAAAAAATTGAATCCAACGGCCGAACCGCTGAATTGAATCGATTTTTTGGTTAGCTGAGCAAATTCAATTCGAAAACAAATATTTTATATTTGATATTTGTTCTGTTTTGTTTGGTTTCGATTTTTGATATTTTTTTTCGGTTTTCGATTTTGATATTTTTTTCGATTCGATCACTGAGCCGAATATATATATACATTTATATTATTATATCTTAAAATTTATACTCATATTTATATTCCGTTCGATTTCGGTTCGGCGGCTCGAAACATTTGCAAATATTTTTATTTAATCAAAATTTTATTTAGTTTTTAATTTTTTCTTTTTTAATTTCGATTTGATTATAATTACTTATAAATATTCCAATATTTTCTGTTAATCATTTCGGTTCAAATATTTCGGATATTTGTTCGATTGAAATACCAAATATATATACTCCGTCCCATAACAAAGTATTCATTTTTTTATTTTTAGTCCGTCCCATAACAAAGTATCAATTTCTTTTTTTTTAAGTAAATGTACTATCTACTTAATATTACAAATACCCTTACAACTTACAATATATTACACAAATGTAGTTACCTTTATATTACACATACTAATAGAGTTATTTTAGTTATTTCTACTTTATTCTTATTATATTCCAATATAATATTAATATTTATAAAATTACGAAAAACAAATGAATATTTACTTTACGAACGGAGGGAGTATATATATTTACAAATAACCGAATCTGTGTCTACCCTAAACACTACACCACACTATTATAAATATAGAGAGAGAGAGAATTGTCAACGACGCATACGTAACGGACAACCAATGCATTTGCCGGTTACTCAATTTCTATTCATTATTATTATTATTTATTTGTATCTATCTTGGAAGAATAAATTCATAGTGCGCGCTTCCAACTCCTTCACTCAAACTCAATGTACGTATGTATATATACAGTCGGCGATGTATAATTTCACCCTCACAATCAATCTGCGGGATCAAACTGTTACGGAGAGAGTGGGGCTGCTCATATTTGCGGAATTGGAGCTGATCGGAGAGCGTGAAAAGTAAGTACCTTTTTTTCTGAAGTTCCGATCCTATCACCTATTTGTATAAATGCTCCAACGATGAAGTGATGCGATGCCGTTCAGTCTCTTTGTTTATTCGCGGTTCTCCTCTGGATTAATGTATTATTATTATCTGTACGTTTTAGAAATCTATCTGATTTGCTTGTTTTCGTTTGTTCTGAAGTGTTTGCAGCAGCGTCAACTACATCCGCTGTCCAATTCCAATTCCAATTCCGAGAAGGAGGAGGGCGACAACATAGCACCACCGTCCGTAGAAAAAAACATAATCATTCACTGGTGTCGAGCAGTTTGAAACTACCGGACAGTTTGCCTTCTATTTTGAGGCATCCGGATGAGCTTTATCCAATGTTGAGGTTAAAGCTGGCGTTGAAGGTTTCAGAGAAGCAGATTCCTGCAGAGCTGCCGCACTGGCGATTCTGTTACTCTGAGTTGAATAAAATTGATGGCTCACTCTTCGCAATTCAGCAGTTTGATAAGGATATTCGTGACCCTGTGAGTTTCTCCTTTCTCACTGCTACGCTCATCATAATTTCTATAATTTCTTTGGAAAAACACACACACACACATATATATATATATATATTATATATACACAATACACTCCTGCATTGATGGACTATTTGAGAATGGAATGGAATGGAATAAATCTCTGTTCTTCTGTGAATTATAATGTGTTAGATAGCATGAATCAACAGTGGTATGGACGAACACATCTGTTTAAAATTGAATGACAAGAGCTTGCATTCAATCATCTGTCCAATTTCGATGCTCTGAATTATCAAGTCTGTATAATTACCAAGTTTGTGTATTTTAACATGATCGATATTGAAGAGAACTTCCATAATCTTCTTGCCTTTGAACAATTCTCAGTTGTGCGTTTATGCTATGGTTCTTCGAGCACTAGACACCATTGGTAAGTAACATCTCTTGTTCATGAATCATTTTGTGAATATAGCTAATCCCAATCGTACTTCTTAACTAATTTTGAGTGCAGAGGATGATTCAACTATACCAGCAGAGGATAAAGTGCCCCTTCTACAAACTTTCCATCACCACATACGCAATGGAAATTTGCATTTCTTGAGTAAGTTTTGCAACTTAATTCTGCCTTTTTATTTTATTTATTTTCTGACTTGCATATATACAAGATGAATTTACACTATGGAGTAATTCAATTCGAGACCTAAAAGGATATTAAGGCAAGGATCCTATACTAAGAATTAAATACTAATGCTAATAATCTATGAAAAGCTAGGCCTAATTACCTTGCCTAAAAGTCAAAATCAGAGATAGTTTGAATGCTGGAATTTCGAACCCATCGGTTTGAATAATACCTTTGAGATAACCTAAAAGGCCTTGTGGCTCCAAAACTCAGTTATCCGTGTGACATGCCTAATTTGCTAGCTAATCAGCTGCTCGATTCCCTTCCCGGAAAATGTGAGAAGACTTCCACTCAATGTTGTGCAATAATTCTACCTTTTGATGATAATTTTCATGATAGCAAATCAATGAAGACCAGTATAAATATCTATGAACTCAACTATGACTTTAGATTATTACTATTGATGGCAACCATGCTATTGGATAATAGTGGGATATTTACCTTGAACCCAAGTAAGAGCCCATTTCATCCGAGTCTAATGCGAGCGAAAATTATGTAACTACAATTGATAAGTACAATTGTTTTATATGTGGTTATGTGGTTTGAACAACTGTGTAACAAGTGCAAAAGCACAAATAAACAAGGAATACACACAGTTTGTTTACTTAGTTTGGTAATCGGTATCAAACTTATATTTGAGGGGATTTTAATACAAAAGATGTTTGCTAAAAACCTATCACCAAGTTAAACATGAGCAAATACACCAACAAACATCAAATAGCAACTAGATAATTCTCCTACAACTTTATTTGCAATGCATTATACAAGAAACTGAATGTCATACCATAGTAATGACACCATTCGACCAAATGTCTTTGCTTATGAGTTGGTTATCTTCTCCGGTTGGGAAACCTTTTTCGAGCTCATACGTATTGTTCGAGCTTATGAGCTGATTTGTCCCCATACAAATTGCTTGAGCTGATTTAAGTATTTGTCCCATACAAATTGCTTATGAGCTGATTTGTCATTCGTTAAGTGTTCGAAGCTCGATTTGTTAAACAATTTATTGTTTGAACTCATGTTCGTATTCGGCTAGAATAAGCTTATTTGGATAGGTATAATTTATTATTTTTTAATATATATAATATTTTATTTATTTATTTATTTTTTAATTAATAATTTTTTTTAGCAGAATGTTCGCAAATGTTTGTAAACAAGGCTCGGGCTCGTTCGTAAATAAAACGAGCCTATTTATGTTATTCGTTGCGACTCATTCACGTTTGCGAATGAACTTAAAACAAACCGAGCTGAGCCAAATTCATGAACGGTTGATTCGTTGAACAGCTCTATTGCCCATTTTCCATTTTGATGTGTCTTTGACATTTTGACAATTATGCATCATATTTGTATTATACGCCAAATGGGAAAAGGATATTTTCTTAAACGCATGCAATTCATAATGCCAAATCCAATCAGATAAGTATAAACACATTACATTTGATGCTGTTTCTGCATGTAATCAAGAGATATTATCATTGGTTTCTCATTACTGGTGTAATATGTCTTCGCACCAATTTAAATTTTTTAGACAACTTTTACAACCTGCAGATGGCACAAAAGACTACCAAGTTCTACTGGAGAAGTTCCATAACGTCACCACTGCTTTCCTGGAGCTCGATTGCAGGTATTTTTCTGAATCATCAATTATCAATCACTTCTAAAAGCTATCAAACAGATATATCCACAAGGGTTTAAGATTACTTTTTTAAGAATTGAAACGTGATTAAGGTAATAAGGCCTATTAAGTTCCTATACTCTTATAGAATGCTTAAAACTGAACTAGAAGTTGTACATTCCGAACTCCTGTTAGTTTCTACATTATCAATAACTCGGACCAGCAGATTTACATTATCTTGATTTTCATCACAATGGTTAAATATAAGGTTTTTTTTTTTTTTTTTTTTTTTAAATTTTATCAAGGCCCAATATTTCATGCTTCCAAAAGAATGACAAAATTAAGCCCTAGTCGCTACTGCGAAATTATAAGTAACATGTGGTGGTAGTCGCCTTGATATAGATTTCAAATTAAGGTAATCAAACTAAGAGAACTTGTCCTAAATGAGACCATGTTTTCTCGGTTGCAAAATCGTTGATTGTTGTGTTGAAAAACAAGTTTTTGACATAATGATCCTTGCGCTGTTGCAACAGTAAACAACAGTGGATAATACGTACAGTTGAACATTTTGTGAAACATTCAGGACATTGATTTTAATTGTTTCAAAGGTCATTTAGCCAAGTATTTTTTAGTTGTAATTTGTGTAAGTGTATTTTTGGCTCGGAGTTCTTGTATCTGTTATGGAGTATTTAAAAAACTAGGAGCCAAGAGTGAGAAGGTGTTTCTTCTAAAAATTGATTCTATGGCTTCTTGGAGCTCTTTGGCCAAGAGTGAGAAGGTGTTTCTTCTAAAATTGATTCTATGGCTTCTTGGAGCTCTTTGGGGAAAATATTTTGAAGGTTACTGAGTTAATGACTGTAGATCTTTTTGCAATAGGCTTGTTGCAAGAAAGGCTTGAGAAGAATTTTTTTTACTTTCATGTTAAAAATTTTAGATAGGCTTGTTCACATTGACCGAAGTTAGTAAACAAACCATTTGTGTGTTGTTTTTCTACTTTTCACGTTGACATATATGGTTATTGCAACCACAGGAGAATTGTGGATGATATCTATTCATTAACCTCTTGTGGTTGCCATATTGTACACACTCGGCATTTTTATCACGGTGCTCGGTAACAAGGCAACTGAAACTACGTTGGCCTTTAAAGAGAACAATATATACGACTGAGATGTTTTGTGTTCAAATAGCTTTTGTGCTTCCTTTTGCTAGATTTCAGGAGGTAATTGAAGACATGGTCATGAGAATTGGTGTAGGAATGGCAAAATTTGTTGGCAAAGAGGTACGATCAATGAGAAATGAGCTTCATGCAAGTGGCAAGTAATCAGATCGATGATCAATGATTCGATTTTAAGAGCCTAGAAATCATGTTTTCCAGGTCAACACGATAGATGATTACGACGAATATTGTCACTATATTACTGGACTTTCTATGGTAGGAATGTTGAAGATATATAGTGTCAATAGTGGAAAAGATCTGGCTCCAGACAAACTCTTGTACTCAATGTGCTTATTTTTTCAGGTATAGAGTGATGCGTTATCGTATACTTTGTCTCTCTCTCTCTCTTTTTTATTTTCCAACTCCTACTGTGCAGAAAGCAGATTTCATCAAAGATTTTCTGGACGATATAAATGAGATGCCAAAGCCTCGTATATTCTGGCCCCGTCAAATTTGGGGTAAATACGTCGACAAACTGGAGGTAATCAAATTAAAAATACTTCATGGTCATGGTAAAAACTAATTAATATGAAACATTAATGTCAATTTTTATATTTTGCATTGCATTGCATTTTCAGGACTTGAAAGACGAAGATAATTCGGCTAAGGCACTGCTTTGCCTCAATGAAATGGTCACAAATGCTTTAACACACGTGGAGGATAGCTTAAAGGGTTTGTCTACTTTGCCAGATCCAACTATCTTCCGCGCTATCGCCATTATTTTGGTAAATAAGTCGAGGCTATACTCAGTTTCCCTAAGCTTGGAATGGTTAGGGATCAACACATGAAATATAACTTGACAATACATGCTTACAGTCTATACAACATATATATATGTTGTATAGATTATTAACATATGGTGACCATTTTATACATATGTTGGGATCAATTATAATATATATTGTGTGGACTATTTTCATGTATTGTCGGTTTATACCTTATATGCTTTTGGTATATATTTTGTGTATTGTTAGCAGTGTAGTTACAACAGTTCCCTAAGTTTGTCTAACCTAAAGAAAATTACAAAACATTAACTAGTTACTTTTGATGAGTTTAGGTCTAATCAATCTGAAGACAAAACTGATCTTTTGCATCAGAAATTTGTAAAGGCTAGAAAATTACTCGAAATTCAAATATTTGATTTGAACCAAACTAAAATAAAATTTTGGTTCGAATTTTTGGATATTTGGATTAGATCGGATTGAAATTTTCAAAATTTTAAATTTTTACATGAATTTAAATTGAACAAATGTAAATTTCAAGATACATTAAAATACTGGTGCATGTTTGGCTGGAAATATTTAAATGTCATATGATATTGTCTTGTATTTGTTTTGTAAACATTATTTGTTTATTGATGAATTTATCTAATTTATTAAAAATTCAAATGTTTGGATTTTTTAAAATGTTACGTAATTTCAGATTTTTCAATATAGTCTGAATTGTTGGATTTTTCATTTTAGACAGTTCGATTTGTGTTCGGATCGATATTTTTACAAAATTTTGGAGTTTTGAATTAATTCAAATTTATCAAAGTCCGAACCATAAATTTGAATGCTCACCTTAGAAATTTGCAGGTGATCGACTTTGGGACATTAGTTGCTTGCTACAATAACATTCAAGTATTTCAAAGTGGTGTGAGACTAAGACCAGGTAAGTAAGATAGATGAATCTTGTCATTGCACTGATCTTGCATTTCTTTTACTATTTTCATTTTTTTTTTTTCAAAATCTTAGAATTCCAAATACCTCTATGTAATGGAGCATACCTAAGCTAACCTTTGTATATACTTGTTTTCTCAGGTCTTGCGGCCAAAATCTTCTACAAAATAAGAACAATGTTTGATGTTTGCGAGGCTATACACGATTTCTCTTTTACACTAGAATCAAAGGTATGTTGTCAAAACTAACAATTGCCGATTTTCCGTAAGTTATTATCGGTAGCTAGAAAAATGTTACTTAACATCATGCTTTAAATGAATTGGTTTAAAGTACTTCAGATTTGAAATATGTTTGAAATAGTAGTATTAAAAAAGAGGCGAATTTCACAGCTAACTATGAAAATTTGAAATACATGGCATTGTCAAATAAAATTGATGAAATCATTTGAAATAGTTTAACCAAATTCATCCAATAAACGGGGGTCTAAAATATTTTGCGAATTCTATAAAGTCCTGTTTCATTTGAGGAATTTTATTTAAAAGTATTTCAAATGACTATCAAATCCATTAGTTTAGTTTGTCATACAATAAGTTTTAATACTCAAAGTTAGTTGTGTATTTCAATTCACCTCATTTAATATTTTAAATATTATCTATATTATGTCTTTTTCAAATACTTATTTCAATTTGAAGTAATTCAAACCAATTTATTTAAAATCTACTTTCAACCCTCAAATTCAAATCCATCCCCCCAAATGAACTTAATATAATTTAAACTTAAGTCTTGTGAAAGTATTATAGATAATAATGTTTTGTATATTTTTATTAACTTTTGTGTATTTTTGTTGGACTTTATTACTATGCGTATGTATTAATAATATTTTTAAAAAATCGTTTATATTGAAAATACTAAGTAAACAAACTTAGCATTAAGATAGTCAAGCTGATCTAGAAACATATAATAGTCACGGATGAAATGACAATCAATATTAATATGCATTGTGCACTAGTGATAATTGGATTATTTATCATGTGTATAATAGACAAATTATCAGTAAAAATTTAAATAAGAAGAGGCACATCTACTTTAAATCACAGGAGAAGATAGCAAATCCTTAGCAACTCTTTTACTGTTTGAGCAAATGTATGATACTCTGCTTCAGCTGATGATTTGGCAATGGAGGATTGTTCCTTGGATTTTCAGGAGTTTAGATATATACCAAGGAAAATACAGAATCCAATTATATAAATATATATATATATATTTTTTTTTCTTATTTTTAAAAATTTGTATATATAAAAATAACTTAGATGAAATTTTTTATTATTATAACTTACAATGAGATAAAAGATAATTTGATTATTTATGTGTACTATCTTCAATACAATTGGATTATTGTGATTTACAAGATCAAAAAAATATATATATTTTATTTTCTATTGAGAATATTAATAATTATAATTGCTTGTAAAATATATTTATTTGATATGTGCTATTTATATTAGGGAAAACTATTTTTTTAGTTTAGTAACTTTTTTTATTATTTCAGTCTTGTAATTGGAGTTTGTATAGAAATAATCATGTATTTTTTTTTGGCACTTAGTTCTATGGTGTTGGAGCTGCGTATGTGGCGTCTAGGTGGCTCGCTGGAGCGCCTACTTGGCGGACACATGTGATTTTTTTTAAAAAAAATAATTAAAAAATTTTTAAAAAAAAAAAAAAAAAAATCACTTATTTGCCCGGTGGTTCCTATCTTGCGGACACATGTGCTTCGGCGTGCCATGCGGATACCACATGCGCATCTCCGATGCCGGAGGACCAGTTGTGCTAAAAAAATTTACTTATGAAATAATTTTTATACAAACTTCAATTACGAGACTAAAATAATAATAAGAGTCACTAAAAATCAATTTTTCCTTTATATCATCAATGTTTATTATTCGTATAGTTTTGTTTTTCATAATATTATTAAAAAAATACAAAGTATTTAAAACTTGAAAATTATAAATATTGAGGGGACATATCGTTGTGGGTAAAAATATAAAATAAACTAAGTATGGAAGGGCTCTCCATTGTGGATGGCCACCAAGCTTTTAATAGCTTACATCAATGCCTAATCTTGTGTGTAAGTTAAGCATATCTTCTGTATGGGGGATTATATGTACATTTCAATTGAAGAGTTTATATTGTATTTTGTGCATTTGTATTAAAAATACGTACATATATATAGAGAGGGAGAATAGTCAGGTGTTGATCCTAATTAGCATATGAAATATAAATTGTTAGCACATATCGATCTTTTTTATGTGTGTTGTGTTACTATACCGTGTGCGCTAAGGTTAATATATCATGTGTGTATTATGTTAATATACACCTTCTACTGTCAATTTATACCTCGTATATTGTATATATATTTTCTGTCCTATTAGCACAAAGATTAATCACAATCAACATATTTACTGCTTGGGCGCGGATCAGGATCCAATCAACTCAGCATTGTGCTGATATGATCGAGTCAAACATATCATATAAAGGAATATAATATATATTTTTGCATAATACAACATATATTGTGTTATAAAATATCATATACTGAATTGTAATATAACATATATTATATCATAAATATACTATGATAATATATAATACATGATTACTTTATGTGTGTTAAGCACAAAAAATAATAATAATAGTAAGTGGCAGTAGGATTGTGGGTAGGGTCTGAATGAAAGCCAAAAGGTCTGGAGGTCGGGCAGAATAAAGGTCGGGAAAAGGAAGAAAGGTAAGATCTCAAGAATTGATCCAAATCCAGACTCAGGTACTACCAAGAGATGGTTGTCCGTGATCAGCAGTTCGGGCTGTATTCAGGTCGGGCGGAGTCTAAAAAAAAAGGTGTACCCAAGTCGGGTAAACCGTAGATCGGATGGAAGGCAAAGTCGGGCAGACGCGGAGGTCTGTCAAGAGGAAGGTCGGGCAAGGAAGAGGTACGGACAGACGCGGAGGTCTTTGGTCAAAGACGGAGGGCGGCTGATGCGGAGGTCGGCCCAAGTGAGGTCGGGCGAAGAAGCAGGTCGGGCGAAGGACGAAGTCGGGCAAAAGAAATTTGGCAGTGGACAGGCAGGTCGGGTAAGAGGCAGGTCTGAGTTTTGTGACTGGTGGGAACGGTTGAAGGAAGTTGTAATACGTGTCAATAGAGGAGAAATTGGTGGTCGGTTGACAGCGGTTGCTGTAACCGACCAGACGGCGGTTCAAACCGTTTTCTCTGAAAGGCTATTTAAAGGATTCAAATCCGTCAGAAAAGGCATCTTCAATCAACTTCAACAAAGCAAAGTCAGATTTGGGGATCACCACTTTAAATTTCAGTCTTTTATTTTCCAATTTATTTTCTGTACCATACAGTGTTTAGAGATTCCTAATCTCAGGCACTAATTAATCAAGTTTAAGGATATTTTCTATATCTTTGAATTTTACTTTATTTTTGTTGAAAAATTACATCAACAAATTGGCGACCACAGTGGGAGAAAGGCAAGATTGCTGATCCTACATCAATACAAAATGTCATACAACTGAGGTCTGGCCGAATCATCAGAAAAATCAATATGGTAGGCACACAACCTCAAATATCATCAGCACCGGTGGGAGAGAATGTTTCACCACCAGTCATGCCAAATCCAGGGGAGATTCCCCCACCACCTACCGATTGGTTGTCTTATGTTCAACAAATGAACAACCAGCAAACTTTGGTTATGCAGAACATGTTGCGTGAGCAACAAACGAACATGTTGCGTGAACAACAAAATCTAATACAGAACATGGTGGATCAGGCATTCTCCAGATTCACCCTGTATCCAAACATGCTTCCAGCCGTGTCACCTGCTCGTTTTCAGGCGATTTTTCCAGGATCAACGTTTGCAGGGCCAACGTACGTTGACAGTACGTTTCCAAGCGTCACAACTTTCAACCGAACAGATATGGGGAAGATTCCTCTAACTTTCCCAGATAATGTTCCTTTGGGACCGAGGGTTGATAATACCGAGCCGAATGAGAGATTAGGAGGACAGACTCATAATCCCATTCCAACCGAACCAGCCTTCTCTAGAGAAGAAAGGTTGGAAGGACAGACTCATAATCCCATCCCAGCCGAACCAGCCTTCTCCAGAGAAGAAAGATTGGGAGGTCAGACTCACGATCACATTCCAGTGTTCGACCATATTCCACCCAGAGTAGATCCGGAGGATATTGCTCAAGTTCTGCGGGTGCATTTCGGAATGAATCCGCAAACGGTGAACAGGCCGGTTTACCAGAGGCCATTTCCAGAAAGGATCATTAACGATCATCCTCTCCCGAGAAATTATAGGCCACCAGACTTCTATTCTTTTTCGGGAGAAGACGGAGCCTCTACCATTGAGCATGTGGGTCGCTTCACGGCTCAATTGGGAGAAGTAGGCAACAATCCGTTTCACAAGTTACAATTGTTTGGGTTGTCGCTCACAAGAACAGCTTTTTCTTGGTATGCCAGTCTGCCGCCTGGACAGTTGCAAACTTGGGAAGATTTAGAGGCAGATTTTCATGCAAGGTTCTTTAATCCTCTGCCGACAGTCTCACTGATAGACCTTCTGGAGATCACGCAGATGCCGGAAGAGACCGGCTACCAATTCATAGAGAGGATGCGATTGATGAAGGGACGATGTCCTACGATGATCAATGAAAGCGAAATGACCAATTTGGTGGTCAGGAACATGCATACCAGACTTCGCGAGGCCCTGACAGCCCACGACTTTCAAGATCTGGCCAGTTTAGCATCCACGGCAAGAAGGTTAGAATCCTTTTTTACAGAAAATAATCATGACTTCCGTCAGGGGGGAGATGCTGAAGCAATGTTAGTGCAAGATCGACCAACGTCCAGGCCAGCACCATTCCGCGATAAATGGAGGTCGGGTCCAACGTAGCCTCGAAGGATGGAGGTCGGATCTGAGGCTGACGTAGCCTCGGATGCCGGCCTGCAAACTCCTAAAACATCACTGGAAGTGATGTTTAGGAGTCTTGAGGAGGAGGCTTATTGTTAAGCACAAAAAATAATAATAATAGTAAGTGGCAGTAGGATTCTGGGTAGGGTCTAAATGAAAGCCAAAAGGTCTGGAGGTCGGGCAGAATAAAGGTCGGGAAAAGGAAGAAAGGTAAGATCTCAAGAATTGATCCAAATCCAGACTCAGGTACTACCAAGAGATGGTTGTCCGTGATCAGCAGTTCGGGCTGTATTCAGGTCGGGCGGAGTCTAAAAAAAAAGGTGTACCCAAGTCGGGTAAACCGTAGATCGGATGGAAGGCGAAGTCGGGCAGACGCGGAGGTCTGTCAAGAGGAAGGTCGGGCAAGGAAGAGGTACGGACAGACGCGGAGGTCTTTGGTCAAAGACGGAGGGCGGCTGATGCGGAGGTCGGCCCAAGTGAGGTCGGGCGAAGAAGCAGGTCGGGCGAAGGACGAAGTCGGGCAAAAGAAATTTGGCAGTGGACAGGCAGGTCGGGTAAGAGGCAGGTCTGAGTTCTGTGACTGGTGGGAACGGTTGAAGGAAGTTGTAATACGTGTCAATAGAGGAGAAATTGGTGGTCGGTTGACAGCGGTTGCTGTAACCGACCAGACGGCGGTTCAAACCGTTTTCTCTGAAAGGCTATTTAAAGGATTCAAATCCGTCAGAAAAGGCATCTTCAATCAACTTCAACAAAACAAAGTCAGATTTGGGGATCACCACATTTTCCAGTTTATTTTCTGTACCATACAGTGTTTAGAGATTCCTAATCTCAGGCACTAATTAATCAAGTTTAAGGATATTTTCTATATCTTTGAATTTTACTTTATTTTTGTTGAAAAATTACATCAACAATGTGATATACTGTTTTGATTGGATCATCACCGGATCCGCAGCCTTACTGTTTATATATATATGTATGTACTTTGCTAGAAATTTTGAAATCAATTTGTCTTACATTCTAGTTTTTCAATTTTGGTCATGATTTTATAAATGTTGATATACTTCCAATGGAGAACTTCGCAGATCCGCGACAACAATCCTAATGATAAAGTGACAAGGAACCTCATAGACACTATCAAGAAATTCTGCAACAAAAATTCCGGAACTTCAAACCAAAGGTGTGCAATTACTTCATAATATCCGTCAAAATTTGACACATTTCCTTCCGAACAACTTATTCAGCATTTGATTCGTTTTCTGTCAGGAAATCTTACATTATTTAAAGCAACCTCGGTTTTAGATGTGTGCTTTTCCATCGAAGATTCAGTTCATCTAGAAGAATGTATTAAAGCACAATATATGCTTTCGTAAAGGTTCCCATCCTCTTCATTATATTGATTAGATTCCGAGTGATTGAAGTATTGGTTGTATCGTATTTAAAATCAATTAATGTTGTTCTTTAGAAGAAATTGGAGGAAAAAATCGATCTATTAAATTCGACTTGCGTTCTTTCCTATATCTATGTATCCCCGGTGTAGCTTCGTATGCAGCTTCGAGCATTAGGATAAGCTCATTCAACACTTATTCAGTTTCTTACTTGAAGAAAAACCATTGAAATAGTAGGGGCGGATTTAGCTTTGTGTCACGTGACATTAGTGATTTTATTCTACCAAAATAAATTTTTATTATTTAATAATTATACTAAATAATTGTAGTGCCCCACTTAAGTATTTGTTCGTTCTGTAATTATTTCAAATTCAAATCAACACTATTCATTATGCATGATTTTTAATAAAAATGTAATATTGTATTTCTTATCACAAAATATCACATCAATTTAAAAAAAAAAAAAATTAAATTTGCTTCGAAATTTTCGAGGCTAATTTGCATAGTGTCGTACTTTCTGAAGCAATCTTGTCTCAAAATTTTCAAATCTATCTTACTTCAGAAATTTTGAGACTATCCAAATTAGTCTCGGAAATTCTGAAACTCCGCAAAACAAAAAATCAGTCACGGAACTATTTTCAAGATTATGTCTGAGGCTAAGGAAATAGGTTCGGAAACTATTCATTTATTTAACCAATTTTCCGAGGCAAACCATCAAATTTTTAGTAGTCATAATTTTGATTTTATCGAATCAGTGTCTCACATAAGGCATATAGAATATATTTTTTATATAATATATACATATAATCTTTATGTGATATGCATCCTTAACCAATTTAAATATAATTTTTAAATTATAAAATAAAAATAAAATATAATAATATAATTCTATATAATTTTGTTGCATAGATTAATTCTCTTAGTATAAAAAAAAATAACTGTTTAATCTGATTTTTAAGATTTTTTTTCTTTTACAAATAATAAAAATATGATTTAAAACTTACAAATGTTATTAGCATATAAAACTTGCATCTATCTCCACCATATATATATATATATATATATATATATTTATCCATGTAGCGAATATGAAGATCAACATCATGGTAAATCACCCCATCACTACCCTATTCGAGATGGTTTTTGGTCATTTACGGAAATATTATTATAATCAATATAAATATATATATATATATTGTCATATACAATAGTATAGAATATACTGTGCATGGTTCTTTTCTCTCTCAAAAATCACATCAAATAAAATAAAAACTGTTTATTATTATCAAAACAAAATTTAAAATTTCAGAACTTTTATTCAAATTGTAAATCAGCCCAAAAACTACTCAGAATCTTGTCTTCCATATATATCGGACAGAGACACACAGACACGACACAAACATCAATAGAAAGCATCAACACATATTCTTTGATTGGAGGATAAGTAAGTCGATAAATCTGTGGAATTTACACAGGCCGCGGGCTACGGAACATCAACGAAAAAACAAACATCAAGGATTGGTCTTTTTTTTGCCAAGTAAGTAAGTTGAGATGGTTGATATGATGCTAAGTAAGTCGAAAATTTTGTCTGAATTCATGGGATTGCCGGAGAATATGAATTTTGACGAAGATTCGATGCATATTTTGGCGTCGTTGTTGACATTGGGTATGATGAATAGTCAATGCAGTAATACTGCTAGCGTACATGAAAGGATTAATGAACTTGAAGGTTATAGAATGCGTATGCTTCAAGAATCGACGAGGATTATGACTTTGAGTCTCGAACTACCTCTTACTATGTTTCTTCTTAATGGTGGTATGTACTTGTATGTATATATATATATGTAAATTATGAAATTATTTTATCTCGAACTACCTTTTTACTATGTCTCTTATCAATGGTGGTATGTACTATATATATATATATATATATTTGTATGTAAATTCGGTTTGAGTTTGATATTAAAATGATATTTGATGGAGCTTTTTATAAGAAATAAAAACATATTTTTTTTTTCAAAAAAGACAATCGAAATTGTATTTGCATCGCGTTCTTACAGCTATTTTGGCCGTCGAAAAGGAGAAGGAGATACTTTTACACAAGACTACAAAACAAGATGTAGCCGGTGATAATATTCAAAAAAAACAAACCTGTTCTTCATGTTTGGCTGACTTGATCGAAGTTTTGAAGCCAACCAAGAAATCAATAACTGAGAAATCAACGAAGCTACGTGAAAACTCAAGCGAAGCTTTGATGCTAGAAGAAGACTCGAACGAAGCTTTGAATTCAGATGAAAACTCAAGCGAAGCTTTGAAGCTAAATGAAAACTTGATCGAAGGTTTTAGGGGAGGACAAGACTCGGGAGAAGTTTGGAAGCTACACGAAGACAGAGAAAGGAAACATAAAGAAAAACAAGTAAATTTTTGTTACTTAAGTTATATTACAAGAATGCAATGCTGCTAGTCGTTAATTATTTTGCCGGTAGGATATAGAGGAAGAAGACGCGGGGGGATTTTGGGAGAGGAATTTATTTTCACTTGGATCGGTTAAAGTTAATGCAAACCCGGCGACGAGGGAGAAAAAGAGGAGACGATGGACGTCGACGCTGCACAGTAAGTTTGTTCGGGTTACGGAAGAACTTGGAGGTCCCAAAGGTTGGACAACTTTAACTCTCAAAATTAGTTATATATATATATATATATATCACCTATTTAAGTTACATCAAATATCTATTTTTTACGGTTTTAAATTGTTCTCAAAGCTTTTCAAAACTTATCTAAACAAAGATAGACTTTTAAGTTATGGATGTGGATTCTATTCATAAGAAACTTGATTTGATTCAATCAAATATACAATAAAGATAATTAACACATACACATCATATACTATGGTGTATATTATATACTCCCTCCGTGAGTAAAAAGTAAAGGTAAAAGACGTTTTTGCCCTTGTGAGTGTATTAGTGTAAAAGGTAGTGACAATTGTGTAATAATAATGAAAGAGTAAGAGTAGTTATATAGTGATAGGGTTATTTATGAAAATTAGACTATTGTTTTGGGACGAAGGAAGTATATATATATATAGGGTAAACTATTTTTTTAGTCCAGTAACTGGACCCCTTTATCATTTTAGTTCCGTAAGTGGAGCCTGTCGCAAACTAATCCCATAAGTGAAAAATTTTCGTTGTTTTAGTCCTCCGGCGCCGGAGACACCCGTGTGGCTCGCCGGAGGTGACGTGTCTGCCAGGTGTCCCGCCAGGTCAGTGACACCTTGCGGACACGTGGATTTATTTATTTTTTTTAATTTTTTTTAATTGGACCAAATAAAAAAAAATTAAAAAAATACAAATAAAATTAAAAATAAGTTTTTAAAATAACTTAAAAAATGAAAAAAAAATTTAAAAAAAATCCACGTGTCCGCCAGGTCAGCAACACCTGGCGGACACGTCACCTCCGGCGAGCCACGCTGGCATCTTCGGCGCCGGAGGACTAAAATAGCAAAAAAATTTCACTTATGGGACTACTTTGCGACATGCTCCACTTACGGGACTAAAATGATAAGGAGGTCCGGGACTAAAAAAAAAACAGTTTACTCTATATATTGTCTATTTGTATTATATATAAGGATAGCTAGAGATAGTATTAAAGTAAAACAAAATGAGAATAGGTGATGTGACAAGAGATTATCTATTTATTTTTTTATTTGGTGATGTGATAGGATAAAATATAATTAATTATTTTTTATTTTAAAAAAATACAGTAAAACAGACCAAAATAGAAAATATTGGTAAAATATATAAAAGTGAGGGAGTATGTAATATGATGTAAATATATGTTTAAGGGAATGTTGTAGATCTTGTGCTGATCCAGCCAAGTTAGCGTACTGATTTGATCGGATTAGCAGATGCTATATGTTTGATGCATATGTTTATAAATATCTCAGCATATTTGTGTTATAAGATATTTGAATTATAATATAATATATGTTGTATTATAAATATAGTGAGATGGATATAAATATATGTAAGTAAATGATTATAATGCCGATAAATTAACTAGTTATGTGACTATTATGGAGTTGCTTTTTCTCTAATCAGCATATACAATGGTAGCTTGTTACATCATGTATTGTTAGTTTATAGACTATAATTGTAGTATATTAATATAAATATGTACTGTTGTTCTTATATGCAATGTTGTCGGCATATGACAGTGACTTCCATATGTAATGTTTTGAAGAAAAAAATTGATCTTTTTATAATATTTTAATTATAAAATCAATGTTTAATTCGATAGTTTTAAATAAAATAAATAACGCCAGATCAAATCCAAACTTTAAAGAAACAGAGCCTTTATATTCGATCACGAACATGAGCCTTGATGCAATGTGATTTTGTCATGTCTATAACACAACACCATTGATGGAAGTTAATTTATCGATATTTTGACGCAGAAGCCAAGCCGAAGCAAATCAGGGAGCGGATGCAAACATACGGTCTAACAAACGACCAAGTGAAGAGCCATTTGCAGGTTGGTATTTTCTTACAAATAAACGAAGATGGTGACGCCGGCGATCATCATCGCTGATCCCTTTTCCGTTTGATGTTTTGTTTTTTTCCCATAGAGCGAAAAGAATGACTTACTAAATAGATATATACAATTAACTTGTTGATATTAGAAGTATCGAGCTACCCTTCGTGATAGCGCCGGAGAGAGATATCCGCCTTTTCCGAATGATGAAGATGAGGAAGATCTTGGGTAAAGAAGGTACTTATGTATGTATGTGTATATATATATAGATCGATCTAATTATGGAACTAACTGAGGCTAAATCAATATTGACTATCCTCAATCAGCATATTATAATAATATACACAATATATAATTATTGTTGAAACAACTTATATTGTGTATGGTGCTAATGAGGCTAAATCAATATTGATTAGCCCTAGTCAGCACATTATAATAATATACACAACACATTACATATATTACGTTAATACATAGGGTAAAGTTTTTTTAGTCTTGTAACTGACCCCCTTATTATTTTAGTCCCATAAGTGGAGCATGTCGCAAACTAGTCCCATAAGTGAAAAATTTTCTCTGTTTTAGTCCTCCGGCGCCGGAGACACCCGCATGGCTCGCCGGAGGTGACGTGTCCGCCAGGTCAGCGACACCTGGCGGACACGTGGATTTTTTTTTCATTTTTTTTTAATTTTTTTAATTGGATCAAATAAAAAAATAAAAAAATACAAATAAAATTAAAAATAAATTTTAAAAAAAGTTTTAAAAAAAATAAATAAATAAATAATCCACGTGTCCGCCAAGTCAGTGACACCCGGCGGACACGTCACCTCCAGCGAGCCACGCGGACGTCTCCGGCGCCGGAAGACTAAAACAGCGAAAATTTTTCACTTATGGGACTAGTTTGCGACAGACTCCACTTACGGAACTAAAATGACAAGGGGTCCAGTTACTGGACTAAAAAAATAATTTACCCTAACATATAATATATGATGATCAGTTGTGACATATGTTATGAATTATTGTCATTTAATGTCAATTTATATATTTTTTATGTCCGTTTTTAAAGGTTATATTTACATTTTGGTCACTGTACTTAACATTAAAAATATCTTTTTGATATATTAGTATTACAAGACACTGATCAAAGTATTTTGGTCATCTTTTTTATTTATACTATGTTTTGATATAATAATTAATATTTAAATATGAACATCCAAAAAAATAAATATGACCTTAGAGCGGGGCGTAGATGGTATTATATTATGTTATCTTAGTTCTTTTTTTGTTTTTTATTTATGCATGTAAAATATAAATACTTATTTTGATTGTATATAATTTTTGCAGGAGGTAGTACTACCAAATAACATGAATAATTTTGCAGAAAGATTGGAAGAGTTTTGAAAGCAGCAGCAGCACCAAAGCATTATTATTATTATTATTATCAACAGTTACTACTGCGCAGAGGCTTCCGACTCCCTCCCCCTCACAAGGCAAGTTGTTATACTTGTTTTGGGTGGTAGATTAAGTTTATTTGGTTTTGATTTGGAATTAAATTTTTTTATTTGAATTTTTAGTTTAAATAGTATTTTGATTTGATAATTTATAAGAAAAAATAATATTTTTTTCATTAAAAAGTATCCGAAATAGTAGTAATTTCTATTTTAAATTGAAACCGAACTCGCATTATAATTTGGTTTTGAGTTGAAATAGTTATATTAGTATTATAAAATTTTAACGTTAAAATTAAGTATTTGATCATAATATAATATATCTAAAATTCCGGGTACAGTCTGGTTTCTCATTGTGCCGGGCTGAGCACGGCCCGAAAATTTTTCAGGTTTATTTTTTAGGCTCAAACACGATTTTTTCGTGCCAGGTTTGGATCAAATTTTTAAATCGTAGCTATTTTTGTCACATCTAATACAAAGTATGAATATTTTGATATTTAGTTAAAGAGTTACTTTGAAAAAAAAATGAAATGAAAAGTTTTTTATTTGAATAGATTAAAATGGCTATGAGAAGTTCACTACTAGACGGAGAGAGTATTAAATTGTACTTGAAACACAAATCAAACACGTACAAAAATAAATGTACTTGTAAACCATGTAAAGTTTTGATTTGACATTTTTAAATTGCGATTTACAATTCATAAGACCTTACATCCGGTCTCATTTCAAACACAAGCAAAGTTAGTATTGATTTGTGTTGAATTACATCATTTTCTGGTTTCATTATAAATATTTTCAATTAATTTTGATTTCATTATTCAAAAACTAATAAAAATTATTGATAAAGTGTGGAGTAGAGATTAAGTATAATTAACTATTTTCTATTTTAAAAATATTACAGGGTGTTTGAGACATACCAAAAAAAAATGTTGCAGGGTGTTTGAGACGGAGAGAGTACATATTAGCCCCCCAACTCTAAGAAATGTTGTTTAATGAATGATTAGGTTAATTTCAATCAAATTTACTAATCATAATATCAAGAACCCTAAAATCCAATTTCATGCATTCAAAACCAAGTTCTACTTCTAATCTCTATATTCTCCGAAAATTGGTTAGGACGTATAGATAGATAAAACAGCATTTTCAAATCTACAGATAAAATGGCAAAAGATAAAAACTCACCAGGAGAAATGGAATCAATCAACAACATAATTTGGTGCCACAGCTAAAATCCTGTCATTTCTTGACAAGGGCCGAGCACTTTCTCCGTCGTCCGGTCGCTGGCCGTCGTCTACAACGATCAAATACCCTTCCCTTTGTACCAAGCTCTGATCACAACAAGCAATAAATTTAATGTGAAACCATGAGGAAACTACAGAAATGGTTTGTGTTTCAGCGGCAACCAGTTACCTCTACAATGGCCTTTACTTTTGTGACTTCGGCTGCTGCCTCTTCCATGGAGCTGTAACTGTTTTTCTCATTCTGCTGCCCGATGTACCATTGGATCAGATCCCTTTGCTTCAACCCAGACAACCCTGTTGCGGCAGTACATAACAAATTCGGTCAAATTAGGGATATTCGAGAATACCAGGGTTGAGTTTAGTCGAGCTTAGGGGAATTTAGAACATGGCTTCTTCGTGGAATAATTGGGGTGCAGTTTTTAAAGAAAACTTATGAAGGGTTTACCTTCTTGTGACAGAGTCTCTTCATGTTGTCTAAGTCGCATGATGAGCGCACGAGTAACTTTTTGAAAGTATTCGTCGCTGATCACTAATTTCTTTCCTTGTCTGCTGGCAGAATTATCAGCATCACCTTGACCGGATGCATGCTCTTCATTGTCATTGCCGCCATTGTTAGCATCATTTTCGTTGTCGTTATTCTCTTCCTGAAACTCTGATAGATCAATCTCACTCGATTCCACGCTGCAAAGCAAGTAAAACAAAATGACCAAAAGTATTTGCTGATAAAGGATTCAAATAAGTGTAGTTGTTTGTCTTTTTACTTGATTATTGATGTCTTCAGCAACCTCACTGCTAGTCGCACGTGATGAGGAAGAACCTATAAACATTTGATACATTAATTCACACGCAACTTTAAATATCAGGGTTACGTATAAGTTCAAATTAAGTACCTCTTTGTCTAAATGACTTCGTGCAAGTGCCTCCGAGAGCCGAATCAGAGCCTCCAGTTGTCTTACAGTCATTCGGTATGCAACTCTGCTACCGGGAGTTGCATCTCCTCTGCGAAGGGACACATAAGATTCGACCAACAATTGCCTTGCTTCAGGGCTCAGCTGCATAACATTTGAACTTTGTCAGAGACTCCAGAGAAATAATGTAATTGTGTTGTGATTAAGCGTCTTATAAAGACAGATGCAAACCATTGGTTTCAGAGTCTTTGCATACGAGATGTAACGCTTCAATTGTGCAGTTGTAAATGCAGGAGAAAGTGCCTCTTCCTGCTGCTGATGGACTCTCACAATATGATGAGCGATATGGTAATCAACTTGTTCCTCCGGGTCATCAATTATCACATATACAAGGTCAAACCTTGAAAGAATAGCCGGAGGAAGTGCAACGTTGTACTATAAAAATACACATTAAAATCATTAGTATAGAAAAGAGGATACGAATCAAAAGCAGACCAACCAGACTACTAAAAACAATAACCTTTTTTTTTATTAAAAGGTTACTTCTTTGGCAGTAACTCACCTTCAGAGGTTTAGTCTTATCATATCTGCCACCTGTTGGATTTGCAGCAGCTAATATTGATGTTCTAGCATTTAAAGTTGCCTGTATACCAGCTTTAGTTATGCTTATTGTCTGTTGTTCCATGGCTTCATGAATGGCAACCTTAAAAACACATGCATAGTCCAAACATCAGATTTAGCTGATTAATATTGAGGATGTAATATAAAAACGTCACCATGGTGCTACAATTACCTGATCTCTTGTATCCATCTTATCAAATTCATCTATACAGCATATGCCATTGTCAGCGAGCATCAGTGCACCAGCCTGCGTGTGGTTGGTTTGTATATCGTAATCAGAATCTTTTAGAACATATTAACATGAAAAGCATGTCCAATAAATATTTGGATAATTAAACAGAAATTTGGAGATTGAATTTAGATCTAAGTTCCCCTCAAGGTTCTGTAAGATCAACTATGTCCTTATCATAAAGGCAAAAATGAATTTTGGTTCACCAGTTAATTTTGCCTAAGACATAAGGGCAAGGCAAACAATAAATAACAAAAGAATGATATAACACTACCTCAATGCAAAATTCACCAGTCTCCGGTTCTTTGGCAACAGTGGCAGTCAGCCCAGCAGCAGATGAGGATTTCCCTGATGTATAGACAGATCTTGGAATCAGACCTGACGTATACCTGCAATATGGATATATATAAATATATGTATGCAAGAACAAACCCACCAATCATACTAATATTAAAGAAACCCATACTTGAGGAATTGCGACTTTGCACAGCTGGGGTCTCCCACAATACAAACATTTATATCACCCCTTAAGTTGATGCCTTCGTGTGTAATTTTATGGACGCCTCCCATAAGCATGAGAAGAACTGCACGTTTAATATCTTGGTGACCAAAAACTGTGGGTGCAATGCTATCAACAAGCTTATTGAAGAAGTCAGGTGTGTTCTTCATCTGATGGGCTTCGGCCTTCTCTTCCGGCTGCAGGCAACATAGAAGAAGTGTGAATTTTCACTATATACTATTGGTCAACATGACTTTATGCGGAAAGCATAGTATGCTCAGCATAACAAAATTGCCCATCTCAGAAGCTCTATTATGTTACAAAACCATATCCAAAGCAGAGAATTCAAAAGATCTTATAATAAACTAGATTTTAATGGGAATGTTTGGGAAATGAATTAAAAAGATGGGAAATAGCTAAGATGAGACCAAATAGATAGCTCCATGGGTAACTTACTGTTACTTGCTGACTCTCATCTTCATCATCTCTCCTGTTACGAATATCAGCAACCCTTCTCCCATCACAAATCTTTGAAGAGACAATAAAACACCATATTAATTAGACAATTCAACAGGATATACTTCCTCATTTTAAGCTAGGACATAACTTTAAATCAGGATGTTTCCCCCACTAATGGATAGAATAACAACCTGCACAGAGTTCGCAATGAAGGCAAGCCGATAGGATAGGTCCCTAACACCTAATGCACGAAGGCCTCTTACACCATCTTGACCAGCTGCAGAATTCTTACTAGAGGATTCCCGGCGACATTCAGCTCTTTCCCCGGGAGAGGCCAATGCCATAATATCAGGCAAAGCAACAAGAGTGCCAGTAAACACAACCCTGCAACATGTGAATTTACAAAATTGTGAATAATTGCTCCAATAAAACTGGAAATGCAAAGATTCTTAATAAGATGTGCACAGAAAAATTCTCACGTGTCACCAGCCCTGGCTTGCTCAACAATATCACCGCGAAGGATGATATCTAGTGATCTTGGTAGCGAACCCGGAGGTATTTCCTTGGATGTCTCCTGCATACGGACCCTCTGCCAATCTGTAAATTTGCTATCTTGTCTCAGCAAAGCCCACTTTGTTCTATTCTGGCACGTTGCATTCATGCAGATAATTGGCTGTAATATCATAACAGAACATCAGAATATAATTTAATTCAACAGGATCAAGATCACCTTTCTAGAATTGATATATGAACTAGCAGCAGTTCTCGTACACAGGAACATTATCAATGCAATTGTAGGACAAATTCAAAGTATCTCTAGGCGTGGACCGGTGTTTAATTTGCAGTAAAGGAGACACGAAAATTCAAACAAACCTCAGTGTATTTGTACTGCTGTTCAACGTCTTTTATGACATTTCCACATTCTAAGCACTTGAATGTGCCGAGAAGAAGCTCCGGCCGAACCTCACTGGTGCGTGTGACCACACCGCTCACCGACACTAACTTTCCGATCTCCGTCGTGGTTAGCTCCCTCAGTCTCTTAATCAAGGGGAGATTGTAGAACGAGATATTGATATCTTTGTTCGGACTGTCGTCGGTTATGAAAGCAGGCTTGAGTTCCATCACAAACCTTTTGCAAGCGTTCTTCAGGTAAGGCTCGAATCGAAGAAATTCCTCCGAAATGGCCTTCTGCAGAACGTCGTTGAAGCGCATAACGTGGGAGAAGTCAATAAACATAGTGTTGGATTCGTTAGGCCTCATAGCCTCCACTTCCGTCTCGTAGCCGCCATTATCGTCTCTGTAGGTCTTGAGGAACTCCAGAAAAATGTTCTCCACACGCACCGCCTTGTCGTCCACGCAGTATCCGCCGCCGCCATAACTATCCATCGCCTTCGATCCGCAAAACTCTGTCAAGGAACGATGATCGACCACCAGAGATTTCAATATGCACTCGTCCCGCGCTGTCCGATTTCTGAAGCCTAATTAGGTTTAGGGAATTTGGCGGGAAACTCCATCTAATTTCCCGCCAAGGTCGATAGTACTTAATGATCTCATGGGCCGGGCTGGTTCGGGTCGGGTAATGTGGGCTGGGCTCGATTCAGTTTATTCAGTGTTGGGCTGCTATAAAGCAGTAATGCAATAAAGAAATTTCGTAGGGTTTAAATTACAATTTTAGAACTTTATGAGGGTTACATCGTTATCCGCTGGAAGTTTCGGGAGTAATTTGCAACTAAATTGAGAGAACAATTTCACAGTAGCGTACAGCGCACCGGTTTATCTTGCCGGAAAGTTCACCTGATCGGAAGTTAGGTTCTAGGCGTTCTCCGATGAGCGTGTTCGGCGGCGATAGCTGGGCGCGAGAGGCGCAATACCGAAAGAGAAGAGTAGACGACTTGATGATCGAAGGCATTGAAGCTGCTTCTTACAAAAAACTTCCCAGCGGGAAATTCGCTTGCCTGATTTGCCCTAAAAATCCCGTCCTCGACACTCCGATCATGCTAGCGGTAAGAATCGACGCCACATCTTGTAAAATCCGTTTTCTTTTTCAAAGGCTCATATTCAGATTGATATATGGCTTAGTAGAATCATTGACAATCTTCGGATTTAATAATTTGCTTTATTTTATTTTCGTCGCGGAATCGCATCGAATTACTGGTTTTTTTGTTTTTCGATCATTTGCATAGAAAACATTTTGATTGTGCTAGAAACGTAAAGCAAATCAATTTCAGTAGTTGGTTTGTATTCCTTCACAATAGCTGTAGATTCATGGTCTAGCTCAATGAACAGATACTTGCAGCTAAAATTGAAGTTGTTTGATGCTAAAGCGTAAATCTTTATCACAACTACATGATTAAGTTGAATAATTATGAACCTATCATGACCCTGAAGATTTGCATTCCATTAAATTCTTCCAATGGAATTTTGATTTCAGACACACAGACGTGGCTCGAGCCATCGAGCTAATGAGTTGAGGCATAAGGATAGAAAAAATTTCATTCGAGAAGAGGCTAGTAAGAAATTGGCAATGTCGAATTGTGCTGAAACCAATGCTAATTCTAGCTCTAGCAATTCGACTAAAATTCAAAAAACAAACATCAGACCTTTGATTGAGAGAGCTCGGGGGGCTGCTACTGAGGTGATCTCTGGTGCAGTTAGTCGACCAGAGGTGAAATCGGGAGCAAGTAGTCTAGTCTTGCCATGCCGTGGTGATTTTGGATGCAATGGTAATTCGATTGAAGGTGAACCAACAAGTGTGGTGCCGCCATTGGATTGTAGGAAGCATCGGGAGATGGAGCTCAAGTTCACTGCTGCTGGCTGGAAGCGCGACTGCCATGGAAAATGGTTCAAGGATGAAAATGTGAGTTTTTTTAAGTTATACAGTTTCGTTAGTACCAAGTTTTAAATCTAAATTTTCTTCTTGGTGATGACAAAACTCTTGATGAGATAAAAGTGCTTATTAGCAGGATTGATGGTTTATGTTTGTGTAGGTTGAGTTCGACTCCGATGAAGAAGATCCAAACATAGTCTTTAAAAATAACACTTGATTTCATGGATATCCTCGATTCTTTTACACATTCTGATGGCGTTTATAATCAATTCGAGTTCGGTTGATCTTCCGAGTGCCATTAGCGTCCCTAAAGAAATATCATCCCTCTTTATCATTGCCGAGAAAGATACAAATCAATGCAGTGATTTGTTATGGTATGTTATGGTTTCTTTCCAATTTTCGCCTTTAAGAGCTTTCTTTTTTTTTCTTTTTTTTTTTTCTTTTTTTTTTATATGGAAATCCGCAGTCGCTACCCGAAAGTGCGCACTAGGTAAAATCCCGGCTGAACCTAATACCCTGTAAACCTGGCCCGACGAAAAAGTCACACTAGACGAACCATGTATGGTAGGTGACCTGAGGCGTCAGGGTTTAAACCCATTACCTGAGGCGTCGGGGGTTTGAACCCGTGACTCTTGATCGAATGTGTAGGATAGGTGGGAATATTGAAAGAAAGAGAAGGATTCGAGCTAAGATTCAGCCTTTCAGCCGGCTCAGGCGTCGGGGGTTTAATTGAATTTGAGTTTTTAACTTTTGTCCGTCTGGAAGAGTTATATTTATTTTTTATATATTAATCTTTGAATATTAATTCTTATATCAGTACAAATTAAGGAAAAAGAGCAAAAATATTTCTATATAATTAGAGGGTGTTTGGGAAACGGCTTTTTGAAGAGCTTTTAGTTTTAGCTTATTGACTAGTCAAAAAACTAATTCAGGTGTTTGGTAAATTAGCTTTTTGAAAGAATTTTTTTTGGAACTAATTTGTGAAAAACTTATCTACTCAGCTCTTTTGAAAGAGCTTTTTCATTTTGGTTATTCCTTGTTTACATTTAAAACTTAATTATTTATTTTAGACATATAAATATATTTTTATAGCAGTATTTATTAATTATTTTTAATATATTGAATTTATTAAATTATATTTTTATTTTTATTTTTGTAAATTTAAAATAATTACTATTATTAATTATTACATATAAATTATTTTATTTGTAAAATATATAAATGTTTAAAACTAAATCAAATAGAAAAAACAAAAGTTATTAATTTATTTATATATATTAAAACAATAATTAACATAATACGAAAAATTTATTATTTTGTATTTTACACAATTTCAATAAAAAATTATTATTTTTTTAGTAAAAATAATTTTCTCAAATCTAAATAATAAAAATAAAAATAAATAGTTTATAATATTTTTATAATTTTCAATAATTAATAACAAAAATTCTCATAAATTTCAAACTAAAATGAATAAAATTAAATATTTTAAAAAATAAATATCAATGTCCTAAATGGTCATTTTATGTATAAACAACTAATGTCAAACGGCTGTTTTACTGACACTTTAATACAAACAGCTAATTGTCAAACGCACACGACATTTTTATAAAAAATTATACAAATTATATGTTAAGTACAATTACTACAAAATATAAATGTAACTTTTGCAGGCGGAGATAGTATTACATAGTATTTTAACGTAATATTTTACGAGAGAAAATAATGTATTTTTATCGCAACAGAATGAATAGTATTGATTTTGGTTTCAAACCAGAACCAAACGCACACACATGTAAATCTAGTCATCGCAATCACCAATGGTAATAGTCTATGAGCTGACAATACATAATAATAGTTCATACAACACATAAATACAATTAAATCTCTGCAAAGTGTATGTTAACATAGTATATAGTGAGATTACACGACAATAATCTACACAGTACATACTATTTTAATTTCAGTCATATGATACGATGAGAAGTAGTTGCTCATATACCGATTAGAACTAATCAACACTCCGAATACCCCTAGCTGGTTAAGGTTGAATCGAACGCCTGTGATACATTGAAGTAAGTATATAATTAGAGCTGTTATAACAATGTAGCTACCTAACAAGGCCTGGATATATTCATGGTGGTCGTGGTCAAGTTTGGCTTGTAGATAACGTTTCGATGTTTTGATAGCTTTGTCTATTGTCAAAGATGGTGTTCTCCCTAGTGCTTTCCTCACCCTTGTCGTTGAAAGTTGTTCTTGAAAAGATTTTAGTTGTGTTAAATCATGCCGAAATTTCTGAAGTTAATTGGGAATCCGGAAATGGTGATTGCTGTGCTGTGTTTGTCTATTGTTGATGAAAAAGAATCTGGTTTTTTAGTGTTGCCCTTGCCCGTTTGTAACACAGCTGATTTTTCCCATATCTCATCTCTGTCTGGTCTTTGATTTGGCACAGGCAAATATTGGTATTGGTGGTGGTGGTGGATGGTAATCAACGGTCATGATGATGATGTTTTTGTTATGTGGTTACAAAAGCTCGACAAGAAAGATATGGTGGATTTTCGGGGCTTTTTGCACTCTTTCTTATAAATGTACAACTCATTTTCCAATTTTTTTCACATATTATATATATTTTATTGAGATATATAAAAAATAATAAAATAATATTATGACTTTATTATTAATAGGGAAAATTAATTATTATTTGTGTATGTGTTGTTAATTCATTTGATGTATTTGTGTTGTTGGTTTCTAGTTACAAGTGTGTTATATCATAGTACGTTTTGTGTTGTATAAAACTATAGCATGTGTTGTTAGTTCGTGTGTTGTATTTATATTATATAAATGCGTACGGTGTACTAGTTGGAGTAACACCATGTGTTGTCTGATGGATGGTACTGAATTCGCCCCCATTCTTAATAATTTACTAATCTACATTACCTAAAATACCAAATTTTTAACCAAATGTGTCATCTAATTGGAGACAGAATTGAGTATAATACTATACATCTTTTATTTTAATTTGTTCTATAATACTCTATAGGTTAGGCTTGACTTTTTCTTTTTTTCTCTCTTCTATAAAAGATAGTTTTCTTTTTATTAATTTTAATGAATTTATTAAATATAAATTAATTTAATTAAAATTCTAATTTTTTATTTATCTAAAAATAACACTTTTTTATTTATATCTCTCGTTAATAAATAAATATTTATATATATATTTAATTTTTATATAAAACTAGTTTTAAATTAATTATAAATAAATATATATATTTTTATTTGTTGATAGTAGTATTTTATAAATATATTGTTATCTAATATTTATATTATATATATTTTACTCTGCTTCATTTGTATTTTAGGTATTATGTAATTAGTTAATAATTAAAAAATATATTAGTAAAAATAATTATAATTTAATAAAAATAATTATAAATTAATATTAAAATGATTAAATAATTTAAATAAAATAAAAAAAAATTATAAATTATGAATTTTAAAATATGATTAAATTGTATAATTATATTTTTTTTAAAAAATGAAAGGTTTGGGTTATTTTTTCATTTTAATCCTATTTTAAATTTTTAAATTTATTTTTTTAATTATACTAATAGTTATCTTAATTTTAATTTAAAATTATTTTTATTAAATAATAATTATTTTACTCATACATTTTTTATTATTTATTAATTATATTTCTTACAAATTTTTGTGCCTACAATAAAAGGGACATGATATTCGAGACGGAAGGAGTAATATTTATTATTAATAACCTGCTAATTTATATTGTATTATTAATTTTAGTAGATTTATTAATTTTAATAATATTTAACAAATATAAATTATTTTAATTAAATTCCTAACCTCTTATTCTTAGAATTCATTCAAAATTATTTTAATTTACAATTTATTATTAATAACTTACAATGCTATCTAAAATAGAGTGTCCCTGCCTCATTTTTGCTGGAACAGAGAGGGAGATAATATTATTTTAATTTTACGAAACATCACGTTTAATTTATTATTTAAGTTTTTAATATTTATGATTTTTCAAAAATTGACATTATATTTATGCCCGTTTAGATTGACTTCTGCCAGTTGTTTTTGCTTCTACTTCTAAAAAAAATAATTTATATTTGTTTGCATTGACTTAGCTTTTGAGGTTAAGAAGTGTTTTTTAGAAACACGACCAGGATAGCTTCGTAAATATAAACATTTTTTAGCTAAAATTAATGTTTTATCCTTAATAATAATAATAATAATAATAATAATAATAATAATAATAATAATAATATATTATAAAATAATTAATCTATATATTACATTTTTTAAAAATTAAAAAGTATAATTATATTATTATTTTAATTTATATGTTATATTTGAATTAAAATTTAAAATTATAATTGAGATACTATATCATTTTTTAGTTATACTAAAATTAATAAATATATGTTATACAATTTTAAAATAAATTGGAAAATACGATTAATTTAATACTCCTATTAAATTGTAATTTTATTTTTAATTTATATTTTTTTAAATTAAAATTCTAAAATATATTTTTTATACTTTTATTTAACATATGTAAATATAATTAGTAAAATTTAAAAAAAATAAAAAAAAAATTATAGAAAAATATAATTATATTAACCGAATTTTCTTTTAAATAATTTTAACAATTTAAAAATATTTGAAAAGCTACTTTTATAATAGTTCATCCAAATACAAAATCTAATGTTTTTTACTTATACTTATCTTTTATGCCAATCTAGCCTGCTCTTAATCTTACCAAATATCATATCTGATTTATTATCTAAATAAATAAACCATAAAAATATTTATTAATTCTCTCGGTTAAATTTATCCTATTAATCAGTGTGTTTATTTGGGGGTTTGAATTTTAAGTTGGAATTTAAATAATAAAAATTTTGAAATTGAATAATTGTATGATGTGATATAAATGGATGTTGATGTGATGTTTTGAATGTAAAATTTATTTTTAATATAATATAAAAAATAAAAAATAAGTGTTTTATTTGATATTTTTTTAAAAAAAAAATGGATAAAAAGTGGAAATCTAATCCAATTCCCAAACAAACACACATTTAACATTTACACTATGCTCGGTACCAAACGACCTTAGCTGCGTGGGCGAACGAGCAATGCCGTGACTAAAACAAATCAGATATTAATTAAAAAACAGACAAACAAACAGATAATAATTAATACACACTTAATTCAACGGCGTAGCCTCTGAACGTATTAGATATTCCACCCATCACGTGGTGGGCACGTGACTGAATAATTTAACAAGCGTCGAGACCGTTCGCAGACTACAGTGAAGTACGGCGGCAGAAAGAACCACAGACAAGAACGGCCGTACTGTTTAATCAATACAGTGACCAACCGTCGATCGTCGGAAGACCATTCGCCGGCGACGTTGATGCCGAATTACGACCGACGCCGTTCCACGTTTGATTCCACAGTAAGATCAATGTCAAACCGTTGTTTCCCGGCGTGATTGAAGCCATGGGAAGCTGCGCCTCCAAGCCGCCGCCTAAACCTAATCCTTACGTCAGTAGAGATGCTTCCGAATATTTACAGGCCATGCAGCAGCCTGAAACTCCGAACGAGACTCCGCGGAGCCGTTCCTTACCTTCGCCGTCGCCGGCGAAGCATTTGAAGGCGGCGATATTGAGGAGGTATGTTTCGGTGAAGGCTGGTAGGGGTGGAGCGGTGAAGGAGGTTGGGGACGAGATGATGGATTTGGATAGGAGCTTTGAGTTGCCGAACAAGTTCGCAAGCATGTTTGAAGTTGGGGAGGAAATTGGGGGTGGGAATTTCGGGCGTACCTGCTCCGCCATTGCGAAGAAAGGTGAGCTCAAAGGCAGAAAAGTCACCGTCAAGATAATTCCAAAATCCAAGGTCTGTGATGTTCAGGAAAATCAATTAATCTGCTGCTTGATGATAATCGATGCGCAGAAATTGGAGAGAATTCACTTCTTTTATTTCATTTCCATTTTCAAATCCTTGCAGGCGTAACTGTTCCATTCATCTTTACTTTTCTGGTTAATTTCGAATCAGTATGAAATTTGTTGCCCTCGATCACGTAGTTGATTGAATGTCGGTACTTCCTTCCACGCTTATCGTTTTCACGAGCACTTTAGTCTAAACGAACCTCGCTCTCACCCAACCTCTGCATTAATTAGTGCTGAAATGTGTCAAGTCTGTGATCATTAACTGATGTCAATTATGCAGTACGTGTTTCAATTTTGTTGATTGTTCTTCCGGTTAGATATGGACTTTCTTGTTCGATCATGTGGGGTTATGTGGGTTGAAACTTGACAGGGACATGCTTAGCCCGGAAGATCTATGCGTTTCTAAAGCTGTTCAGGTAGTTGTTGGTAATCAAAAACAGTAATAGAAGGTAGATAGACACTAGACAATGATTGAACACTTGATATGTCCTGGATTAGGCATTGAGCTGTGGTAAAATTTCTTGTGGTTTTTACTCATTTGTGTGTTAGAATTTTACTCTGTTGTTAGAGTTTTCCGATTGGAAAAGCTTATGAGGTGAAGTTACTAAAAATAATGTGTATCAGCTATAATAGAAGCTTGTTTATTAGTTTCTTGAATGCTTGGTTGGTTGTTGAAGTAAATACACCATGCCCATTTATGGTGACGGTGATGTTCTGATAAAAAAACGTGATTATAAATTGTATCTTGACTTGGGATATGTGTAGGGCACTGATCCACATTTTCACATAACCTAAATTATTGATTGTGGATGTTGTTTGATTGAATTCAGGTTGTGATCTTGTCATTCTCTATCCAACTTTCAAAGTGGATATATGAATGAAACAACATATTCTTGATTGCAATGTGACTGAATTTGTATAAATGGATGTAAACGAAATAGTGGTCTATAGTTTCTGGTAGACATTAGAATTTCAAAACATTGTTACATTGATCAGGATAAGTTCTGTTGATAATCCTAAGATTTATTGCAGTGAATACCGACTAATCTTGGTCATGCCTAATGGTAACCTAAACTTGAGTGTTTCTTTTCGACCTGGATTGGGTTTGGGAGTTTGGATTTTCTATTTTAAAAATAATTGATATGATATTGTATGAGGGTAAGAACTCTTTTTTTATTTTTTTGGGGAGAATGTAGGGTTCAAATAGTAAAGAATAGGAAAAAAAACTCAAAAGAAACACACCCGGATAGTTGCAAATCCATTGCTTCTTGTGCTTGGTAGGTTTAGAATGCTTCCTATGTTTTGCTCTTGGACTTTCTGTTTTGTAGTTGCTATGTGGAGGTGCATTCCTATGAATACGAGACCTTGCAGTCACACTGATATTAATCTTTAGACAATATTTATTTTTACACTTTATTTAATTTCTGCAAGGGGGCAGAAATAATCACTTGATATGATTTTAAGTTGTTGTCTTTGCTTTTCCTACCTCTTATCATCTGAATCTATTAAGTTTTGACTTGGTGAAGATTCTTCTGTGATGTAAATTTTTACCACCAGATGACAGCTTCTATACCTGTTGAAGGCATCAGAAGAGAGGTTTTAATATTACAATCCTTGACCGGACATCCTAATCTCGCAGAATTTTATGGTGCATTTGAAGATGGTGATAATGTCTATATAGTAATGGAGTAAGCATCTACAAACTGGTCTATAAAATAGAACATCTCTGTCTCTAACATGGGAACCTCCCCCCAAATTCGACCTGCTGTTGAGCATGATCGGTGACTGAGTTGGTTTTTGTTTTAGTTCACTTTCTTGGATAGTTAGCCTTTTCCCCTACATTTGTACAGACTAATAGAAATACTTCGTCAAATGACGTTGCAATTACCATTGCAAACTAACTCTGCTTCATTTGATTTTCCAGGTTGTGTAATGGGGGAGGGCTTCTAGAAAGGATGCTAGCAAGGTGCTTTCCTTACAAATTTTTTTGAGTTTCTTATGCATCTTAGTTTTCTTAACATGATGGCATCGATAATTTTGATTTGGTAGAGGTGGGAGATACGCAGAAGACGATGCGAAAGCTATTATTATTCAAATTTTGAATGCTGTAGCTTTTCTCCATCTCCATGGTTTGGTGCACTCTGATCTTCAACCAGAGGTATCGACATATTTCTGTGCATATGCCGGTTTCTCTTTGGCACGCTGTTACATAAACTGGTTCCTTTTACACATGGAAGATACATAGAGACCATTTCATGTGTAGAACATTGTTTTTCAAACTTTAGTTTTAGGAGCAAACTTTTGGCAACCAAAGATGCAATCTTTACATACTTTCGGCGATGATTTGCTTTTTCGCATTTTTATTTCGCAATTTATTCATCGCGCAGAGCTTTTTATTTAACTCCAAAGACAACGATTCTCAGCTAAAAGCTATAGATTTTGGACTATCAGATTTTGTAAAACCAGGTTAGCTTTCGGCATCTCCTAAATGGTTTGCTTTTATGTTATTGTACTGCCAATCGTGGAGTCTTGTGCAGATATAAACCTTATTGGAAGTGCCTATTACGTCGCACCAGAAGTTGTACATCGATCATATGATACACCAGCTGATTTATGGAGCGTAGGCGTTATAACATATATCCTTTTATGCGGCAGCCAGCCATTTTGGGATCAAACAGAATCCAGTACCTTACGAGCAGCTCTAGAAGGCAATCCAACATTTGAAGAACCTTGGCTTTCCTTAGCTCCAGAATCGAAGGATTTTGTCAGGTGCCTATTGCGCCCGAACCCCAGCCAAAGAATATCGGCTGCGCAAGCTCTATGTGAGTCCTCACCTCGTTCGCCAAATCTACGATGCATACATTTTATATAATCCTAAAATCTTCTGTTTGCAGGTCATCCATGGCTGCAGAAACATGTCAAAATCAAAGTCCCGCTAGATATTCTTATTTTTCGGCACATGAAATCCTACATGCAATCTTCTTATCTGCGTAAGGCTGCTCTAAAGGTGCGTATGCAGCTCGACACATAAGAACATTATACATAAGTATAATTCATGCATTTGCAGATATTTCTTAATAAGTTATATACCTGTTTCATGATTACTCTGGAGCCTTATGTTTTCGATTCTTGCTATCCAATGTAAAATAATCCTCGAGTATCCATCAATTCTTACAGGCATTGTCGAAGACACTGACAGCTGATGAACTCTATTACCTGAAGCAGCAATATGCACAGATGTATCCTGATGAAAGGGGTGGAATAACTTACGAGACGATAAAAATGGTACTCCAGTGACTGATAACGTCGATCGACCATTTAATCTGTTGATTCTGCATTTTTACTGAATCTACTTCAATCTCTCGCAGGGACTTGCGAAAAATGCCCCGGGTGCCCAGAAGCATCACATCGCCGATCTTCTAGAACCTGTACCAATCTTACTGTACTTTGAACCGCATATAGCTAGGTTCTCTGGCCTCGATTCATTACAGTGACCATATCCGTTTCCCTTGCCATGCAGCTAAATGCTCTCCAGTACAGAAGGATGCATTTTGAAGAGTTCTGTGCAGCTGCCCTAAGCGTCTCGCAATTAAAGGCACTCGATAATTGGGGAGATCGCACGCGCCGTGCTAATGACATATTCGAGCAAAACGGAAACAGGGCTATCGCCATCGAAGAACTTGCATCGGTGAGCCATCTTCTGCGTATTGCACGTTCCAGCAAGCTGCTAAATATACTAACCATCCATCCATTTCTCGTTTTCAGGAACTCGGGATCAGTTCTTCGACGACAGTCCACGACGTTCTGCAAGAGTGGGTTCGACAGGGCGACGGAAAGCTGACCTTTCGCGGCTTCGTCAAATTGTTGTCCGGCCAATCCACCAACGCTGTCTACAAAGACAGCAGTCAAGAGTTCAAGAATGGCCAGCTCCGATTACAGAATTCAGGCAACACTGTATTGTACGATAAATCAATGAATCTCGAGGGGGAAATCAGAAACCGAAAAATCATACCTTCAAGAGGCGAATTAACTTCTACTACTGTGAGACGTTCTTCGCAACTGGTCATTGTTCGTTCATCACGCAAGAATTCACCTCAATTCTTATTTTCTAATGCAGATTCAAATGTAATAATGGTGCTTCAGATACCCCAACTACGTTCTTACAGGCTGGAGCATTCGAGGCACGCGAAATTCATTTCAAAACAAGTAAACATAGATAAGTATTTTCGAGCTTTTACTACATTATCTTTCCTTGTTATACAGCTAGGTAGTAGTAAGTAGAAAGGCCCACAAATCTATCTAAAACATAGAACTACCCAACCAACCGAAAACCATTCATTCGAAAATTCACATCAGACATGCAACATTGCAAACCTCAGCCATAATCATCATCATCATCATCATCGCGACGAGAGGCGCTGGTAAAGATCATCGGCCAAACACTGCCTTAAGCTCTCTCCATAATAGTGGCACGACTTCTCATTCTCGAGCACCCGCGCCGGCTGCCCGCTCTCCTCCGGCTCCTTCCAAATCTCCGGCGGCTCCGGCTCCCTCGCCACCTGGCACAGATTATGCAAAACGCAGCAGGCGACGATCGTCTGCGGCGCATGGTTGAGGCCGACGTTCAAGTCCTGCAGGATCTTCCACCTCCCTTTGAGCAGCCCAATGGCCTCGGCCGCGGCCTTCCGGCCCTTCATCAAAGCGTCGTCGAAGGCGTTCTGCACGGGGTTGCCGGACCTATTGTAAGTATAGGGCGTGAGCAGGAAGGACAGCAGCGGGAAGCACCAGTCCCCGACGATGTAGGGGCGGATGGCCTGCCCCCTGACGGGGATGGTGGTGTCCCAGACGACGTCGGCGGTGATCAGCCGGTGGTAGAGCAGGCTGTCGCGGAAATGGGTGGCGTCGTCGAAGCCCCCGGGGGCTTTGACGCAGACGTCCCAGAAGATCTTCTTATGGTCGGCGACGACCTGCAGGAGGAGGGAGGGGTAGCCGTGCTTGGAAATGAAGATCATTCCGGCGTCGGCGCCAGAGGAGGAGGCGGATGATGAGGAGGAGGAAGGGGAGGAGGGTGGGGTGGGGGGGGAGGGGGTTCTGGAGAGCTTGACGGGAGCGGCGTCGATGGCGCCGCAGATGTTGGGGAGGTTGGTGAGCTCGTGGAAGGCCTGGGTGGTGTCGAGGATGCGGCGGCGGGCGACGGGGATTTTGATGAACTCCGGGTAGAGCTTGGTGGCGAGGAGGCGGGTGACCATGTTGGTGATTTTGGAGATGAGGTAAGGGTCGAGGGAGTAGCGGGCGGCGAGGGTTTTGAGGGGGAGGGCGTGGGCGAGGCGGGAGAGGACCATGGCGACGGCGTAGTCGGAGGGGAGGGAGAGCTGGGACTGGGTGATGTAGGGTTTGAGTTTCTCGACGACGGTGGTGAAGACGGGGTAGGAGAGGCCGTAGAGGGACCGCCATTGGGCGTCGCGGAGGGGGGCCTCCATGGTCCAGATGTGTTCGGTGGAGAGGGCGCGGAAGGCGGCGACGGAGAATTCGGAGGAGGGGGGGGAGGGGGGTTTGGAGGGGGGGGGGCGTTTTTTGGGGGGAGCGGGGGGGTGGGAGGCGAGGTAGGAGAGGACGGAGGCGAGGGTGAAGAAGAGGAGGGGGGCGGCGGAGGAGGAGGAGGCGGAGGAGGAGGAGGAGGAGGGGGAGAGGAGGGGGGAGGTGGTGGGGTCGAGGTAGTTGTGGAGGTGGAGGAGGTTGGAGAGCATTAGGAGGAGGGATTGATCCATGGCGGAGGGGAAAATTCGATTTGGGGATTTAGGGTTTGCAGATGGAGATGGAGGTGGAGGTGGAGGTGAAGGTGAAGGGAAATTGATGTGGATGCGCCGCTGAAACGACGCCGTCGCACATGCATTCAGCGTGTGTTCGGCGCTTATACTGGCTGCTACTATATTTTTATGTTTTATTTTTTATTTTATAAAAAATACTTTCTACGGTCTATTTCAATTGCTTTTTATTTTCTATATTTTATTTTTATAAAATTTACTACATTTATAATATAAATAAATTTAATTAATTTTATAATATTACACATCACATAAGAATTAGGATCCCCTCAAAACTTACGTATTTCTATTTCTCTCTTTGATAAGAAAGTTTTTTTTATAAGATTAATTTATTTTAATTATAAATAAATAAATGTATTTTTTTATTTACTTTACATTATTTAAAATTTTATTCGTTACAAAATAATATTCATATTTTATATCACATATTATATATATTTTATTGATATATAATATTTAAATACATATTTTAATTTTATTTTAATTATATATAAATTCTTATTTTAAATCACTGTTATTAACTAGTTAAATCACTTTTAACGTGTGTCCCAAATGAAATGACTCATATGGTAGGAGAAAATATATTTTATTTGTCCATTAAAATTATTATTATTGTTTTGCCTTTATACATAATTTTTTTATAGTGAATATTTATATTTATTTATAATTTATTTATTATTATTATAATAAATTTATTATTATTATTTTATTTATTTATTAATTTTATTTATGGAAACTAAACACTCATATAGATGTGTATTTATATCACATCAAATAATTATAGTAATTTTATTTATTTTTGACCCTATAAAAAGCTTTAACTAAATTCATTTTATTCATATCCACTGAAAGTTTAACCCTCTTCCACCTATACTATAGTATCTTCTTTTCTTTCATCTACATGGATGACACTCCAACTGAATAAATGCCATTTTTGTGGTACATTATTACACCGTGAGCGAGTATAGGACCTTTATGTTGTGTTGGCACATACCATCTACTTTACGAGACTTTTTCCTTAATCATCACAAATTTTCGTCTCACTTCCCAACCTATGTTAGGACTTATAATAGCTCTCTTGTTTTCTCCACATTAGGTGTTCACTATAACTCATCTTCGTGTAATACGATCACAATATATATATATATATATTCCGTATTATGAATACAAGGTTACCCTACTTTGCATGAAACTATAGTTGGAATCTTGATAAATCTCTCCTCTTAAACCCTTATGTAAGTTTCTTCCGACAGTTGTATATTATGTCTCGCCAATTGTACACGATGCCTTGTATCGATAACTATACAATATTTTTCTAAAATCCACAAATCAATTAGATTTCCACAAAGTTAATGATATGCAAGAAGGCTCTACAGGATGTCAAAAAAGTTGATTATTAATCTTTTGCATGATCTACGGTTCAATACCAGATTGATTTAGGACTTAATATTTATTTTTTATAATATTAGAGAGATAGTACAATATGAATATTTAAATCTTATTTAGGAATAAATAAAAATAAAAGAAACAAATATCTAATTTTGAAATGGAAGGGAGTATTTAATATTTATTTATTCAAAAACATTATTATTAACTGAAACTCTAAACAGAAAATCACATGTAAATACCGTTCTCAAAAAATTTAAATGCAAACAAACAACAACATGCACCTTAGTTACGACCACTTTATCTTTTTTCTGGAATGGTTATAGAAATAATATTTTTATTTTCCTTTTAAGTTAAAAAGCATAATATTTTTTGTATTTCTTTTACCATTTGGTAAAAGAAATAACAAAAATAAAGACACTCATATTAAAACTTGACCACATAATTCAATTGACGTAAGTAATTAATATATAGACTCTTTTCTTTTTTTAAGAATAAAAAATACAGCATCAATAAATAACATAAATGTCCTTAGAACTAGATTTATAGGTTAAAACAATGGCAGTTTATTCAATGCAAAATAATTGTAACGTCAACATCTAATCTAATCTAATTATCAACTCCTAACTCTCCCTCTTAAAACATAAATAAATAAAATAAAATAAAAAATAATAATGGTTAGCAGTAAATTAGCACACACTAGCAAGAGGACCTTGTGTATATATATATATTTTATATATATTCCCAAATAATATTCACGAAGAAAGAAAGCATTATAAATAATAATAATAATAATAATAATAACATAGCTGTCCCTCCTAATTATAAGAACTAGATTTATCATAAGAATGACAATTTAATTTAAATGCATAATAATTGCGACATCACCATCTCAGCTAATTTCAATTAAAAAGCATCTGATAATAAAATAAATATATCAATTTCTATAAATAAAAAATAAAAAATCTAAAACTAAAAAAGAATGACTAGAAGCAAATAAAATAAAGCACACACTAGCAAGACCATTCATATGTCAAACTTTCTCAAACAATAGTGATGAAGAAAAATGTATAATAGGGGGAGGGGTTATTGTCTGAAGCCATTTTTAATCCAGCTACAAAATTCTCTTCTTCCACTTTTCTTTTTCTTTTTTTCTTTCTTCTTTTTTTTTTTTATGTATTTTCTTTTTAAAAACACTCTGTCTTCCCATGGACTTTGTGGGATTTGGACACAGTATTAGTATGATAAATAAGTTTGGGTTCTTCAAACTTAAAAAGAGCAGAGTGGAGTAGGGTTTAACTCACAGGCTGCTGTTCGTGCCCGACGCCGTTGGAAGATGCCCCGGCGTAGGGGGCGGCTGCTGCGTATGGATATCCGCTGTAAGCTTGTCGTCCGTAGTACACACCATTCCACTGGCTGTTTGGATCCATTCTCGACTGTGGAACAAAAGCCGGGATTCAGTTAGCAGTATTGACCATTCATTAAGTAACACAAGTTAAAAGTGAAACAAGCTATCATATGATGCAAATATGTACCATCGACTGTTTTGGTATGCTATTTTGGTGAAAGTCAGTCTGTTCATTAGATTAGAAATCAAGTTCGATATTCAATCTCAGATTAAATGCGAGCTCGTCAAATGAGCTCTGGCAAACCAAGTTTTCAAACAGGAAGTCTAAGGAATGTTTTGAGCTTTGAAACAAGAAATACGATATTCTTCTCTATAGCAACACAATGGTAGAAAAATAAAAACCTTTCTGATGCAATATTGAAACTCGGTGCACTTTTAAATAGCAAATAAACGATGTTAAACTCTTCTTACAAGTCTTGACAAGAAACAAACTACAAATTTTGATGCAGTAAAGATCAGGTATAATTTATCCAAGAAACATAGGAAGTTCCACTGATAATATTTTAAATTCAAGTATATATTTGATTTCTTCATCTAGAATAACAAAAATTGTCTAGCATGCAGATGGAATGCCGATCACCTTGTCAATCACATAGATGGAATTAAATTCTAAGAATTATACCTGCTTGTTTCCCATATTTCGACCCCAAGAGAGACGAACTGTCTGCTTTCCGATGACTGTTCCATTTAATCTCTGAAGAGCTTCTTCTGCACTGCTTCTGTTAATGGGAAAAAATGTATATATTTATAACATGGTTTTGTATGTAACTCAAATTCAAAAATACGTGGAGGTAACTCCTTAATACGTTCACAATATGTCATGTAAAGAAAAATTGAAAACCACACCAGCATTACTGACTTATGGTGAGCTCCGGGTGTGTTTCTTTTTCCACTTTTTCCCCATTCACTATTTTCTGTTTTCCCATAAATAACACCACATCCAACAAATTTTAAATACAAAACAATGCATCGACAAATTATTTTCACCCCCCAAAACATCAAAATTATAACTACAACAAAAATAAAAACAAACACACACGCTAATATTCAGAGAATTTATATAAGGTTACAGAAGAACAATTGTTTTAAATTCATATTGTCCCAGCAAATGAATAAAACAGTAAGCCTGCTCTTTCTCACTAAGACAACATAAATACCAACAGAAAGAATTGTCTACTTCAACTGAAATCAATACTAGCAGTGTATTCATTTTCTTACAGTTTTCAGAACCAATTTACTGCCGATTGAAATAACAATGAAGGAGTTCTCAGTATTCAATCAACACCAAGGAAAAGATTCAACAGTTAATTTGCCAGGCTTATCATGAAGTTTCAATAAGTCTATGCAAGAAGTGTAGCAGTAACACACCAATAAAAAACTTTTACCTATCCGCAAATTGTACGAAGCCACATCCCTTTCCAGCCGGAATTTTCACAGATAGAACCTCACCAAAAGGGGTAAAAGTCTGTCTAAGCTCATCATCAGTGACATCAGAGTCAAGTCCACCCACAAAAATCTACATGGAATAAGGGTGATACAGGGATTAGAGAATATCTTAAGATAAAATACTTAATTTTTAAACATGAGGACTCACAGTGGTGTTAGATGAGTCATTCTCAGAATGACCGTGGGGCACTATACCATTTGCAGGTCCACCAGACAGTATAACAGCTGAAACAAGATCGTGGAAATAACAATATGTTGGATTGTGTTAGTAATAGAAACCAAATAAGAAATGCTTAAATGCTATAAGCATTCTTTTTTAACAATCCAGATGTTCTATTATAATGTAGTATTTCATCTAGAGTATCTACTTCAGTTATGACAATCAAATGCATGTCACACATTAGACATTCAAATTTTAGGGAAGTGAAAAGAAAGATTAATACAACATTTATAAAAGCAATCTGCTCAGCTTACAACAAATATGTCAGTTGGAGAACACTGAAAATAATATTTATAGAAAAAAAAAAAAAAAGATTAAGTGTGGCACCTTGTGAAGAATACAGTGAATGTGGCACAGATTTCTTGGGGGTTGCAACACCTAGTCGCATAGGTCTGCTGGAACAGAATGCACCGTTCATTTCAGTCATGGCTCGAGACCTCTCATTTTCATCACCAAACCTGACAAAGCCATAACCTCTAGGGCGTCCGCTGTTTGCATCAACCACTACTTTTGCACTCTTGACAGAGGGATACTTGCAAGAAAATGTATCGTACAACAGGGCATCAGTAACATCTGCAGCCAAATCTCCAACAAATATTGACAAATCAGAGCCATCATCAGGACGCCTATCACCATTGCTAAAGGAAGCCCAATTTAGGCGAAAGGGCTGATCTGTTTCTGGCATTGTGGTGCCATTGTAGTTCTGTAGAGCTTTCTCTGCTGCAGCATGAGAATTGAACTCAACGAACCCATATCTCTCAGATTGCCCAGTCTGCTTGTTGCGTATTATCTTGACTGAAACAACCTATTTGTTTGGACATTAAGTGACTAACATTAAATTGAAAATGGAAATTTGTATAGTCATAGTTACAAATTAATATATATACATATACATATATATATATATGAAAAGACAATTTGTGTTGCATATTGAACTTTGACAAGACAACAAACCATGGCATTGTAAACTTGAACATTAAAAAACACAGACAAAAATACTATCAAATGAGAGAACATCTTCAGTCAAAAAAGAAAAAAGTAAATTGATACAATCTTCCTTAACAATAAGGCCATTAGTACGTTTAAACATGCTGTAAAGTAAGTCTTCTAATAAATATCAATGTTACCTAAAAGTGTGTTATCTATAAAACAAAATTGACAGATATTGTAGCCATGTAAATCTTAATCAATCAAACTAGAAACTCTTTCCACTTACGGACAGCCATAATTGTCCATAGCAACTTCCATGTTAGTATCTATATAAAGAATATCCACAGTAGCCCCACGAAACATAAACAAAGAGGGAAAGTTGCCAAACTAGTAACTTCTGTTTGATTAGTTTTGGTATTAAAGACAACCGTAGAATTTCTAACTTCCATACAACACTCCGACTTTCTTAACAGCATTGACATTTCACTGCATTGATAAACAAAACCATACAATTCACTTAAACAAATTTTCTTCTAAATTCTACATATGCACTACGAATCGAACAAGTAATATATGCATATAATACCAACAATCAATAAATCTCACAACACAAATACAAATTAAGAGAATAATAAACAAGAAACATATCAAATTTTTTAGGGAAACCGAGATATTACCTCGCCAGTTTGAGAAAAGCACGATTGCAGATAACTATCATCCATCCACTGCAGGAGATCTCCAATCCAGATCGTCCTATTATCTTCCCCAGAGCTCTGAATCTGATTGCTATGCTTCAGCGCGTGCGGCTGCGGTTGTTGCTGATACTGCTGCTGCTGCTGCTGATGTAGCTGCGGATGGTGGTAGTACGGCGCGAATTGCTGCCCGTACATCATATGCTGGTGCAACGCCATTGTAGGATACTGCATCGCCAACCATTGGTGCTGGTACTGCTGCATCGCCAGCCACTGCTGCTGCATCTGCTGCTGCTGCTGCTGCTGGCGCTGCTGATTCGACTCTCCGTCGCTCATCTTCTCCCACCAGAAGCGAATAAACTCGCCGGAAATCGAAGATTAGGGTAAACCCGGACGGCGGAGAGCGAAAAACCAACAGACAGCGGTAGGAAAGGAAGAGAGTTTCTGCGAAGTCGGCTGGCGAGATAATAAAGCGTGAGTCGTGACGGATCTAGGGTGGATTCAACTCTACGTGGTGCCATTGTATTTCACGATGTTCAATTTCGTCCGTCCGATGGACACCACGATCCCATCTCAGCCGTCCATTCCACTCCTACACGCGGTTGCGCTAGTGGGCCCCATCCCACTCTAGATCTGACGGTTGGATTTGCGCTGGCAAATTGGTAGTGTTTGTTTCGAAATTTTGGGTATGTTTAATTAATTTTATATTTAAAATATTTTGATTATTTATATTTATATCATATTAAATAATTATATAAATTTAAATTTTTATTACTTAAAAATTTAATTTTAAAAATTATATCTATAAACAGACACAACTGTTTCATTCAAATCTATTTATCGAGATCAGATCAGTGTACTTTTCTGTTATACTCTCTCCATTCCACGTTGCATGTGAAAATAATTTATGATATATTCCCTCCATTCCATGTTGCATGTAAAAATAATTATCCTTAATTATAGACTAATTAATTTAATTAAAATTTAAAAAATTTTAAATTAAAAAATCTAAAATAGATTAACTGTGTAATCATTTATAAAAAAAATGATATAAGATATAAGACGTGAGGTGGACAAAAACGACTAGATGTGGATGGAAGGAGTTTTTTTTTAACACAAATTTTTTATTTTACTAAATAAATAAAAAAAAAATCTACTTAAACTTTATTCACATTAACTCTATTATTTATTTTACCAAAATACTCCTAGGGGTACATAAATAAATCAAATCAACAAATAAAATTTAGTCCCTCCGTCCTACATAATTGGTTTCCATTTTCTATTTTTGTCTGTTCCACGTAATTTATTATTTTATTTTTTTTGAAAAATTGATTATACAATATAATTATATTTTAAAATTTTAATTTTAATTAAACTATTTAGTTATCTCAATCTTAATTTATAATTATTTTTACTAATACACTTCTTAATTACTTTAAAAAAAAAAAAAATGATGCAAATTGGCGAATCTCTCTCTCTCTAACAGTTACTAAATATTGAAAAAAATAAGACCAATAAATAAATAATGAAAACGTGTTATTTTTGATAATTTTTTGGGGCAGTCCAAACACGACCTTGCTGAGGTGGCGAAAAGCCCTGGTCAAAGTGAGGATATATACGCATACCACTTATGGCAACCATGTCCATGTGTGACATTTTTGTGGGGTTTTTTAGTCAATAAAAATTGGTTGATTATTATTGGTTAGGTGCATCAAACCACCAATAATTATATTTATGTCTTTTTATTTAACAAGTAACATAATGCTATTAACATTAACAAGAAATTATATTGGAGGTTTCCATTTATTGCATTTTTGTCTAATTTGTTTTGTCATTTAATAGTCAACAAGAACTTTTTACATTAAACTACTTGTCTGGATTTGGAGGTTGGGATTTTGATTTGGGATTTAAATACTAAAAATTTTGAATTTGAATAGTTGTATGATGTGATATTTTGAATATAAAATTGATTTTTAGTATAATATAAAAAATTAAAAATATGTGTTCGATTTGATATTTTTGGAAAAAAAAAATGGAATGAACAGTGAATTTAAAATCCAATCCCCAAACAAACACACTTGCAAGCTTTCTTGTTTCCAATTTTAGGTTGTATTTATATATTGCTTTCTTCTTTCTATTTTTTTTTTACATGTTTTTCAAAAATATACTCGCTCCGTCCAATTTTTATTATTCTAAAGTATATTTGTACAGTTTTTTAGGTGATTGTTTTTTTTTTTATGAATTGAAAAATTTGTCCTTAATTGTATGGTAGAGATTAAAAGTAATAAATGAATGAAGGATAAAAATGTAAAATTTATATTTAAAAAAAAATAAAACAATAGTTGTTGGATGTCCCAAATAGAAAAGTAGGACATTAGTTTATGAACGGAGAAAATATAATACATTATACATATTCATTATTTTCATATTCCATACACAATTTCCTATACCTCACTTGGTAAAAAAAAAAAATTCTTTCAAAAAATCTCACAAAACAAACACACTATTTTTAAGTTTTAAAGTTTTAAAAAATTATAAAAATATATATATATATATATTTGAGATTTCTTCCATCTCAATCCAAATGATCTTTTAGAATTTTTTAATAAATTAATAATATTATATTCGTCTCGCACTAAGGATCTTATTTATTTTTTTGTGCATTTATCTTCGAATATGAATTATTATATCAAAACGTAATACAAATTAATAAATAATTGCAAAAATAATTTCGTTAGTGTCTTATAATACTAATACTAATAGAATGGCATTTGTAAAAAAAATTATACAAATATAATGATATTTTAAATGTTAAGTACAATGACGTAAAAGGTAAATGTGATCCTTAGAGGCAGACGGATGGAATAGTATTTTATTGGTCAATGAAAGTATAGAAGAGGTTTTGACATTTTTACCATTTAATTTTATGTATAAAATAATTATATATTTGTTTTTATAATGATATATTTATAGTTTAAATAAAAGTCAATGATATTTTAGTATTAGTATATGATTATTTTTTCTAAAATAAGAAAGATACTTTTAAGTGGTAAATGTGATCTTTACGACGGAGGAAGTAGTATTTTATTGGTTAGTGAAAGAGTAGAAAGGTAATAATATATTTGTAATTTAAATAAAAGTATGATTATTTTTTCTAAAATAAAAAAGATACTTTTAAGTAGACAGATGAAAACGGTAAAAAAAAAAAAAAAAAAAAAAAAACTTTATATTCAATTAAAAATATTTATAAATATAAATGTCACATAATTAGGGTTGATTTAACACTATAGTGTGGAAATAATTCAGAATATATTTAGACAACCTTGAACTTACATACAAATAATACATATTTTATATTCAGTTAGCAAGACTTATAAATGGAAACATAATATAAGTTAGCGTTCATTTAGTACTAGATAGTAAAAATAACTTAGAAAATATTTAGACAATCTCATTCTTACATATAAATATCACATAGTTTATATTAATTTATCAGAGTATATAAATACAACCATCATATTATTAATGTTCATTTAGCACTATATTATAAAAATAATTTAAAATTAACTGAATGCAATATTACAAATTACTATTATGGAATCTAAAATATTAAATATATCATATAACTAATCAAAACATGACTATTAGCATTCTAACGGTCGCCGTGACCAATAGAAATAGTAAAACAAGACTATTATTAGTTGTTAGCTGTCTCGAAGAGTTGATTAAGATGAAAAGACTAATTTTGAAAAAAAGTGTATTAGTGAACGTTTGAGAATAATGTTTTTATTCTTTTTTTTTTTTTTTCAATGTGTTCTTTTAAATGGGTGTGTTTGTTTGGGGTTAGATTTTAGTTGAGATTTGAATAGTAAAAATTTTAAATTTGAATAGTTGTATGATGTGATATAAATAGGTGTTGATGTGATGTTTTGAATGTAAAATTAATTTTTAGTATAATATAAAAATGAAAAATAAGTGTTTGATTTGATGTTTTCGGGGGAAAAAAATAGGATGAGTAGTGGATTTAAAATCCAATCCATGAACAAACACACAATCTTCAAGTACTCCTTCCGTCCCAAAAGAAGTGTCTTATTGAGAGTTGACACGGGAATTAAGGAATAATAGTATTTAATTGAAAGTGGTTATAAAGTAGAATGTAAATGACTAAAATGTCCTTCCTTCTGAAAGATTTTAAAGAGTATGTTAAGTAATAATTATGGGTAATATGAAAAAGTAAGAATAATTTTGTTATAAAATGAGACCACGACTACTAAATAAGGAAACAAGACAATTGTTTTGAAACGAACGAAAATGGAAAAACAAGACAAATCTTTTGGGACGGAGAGAGTAATACAATATTGAGAAATAAAAATTTGAATGTGGATTAAAATTATGATTCCATTGCCCATATATCACTAATACAGGTGAGTTAAATATATATATTTGTTTGAAGTTGGGTTAGATAGATATATGTAAATATATTTGTTTAAATTCTATATGTTTATTTCATTTTTTTTTATCGAAATAATCTTTTATGAATTTATTTTGGAATAAATGATATAAAAAATCACTAATTTTATATTTAAACTTTAGTTTATTTAATTATATATATTTTTATTAGATGTCATTGATAAAAAAAAAAAAAAAAATAGGGATGAAAGATATTATGATAAAAGGAAAAACCTTAAAAAGAATAAAGTGGACACCATCAGTGAAATATTATTTTATTTCAAGAAAATTTCATAAAAATAAAGGAAAATCAGATAAAATAACCCCATAAAAGATGCAATAAAAAATAATTTAAGAAAAGTTTCATAAAAAGAACACATAAAACTTGGGAAAAAATAAACTAAAAATAAATACTAATCCGACTCGATTGTTATCGTCTTGGATTTGTGTCAACTCATATATATAATCAAATTGAAATCTTTGACCCAAACTCAATTATTTTGTATCGGGTTCGTGTTGAGTCAGTTTTTGCGGACACTAATTGTAACGAAGTGTAGCAATGAAGGAAGGTTTTTATGTAATACTAAAAAAAATGTTTAATCTTTCCCAATAGAAATGCTGATAGTGAAGCAAACAAACGATCAAGGGACCGTGCTGTGCCCAATCAAGCGTAACTTTTTTCGACACGACGGCGCGACGACTCACTTTCGATCGATCATCCTTGCAGCCTTCGAGAGTGTCGAACAGTCGAAATTACATTCTGAAGACGCCGTATTTAGTAGCCTCGGGTGCACGGTTTGTCGAAGCCGCAGCTAGGCAATGGCCTAGGACTTTCCTCGTGTCTGCAGGGTCAATCACACCGTCGTCCCAAAGCCTTGCTGTCGAGTAATAGGGACTGCCTTCTTGCTCGTATGCCTCGACTACTTCCGCCTTGAATTTATTCTCGTCTTCCTTGCTCCACTGAAGAATGGATTTTATCGTATAGGTAAAATTGTTTATAACCCGAGTTCAAATTACTATTTTCCATGATTTAGAAATGCTATGTTTTCAAAAACATTACTTCATCTGTCCTGATTCAAAGTAATTTTTTTACAATTTTCGTCTGTCCCACTTCAAAGTATTTTTTTATTTTAGAAAAAATAATTATTCACTAATATCAAAACCTCTTAACTTTTACTTGGATTAAACCTATACAATTACTTTACACATATAGTCAAAGGACAAACTCTTCCGTTAACTAATAAAATACTACTTCATCCTGAGTATAAAGTGTTTCTAAAAGACCAAAATGCCTCTACTTTATGCAATTATTGTGAAAAAGTGAAAATAGTTTGGTAAAAAAGTGGACAGGTAGTTACAAAAATGAGACTTTATTTTAGTACGGACAAAAATGACAAAATTGAACTGCTGTTTTGGAACGGAGGGAGTATTATTTTTTAATCTAATATAAAACTCCAAAGGACCCCTTTAATTTGGACGGAGGAGTACATAAAATTCTTTTTCTAAAAAAATTGATGCAATTTTTAGGAAATTCTATCTAATGTTTTCTAAAATACTATGAATTTCGTGCAATTTCTAAATCACGAAGAGCATGATGCAAACTTCCAAAAAGTTGGTTATATGATAAAAAAGAGTGAATCTTTTTGCCTCCTTACCTCGATTCCGGCTTTTTTCTTATTTGCACGTTCGATCTGAGCCAATACGCCAGCAGCCTGAGAACAGAATTAAGTTTTAACACAACAGTAACAGAGTGAGACCCCAAATAAACGTTCGATATGATGCTCAACAAACAAACAAACAAACAAACAAACAATGTGAACTAATTTTCTTACGGCGCAGCATTACATTTTGAACTTGTGCATATCATAAGATGGTTTGTGTTTGCAAGAAAATTTTTATATGGTTTGAAGCACGATATATGGTTAAATCACTAGATATATGCGAACGAAAAAACCTTGCTCGCATATTTGTAAATTCAAGACCGGTGGAGTGTGAATACCTGAGCTCCGCCCATAACGGATATTCTTGCATTGGGCCAAAAGAACATGAAATTGGGGCTGTATGCACGTCCACACATGGCATAGTTCCCGGCTCCGAAGCTTCCACCAACAACCACCGTAATTTTGGGAACCTAAGTTGAAATCTTGCAAGTTGAGTTTGCATTTCTTGCTCATTAGAACAAATAGAGATAAGATAAATCGAAATATGGAACCACAAGAGTAAACCTGCCTTTGCACACGAAACGGCCATAACCATTTTGGCTCCAGCTTTTGCTATGCCGTTAGCCTCAGATTTCGACCCAACCTACAATATTTTAGCAAGATGATTTTCATGAGAAAATAAGCATTTATAGTATCATCTCCGTCTATATGAAATCACTCCACCATTGAAGGTAACAAACAGGAATTGCTCGAATAATGAATAGCATACCATAAATCCAGTGATGTTCTGAAGAAAGATCAAAGGAATGTTACGTTGAGCACAGAGTTCTATAAAATGAGCTCCTTTCAAAGCCGATTCATTGAACAGTATGCCATTGTTCCCAATAATTCCGACAGGCTGTCCGAATATTCTTGCGAAGCCTGTAACAAGCGTCTGTTCATTTGAGGGAAAGAATGATGGTTAGTTGCAAGAGAAGAAGGTAAAACAAAAACCGTAATTTTGGTAAAAGAAAGAAATGGATTATGAATTTGATGGGTATTAGAATGTGCCTACGGTGCCATATAGCTTCTTGAATTCATCGAATTCGCTACCATCAACCACCCGCGCAATAACCGATCGTACATCAAATGACTGCTTGAGGTCCGTTGGCGCAATAGCACGAAGTTCAGCACCATCATACAAAGGCTCCTTGAAATCAGAGGCCGTATAATGCTGTTGGTTCGAATTGGCAGCCATGTGAAGATTCTTTACAATATTTCTTCCTATGGCGAGTGCATGGAGTTCATCTAAGAAGTAAACGACACACACATCAACAGCATCGTCACACCAAATAAGTAGCAACGGTAAATTTTCAGGGTTCATCGGCATATAAACAAGTAACAACAATACAAACAAAAGAATTGAGGTTTTTTACCTTGAGCAAAATAGTCTGAAACACCTGATGTCTTACAATGCACAGATGCCCCTCCCAAGTCTTCCGCAGAAACTTCCTCACCGGTCGCGGCCTACTAAAATTCCAATTAATTACCACTTAAAAATAAAAATAAACTATACGCACTTCACATAAATGAGACCATAGTGCAAAGAAGCCTCTAATCACGACACAAATAAAGAAATTATACACATAGACGATTTTAATGTCAAATGAACCTTAATTCTACATTCTAACAAATAAAACACCCTCAAGAAAATTAAAAAGACAACAAGGTTTTCGGATTTCTGTTTCGACTTACCTTCACAAGGGGAGGTCCGGCGAGAAATATGGTACCGTTTCCTTTAACCATGACACTTTCATCAGCCATAGCAGGAATGTAAGCCCCTCCAGCTGTGCACGAGCCTAGCACAAGAGCAATCTGGGGAATGCCTTCGGAAGACATCACGGACTGATTGTAGAAAATCCTACCGAAATTTTCTCTGTCAGGAAAGACTTCAGCCTGTTTTGGGAGAAATGCGCCTCCACTATCCACAAGATACATACAAGGTAGCCTGCACTGAGCAGCAATCTCTTGCGCCCTGAGATGTTTCTTGACGGTGATGGGATAATATGTTCCACCCTTCACAGTCGGATCATTAGCAACAAACATACAAAGTCGCCCGTGCACTGGACCAATACCAGTAATTATTCCACCAGATGGTAATGGATCATCATATAGTTTATGGGCAGCAAGCTAGATCATGAATACAATAATCAGTTTTAGTCAATATAAAAAGAAAATGTTTATACACAAATCGACTGATATAATTTGTGCTGGATGTCATAAATTAATGCTAATATGTTAGCATAAGTAATTTGTGATATATATTCCATTGATGCAATCCAGTAAATATACCTTTCCTTCATCACTTTATAATACAAATGAATAAGCATAATTGTGTAGCTTTTGCAACTCTACTTGTAACATCTCAAGATTCGACAAACCAATAAGAGGACTAAATCAAAGATGATGTGTTCCTTCACTCTTTAGACATTTAACAACATACTTTTACCAATTTTGTCGATTGAAGCTGAAAAGCTCAGCTCATTAAGGTTTGACATTGCTCATTGAGCATAATAATGAGTCGGGCTCAAGGTCGAAAAGATACTTCAATAATTTTTAATCACATAAGCTTGTCTCAACAAGGTTGTATAAGAGGATAAATTTGTCTATTTTGTTATATATAGTAGTAGATAAGACTCAAATTCAAACCAAAATATTTCTTTTTATGTTGAAATTGAAAATGAAAAACTCAATTTGACTTAATTCGAATAACAACTCTACACAAGTGTGATAAGCTTTACTAAAGATGTATAACAAGCTGGTTTTACAAATTTCGTAAATCAAGTTCAGTTGCAAGTTTGAATTGATGAACATTTTGAATATATTAGCTTTGTAAACTAAATACTCAAAAATCAATTGCATCCTTTGTCCTAACATTTTCTCACCCAATCAAAGCATGTCCTACAAAACAAGAAATCAGCTCCAAATTGATTCAATTAATTAATTTGTTCGATCATAAATTGTTAGCAACAAATGTCATGAATCCCTTGGTTCTATTAATCAACAAAATATTAGTGTTCTTTCAATCAGTCATTAGATATTTTGCAACAGAGGTACAACTGAAACAAGTAAATGTGCACACATTTCTTATTCCTCAGATAAAAAAACCTAACAATGGTCGACATAATTTCATCACCCTAACCTTTTTTCCATCATGTATTGTTAAAAATGAATAGGAGGAAAAACCTGAGAAAGCTCGAGGAATGAAGAACCAGGATCAATTAAACGTTGGATTCTCTCTCTCGGAAGGAGTTTATTTCTACTTTTGTTCCTCTTCACGGCCTCCACTCCTCCCCCCTTCATCACCTATTCCTCCACAAACCTCCAAATTTACACATTCAAATACACGGAAGAAAGTAAATACACATAAACGTCGAATTGCAAATTCACTCTGCACTCGCTATACCTGCTGAATGTGCAAGTTAAGCTGAGAAATCAGGCCTTTCATTGCTTCCGAATTGCGGGAAAATGAGTCAGAGCTCCTATCAAGTGTGTCCGGAAGGACACCATAACACAACAGTCGAATCTGACCAGTAGCCGAGCATTTCTGCATCTGCCCGGAAATTGATCTGCCTGAAGCCGATGAGGAAACTCTTGCAGCCAAGCTCCGCAGCATTTCTTTTTAACCTATTTATAGTTACCATCAAGCACACAAGAAACCTAATAATAATAATGTTTACTATATGAAGAAGCATTTTAACCTATATCATGATGTTTCGACATGTTTATATTTTGTCATTTGAAGTAGACTTTAGCTTTCTATCTGATCTTCCATGTCTAGTTAATATATTGATTCAAATTATTTGATTATGTATATATATAAAGTCACAAAGATAGCTTCAATCACACAAAAATGTACAAGATTAGAACTGATGGAGTAAGCACCTAAACCAATTTCAACAAAAGAAACATAAAATGAAAACACCATTCCATAAAAGAATTCACAGAGCCAACAAAAAATTAAACTAATAGACTTCAACCCTTCGAATCAATCAAAAATCAACATAATTAGTTGCAGCTAACATTAACCAATTCAAAACCCTAAACACAATTGTAGTCGAAACTGAAAATTTTATAGCAGCAAATAACTGAAAACTAGTGTAAGAATTGAACTTACAAAGCCCTCAGACAAATCTGTTGATGTAGAAAACGATGAGACGACGACGACAACAAAATTGCCCCGTCTTGGAGGACGACGGAGAAGAAAAATACTGGAGAAGAAGAAGATTACGGTAGGAAAGAAAGAGAATTTGGGAAGTCACAGAGACAATGAAGAAGACGAGAGACGGGTCTGGTTTGGATTGGATTCCCAAACATATATAACAGTGGCTACGACATAATTCAGATAAAATATAATTATTAAATAATTAAAAATATATTATTAATAATTATTATTATATAATAAAAAATTATAAATTAAAATTAAAATAACTAAATAATTTAATTAAAAAAAATTATAAATTATGAATTTAAAATATAATTAATTTGTTTAATTATTTTAAAAAATAAAATGATAAATAATGTAATACGGGAAGCATAAAGAAGAAAGATTATGTAGGAAAAAAAAGTATTGCCTCTGTCAATTTATATATTTGTCTGTCTCGTAATAATAAAATATTTATTTTAGTTGTAAATATATTATCTATTTAACATTACAAATATCATTCAAATTTATAATATATTAAACAGATATTATTAATTTTATATCATACAATACTTGATTTAGTCATTTTACATTTATTTCTATTACATCTTAATATAATATTAATATTTTAAAATTTTGTATAAAAAGTAAATTGATAGATAAATATGGAACATAAGAAATATATTTTTTTATTACAAAAAAAGAATATTTATTATTATAAAATTTTCACATTTATTACACGAGAATTTAATATAAATATAATTAGTAATATATTATTAAAAATAATTATCATATAATATAATAAATTATAAATTAAGATTAAATATCATTAAAATTAAAATATTAAAAATAAAATTAAAGTATGTAATTATTTTTAAAAAAACAAAGTGACATGAAATATGCAACGAATAAAAAATGCAATATAGACACAATAGGCGGGACAAAGACAATGTTTAATAAATTTGTCTTTTTTTTTAAGTAAATTTCTTTTTTTTTTTCATTTTTATTGTATTATTTATATAAAAAAATAAATATTAATATTATAAAGTCTACATAAAAAATAAATAAAAGTAAATTGTGTAATACTCCGTCTGTCCCACATACTATGTCCACGTAGCGTTTTTGTCCGTCTCACATGTCATGTCACTTTCTTTTTTAAAAAATGATTACACATTTTAATCTCATTTTAAACTTTTTAATTTTATTTTTTTTAAAATTTTAATTAAATTAATTAGTTATATTAATTTTAATTTATAATTATTTATATTATAAAATAATTATTTTCACTATTATATTTTAATTATCTACTAATTACACTATTTCTAAAATACTTATTTGGACGGAGTTAGTATCTATTTTTATTATTATTATTTTAAAGTTCTTGGGTATGCGCTGTAGTTCATATCCATCCATATTATCTTTCGACTATTTTATTTAAATATAATAAATATACTGACTGTACCTATGCATACAAAATTGCTGTAGGTCTTATCCGTATATTTTTTAATTAAAAAAAAACAATTTATACTAATTATTTTAGTTAATAACACATAATTAATACAATTAATAAAAATATTTAATAATAAATAATTATTATTTCATCACGGTAAATAAAGAAAATAAAACAATAAATTAAAATTGGAGCAAATTTATTTGTTCCCTAAAATTTTATAACTCAACATCTGAACTAAAAATATCTGAACCGTTGTTGATGGAGTTATATTTCAAAATATTGGTGAAATAAATAAATAATAAATTAAATATATTTTTAATATAAATGTATTATTACAATTATTATACAAATCATATTAATTAACATTTTATGGGTGCATTTGGTTGGATAATTTTGTCTAGACTTTACTATTTAGTATTTACTATTTTTCTTAAAAATATTAAATCAAATTTTTGTTCAACATTTTTTATATTGTTATATAATTATTTAAATTTAATTTTTTTACTATTTAAAATTTAAACCCCAACCAATCAAACATAGTATTTGATAAAGATAAATAGTGGCAAACAAATAAAAAAATATACTCTCTCCGTCCCAGAACAAGGGTGACGTTTGTTTTTTTATATCCCTATTAGTATTGTGTAATATAAAAGTAATGACATTTGTGTAATATAGTGTAAGTTGGAAGGGTATTTATTATGTTAAATAGGTAGTACAATTACTAAATTAAGAAATGATAACCTTGTTTTGGGACAAACGAAAATAAAAAATTGCAACATTTCAATAGAAAATGTGTTCGTGAGTCCAAGAACATGACTCAAGAAGGCCCAAATGCATCTTGTTTCTCATGGGGTGTGATAATGCCTAAGTTAGAACTCTTTAGGTCATGTGTGACCGAATTGGGTTATCAATTTTATGTGTTTTATTTTTCTACTTACAAAGTTTACATGTTGTTTGATCGTCTCATGAACTGTCTGTGTAAATTTGCTTACGCATGTGTTTCTGTTGTTTGATCAATATTATTGTTATTTGCTTATTGTGAGATATTTAATCGAATTTGGAACCAATAAGAGTATTTCTAAATTATTAATCTGTACATTATATATAAGAATAAATAATAATTAATTTTCTATTATATTTCTTTAGGTTAAATTTTCTATTTTTACCAAATAGAATAATTTAATTCTAATTTTCTAGACTTGTTCCTTCTTTCTCATTCTATTTTCTAATTTTCAGCATCATTTTGCTATATTTTTATTCTCTATACCAAGCGCATTTAAAATAAAATATGTCATGTACAAATTATTGAATGATTTCCATTTATTTCAAATTTGATACTATTCATTAATAATTTTATTTTTCTTTTAAAAAAATATCATTTTAATTTTTTTGTGTTACAAAACATAACATCAAATATTGAATCTTTTACCATGATCAAAATTTCAAAAATCTTAAACATTCCAACATTTTCTACCTCATGAAACTATTATTTTAACAATACATTCTTAAATATTATGCGAAGCTATGAGATTGAATGTTCATTAATTTCAATCAAATATCATCCTCAAGAGTTAGATTATTACAGTTGATATTAGAGTCAATCCGTGATAATCCATAGTCATTGACCATATTGTGTAAAGGCCTGACGGTTGACGGATCTCTAGGGTGCAAGATGCACGTTGCATTTTTAAATGGGAAAGAATGTAATACTGTCGGAATTCATGAGTAGAGTTAAGTAGAATTTAAATAGATTATTAAACTACCCATGTCAACTATCTATATATTCTTTTTGAAAGTCCATTTGAAAATTTTCTAAAATTAAGCAAGTATGCTCTAGAAAAATTTCAGTACAAGTGATCTTCTGAAAAGTTTTTCAAAATGCATTCAAGATTTGTGTTGACCTATAGAGTCAATCTATTATCCAGATCCACTGTAAAAGTTATCAACAATTTCAGTATTGACAAACCCGTAAGGAATGACATTGTGGTGTTATATATATACCCACTAATAATAGTTGGCCTAAAATAAATGAATTATTGACTCCATTCATGCAAAGTTTGATGGGTTATAACGTAGAAAATTGTGTCAAGAATATAAAATATATTATTTTAAATTAAATATTTAATTTTTAAATTTTTTGTAATAAATATTTAAAATTTTTTCTCTCTTTTATTTTTTTTTTGACTTAATTAAATTTGACTTTAAATTAGTTAGATTAGCATAATATAAAAATAGCCAGCAGATAACATGTTGATATAAATATAAATATAAAGTCTAATATATTATAGACAAAATTGCTTATTACTACGTACTTGTACTTTGGAAAGTTTATAATACTTTATTTAAAAATTATGCAATAATTTTTTTGTATTTTAAAAATATTACAGAAAATTTCCAAAAACATCTAACTTCAATGAATCGAAAAAGATAGTTGTTATTTGAATACTTCGAATAGTTGGATTCTATGCAATATTTAAAAAATATAAAAACATATGATACAATTTTAAAATATGAGGAAAATAATACAAAATTATTAAGTAATAGCTAAATTATAATTTAATATGCCTTTAATATAGTTATAAATAAGCTCCAACTTTCTTTAGTAATGTTTGTATAAACATCATAAACCCTTCTTTGCATCAAAAATAGTAATTACTAATTGAGATTAGTTTTAGATTTCATTTTAATAATAAAAAATATTAATAAATAAATATTAATTAATGGGATTAGCTAAGTTAAGGTCACAGTTCCAAAAAAAATAGAAAAAAGAAAAAAAAGGAAAAAAAAAAAACTTAATCAGTCAAGCTTGAAATTTAAATAAATGGTGACAATTACACTGCTAAAATTATTTAGAACAAAAATTATTGATAGTCATCACATAAAATATAAATAAAAAAATATATATATAAGGAAAAATGTTAGTATATTATAAGTGCAAAATATGAACCGATATTAATATTAGTGTATGTTCGGTTTGTAAAACAATTTGAAAGAATATATATATTTTTACATAAGATATAAAAAATTAAATAATTAATATAAAAATAATAAATATATAAAATATTAATTTATTTGGAGAAATACATTAGTTTAATGTACTTCATACCTATAAAATAATAAAATATGACTAGCAAGACATTGTAACAATTTATACCTTATGTAAAAGTTTATACCGAGTGTCAGGTTCTTATTTATTTTTTGCGTGTTAATATTTGAATATTAATTATTATATCAAAATATAGTATAATTTAAAAAATGATTACAAAAATACTTCATATGTCTTGTAATAGTATAAAAAAATTATACAAATACAAAGATAGCGAGAGGATATATTAAATTGATAACTTTAAAAGTATATAAATATATTTATTTATTTATTACAAAAATAAAAATAAAATACCTTTAAATAAATCCTATATGATATAATATTTGAAGAAAACAATTAAGAATATAATGTCAACTAAGTTGAAATGCTAACCAAATAAAATATATAGCATGAAGAAATAAAATATAAAAATAATACTCCCTTCGTCCCACATACCTAATCTGTAGACACGGTATTTTAGAAATGATATAATTAGCAGGTAATTAACAATCTATTAGTGAAAATAATTATTCTATAATATAAATAATTATAAATTAAGATTAAGATAACTAATTAGTTTAATTAAAATTTTAAAAAAATAAAATTAAAAATTTTAAAATAAATTAAAATGTATAATTATTTTCCAAAAAAAGAAAATGACATGGTATGTGAGACGGACAGAAACGGCAACGTGGAGTAGGACGGAGGGAGTATTTTATATTGAATATTAATTTTTGTTTTTACATATATATTATGCTTCATCTCCTTTAATAATCTATCTATTTTAATTATATGATATTTTTTTTATTATCTACTTATTATTACAAATACCATTTTAATTTATAATATATTACATAAATATTGATAGTTTTATATCATATAATATTAATAATAGGGTTAGTTTAATTTTTTTCTTTATATTTTTATTTGCAAAACGTATGGATAGATAGATATGAGAATAATTAGAAATTCCGATAAAAAAAAAAAATTGAAAATTTGTCTAATTTTGATTTAAATTAAAATTTCTTAATGTAAATATCATTTTAATATAAAATAAGATAATTTATTTTTATTGAAAATATTACTTCTTTTGTTTAAATCACGACAATAAATACCCTTCCATTGTCGCTCTCCCGAAACGGCGTTCACGTTTTTTCTACACCAAAATGACTTCACATTCCAAACAAATCGCCGTCGACATGTCGCCGTTCTTCCGGCTATTCTCTGACGGCACAATCGAGCGTCTTCCCCCACCGGAAACCGTCCCCGCCTCCGACGATCCTAATTCCGCCGTCCGGTCGAAGGACGTCGTCATCGATGAAAAAACCGGCGTCTCCGTCCGCATATACGCGCCGCGCCGCGGCGATCCGCCGCAGAAGCTCCCCGTAGTGGTCTACATCCACGGCGGCGCGTTCTGCATCGGATCGACTTCCACGCCTGTCTTCCACAGCTTCATCGCCGGCGTCGTCGAGCGAGCGAACGTTATCGCCGTCTCAATCGATTACCGTTTGGCGCCGGAGACTCCCCTACCGGCGGCGTACGACGATTCCTGGACCGCGTTCCAGTGGATCGCAGCTCACGCCGCCGGAAAAGGCTCCGATCCGTGGCTCAACGACCGCGCCGACTTCCAGCGGTTGTTCCTCGGCGGCGAGAGCGCCGGAGCGAACATCGCTCACGACGTCGCGCTCAGAGCCTCCGACTCCTCCGCCGGCGGCGGCGTCGAGTTAATCGGAGTTTTCCTAGTGCATCCTTTCTTCGGCGGCAAAGTGGAGGACAAACTGTACAAATTCCTCTGCCCTAACAGCACCGCTCGCGACGACGATCCGCGGCTGAATCCCGCGGCGGATCCTCGAATCGGAAAATTGCGTGCGCGTAGGGTGATGTTCTTCGTGGCGGAGGAGGATTTCCTGGCGGCGAACGCCGCAAATTACTGCGAGCGGTTGAAGAAAAGCGAATGGCGCGGAGAGGCAGAGATAATGGAGACGAAGGGGGAAGGACACTGTTTCTATCTGTTCAACCCTAACGGCGAAAAGGCGGTCGCCGTAACGGCGCGTTTGGTTGCATTTCTGAAAACTCCTTAGCTTAAGCCGCGTTTGGATGCACTAATTTTTATCACCTTTTTTCTGCTCCACCGGTAAGTACGGCCGTCTCTTTCTCTCTTTTATTTTTTTCTTTTCATAAGTTGTTGAATTACGAATGAATAAATGATCAAAACTATAAATTAATATTAATAAAATATTTGCAATTGTGGGTATGTTTTGTTTAAAACTTTTATTCGAGATACGTTGCATGACAAAATATATAAATATTATTATTATTATAATATATATTTTTATTTATGACGTGAAACCTGCAACTGGTAAACAAAAATAGTAGAAGATAATATTGAAATAAAAAGAGAAAAAAAATAAAATTATTGGATTTGAGTTGTTGCTATGAATGGTTGGGGATTCTTGCATATATATATATATATATATCGTTTATTTCTTGCAACTTCCCACTACTTCCTTTCTTCCATCATGTGTGGGTGTTTCTCGATCCACAATTTCACAATTCTTCAATCAATAATGGATATTTCTTGATCTGATTTTTTAGGTTATATGTTGCTTGGGCTTTGGGCTCTCTGGCGCTGGTTTTGGACTGGACTTGCATTAGAAATTTCATTTTGTTGGATATAAATGTTTCTCGTAAAAATATTTGGGCAAAATTTTTTGCATGAAATGTCGAATTTGAAGTCTAATAAATTTGTAAGAGATTTTGGGCGGTACTTTGGCCCAGCTCACATGACACTCCCCGTTCCGGCAGCTTTTTTATTTTTGAATTTAGCGGGAAGTTGATAGGGATCATCTTAGGATAAGATTCGTCCCTTAGGAAGTACAATTGGCTCAAAACATCTCAACTTTCTTGGCAAAAATTTGCATCGATCTTGAAGTCATATATTCATACTATACGGCTCGCTCTAAGTCTCAATCATTGACTATAATTTCGAGACTGGCCTCTAAAGTTCTATCATCATCAAGAGCCTTAATCGTAGATTCTAGTTCTGGAGCTGAAGCTATCAGGTCCTCTGAAAAAGGTCATTGTTTTGGGGCAGCTTCGATGTCTGGAATTACCCTCTTTAGCCTCCATTCTTGACGCGTTTGAAGCTGGAATCGTAAATTATTTTTGTCTAGCATCTTTTTACCCAAGTCTGTTTGCGTGTGGCATGTCCAGAACTATCCATCATGTTGCCCCAGCGCTCCTTGTCCGGACTTTGATGCTCGGCGGTGACGCTGTCTCCTCCGCCTTTGCCCATAATAAATTTTAATAAATCTAATAATAATAATGAGCATTAAAATATTTACGAATTCTAAAGGCAAGGAAAATATAATTAATTTAGAAAATTTTTGTTATAATTTAATTTTAGAATGATAACTAGATTGAATCATTGTTGAGAAAAATAAAAAATAAAATCTAAATTTAATTGTAATATATTTAATAATAGTAAGATAAAATTAAAAAATATAAGCTTTTTTTAAGCAGAGGTCCCGAGCAATTCCTCACGCTGCTTTTTAGAGCCGACTTTGGCTCTTCCATCAGTCGATTGTAGTACATTTTTTTAAATTTTCTTATCCTTTAGGAATTTATGAATAAATTGAAATAACTTAGATCTCTTGCTTATGCGTTGTTTTAATTTATTTGTGGCACTTGATTTTCTTGTGGTAGATAATCCGTCATCTTTTTTTTTTCTTTTTCTTTTAAGTTGTTTAAATATCTACCATTGTAATCAACAATCAATTAATTGTTTTGGTTTTTTTGCACTTAATTACTTCTCTGTATTCCTTATGGACTGATTTATTTTTATTGTTGTTTTTACTTTGAAATTCTATTATTTTGTAATGGCTTAAGTTTTAAATTGATGAATGTTTTATAATTGGTAGTGTTGTAATTTTTATCAAAAGTACTAGATTTCATTTGGTATTAGAATTGTAAAGTTTGTTAGTAAAATCAACATATCTGGCTCTATTTTTTGTTACGGTGATATCAGAGCACAAGTTCATTGTGTTTTCTTTACAAAATTTGTAGTTTCAACTTTGTTTATGTAAAAATTTGTTTACATCTCTAAGTTATTAATTCAATACTTAGAGGATTTGGTTAAATCGAGTTGATTTCATGTGCTAGATTCTTTTACTTTGGTCTATTGCTGAGTTCGGCTCTAAGCGCTCTATTTTGTGCCTATATACACATGATAGAGTGTTTTTTGTGTTCTCTATACTCAATTACTATTATATTAGTGTAATTTGGTTGAGTTTGAATCTTATTTGTTTGATTCGGTACAAGATTATTTCTATTTTGGTGAAATTGATTTTTTTAGCTTTGTTTTTGTTGAAACAACCTTAAAATCTTTTTAATTATTCGTGTTTTTAACGAATCTAAGTTGTTTTGCTTTGAATCTATAAAAGAGCGGTTTTAGATCTTTATAAATTTATTAAAATTCATCTGATCATCTATGAATCTACCTTTTTCTTTATAGATCGGTTAAAACCATAGTTGTTTTTTATTATAAATTGTTTGACTCGAAGGATTTCATACAAGAAATGCTGGTTTTGTATTCCTTTATGAGTGTAATATTTCTCTTCAAAATGTTTAATATTTTTTTTTTTGCAAACTCCGCTTCTATCAAAGAGGCCGAAAACTAATATATTCTACTTATGTTCTCTGTATTTTGTTTAAGTGTTGGCTATCCTCGTAAGAAAACAATATATTGTTATGTTTTCTCTGGGCTTGTTTTGTAAGAAAAAATATTCATTGTGTTTCAAGAGTATAGTTCTTAAACATAATTTTGCATTCTTTGCACTTTAGCTTGCTGTTTTAATTTTTGCATCTTACTTTGTGTTAATCATCTAATCTTGTAAAGAATGTTGTGAAAACTTAATATTAAAACGATAGTTGGTTCTTACACCTTAAATGTAGGTGAATCCTTTGGGTTGAATAATCGTCGAATATATGTTGTAATAGCTGGTATTATTTTTGTGGTTATTGCCTTGAAAATCTCAAAAGGACATGACATGCTTTGAGCATGCAAATCAAATTTCAAATATTATTCCATCAAGTACAAAATTATTTGTATGAACTAAACAGTTTGGACCTATATAGTATAATCATCTCACTGAGTATTTAACCAAAGAATGTTACAATAATGATCCGATATATTCATGTGTTTTTGTAAATAAAAAAAGAAGTCAAAATTTATGATCATTGTATTATATGTTGATAATTTTAATATTTTTGGAATTTCTGAAGAATTTCAATCAGTTATGGAATATTTTTTTTTTTAAAAAAAAAGAATTTGAAACTAAAGACTTTAGAAATACAAAGATATGCTTTGATCTGAAAATTGAATACATGTATAATAAAATATTTATCTACCAAATTGGTTTTATATCGATTTTATAGAATTTATTTTTTAAAAATCATATAAATCAATAAATAAATTCAATTCAACTCTACATAGAGTCTATAAATTTTTAAAATCTACGTCAAATCCACAATAAATATTTTAAAATCCAACAAAGAAATTTAAAGTTCTAATTGAATAAACATTCAAAGGAACACACAAAACAACTTATAAAAAAATTGAAATCGACTCCTATATAATACACCTAAATATAAAATATAAGTATTCAATGTGATATATATATATATTATTTGAAATAAATAGTTACAGAAATCAAAGTGAACAAAATAATAAAATTGAAATTATTTTGTATTTGTAATTTTTGTTCCAAAATTTGAATTTCATAATAAAAAATATATATATCTGACCTAATACCTATTTTATGTTTGAAATTTTCTTTCATCGCAACTAAAATATAATTTTTACTATTTTCTTCTATTCCATTAAAAAGTATAAGATTCATATTATAGTAAAAGCAAACACATATTAATTACAAAAAAAATATATAAATTACAAATATATGATTACACATATACTTCAAGTAAAAATGACAAAAATATTTAAATTATCTTACAATTATACTAATTAATAAAATACAATTTTTATAATTTTAATCTCATCGAACAATATTAATAAAAACAGCATTTTGTTCTTTTGATATATATATATACACATTTGTATTTTTTATTTTTATATTTTATATAAAAAATAAATATTGAAGATAATATTTTTTAAGCATATTAAATATAAAAATATATATACTCTCGAAATACATTAACAAATCATTTGATTTGTTTAAAGTAGTGTGATAAATTAATTAATAAAGTAATTTGATTGAAATTAATTAGGTTAAATATTGCGGGTGTTTCTTTTAATGTTTGTTTTATTGTTATTTTTAAATAATTTTTTGTTATGATTTTAATAATAATAAAAAAAACAATAATATAGCCTTTTATTTAAAAAAAAAATGAAAAAAATTGTAAAACTACATATCACATGCACAAATTGCTATTAATAAAATTAATAGCCACCAGTGTACTTAATACCTACCACCACGTAGGTTTGCACTTTCTCAATAGGTCTCGGCCAACCTATTCCGTACATCGCTTAATTTTATTAATAAATTTAGAGCGCGGGGTATTATTATTATTATTATTATTTAAATACAAGGCTTTGCTTTTTATAATTTATTTTTATAATAAATTAAATATTATTTTATTTTAATTTTCCTATTTTAATTTTTATTTACAAAAATCAAATCAAATATATATTTTTTATTTATTACTCCATCCATCCCACTACTATGTCCATATTGCCGTTTCTGTTAGTCCCAAGTCTCAGTCACTTTCCTTTTTTTTTAAAAAAATAATTACACATTTTAATATCATTTAAAATTTTTTAATTTAATTTTTTTTAATTTTAATTAAACTAATTAATTATTTTAATCTTAATCTATAATAATAATTTATATTATGGGTTAATTATTTTCACTAGTAAATTCTTAATTATCTACTAATTATACTTATCCTAAATTCTCGTGTCTACGGTAACCAAGACTTTCAACGTGAGACAGAGGGAGTAATAAACAATATTTCAATTCAAAATTTTACTATTTAAAATCCGAAACAAAAACCTTATAAACAAATACACTCGTTATTTTTTTACTATTATAAACATTCTTTTAGTATACAATTCCTATTACTATTTTTTATAAAAATATATTTTATTTTTTAACAAAATGTCCAATCACTATTTTCATATAAAACATAAATGCAAAATATAGACAAAGATATTAATCAAATACATTATAAATATTTAATTTAATATTTAATAAATATATATATATATATATATTTGTTCATTCTGTCCATAAAATTTATGCTCAATTAAATTGGATATGAGTATTCATAGTTATAGTATTATATTAGTTAATTGTGATATAAAAAAAATAAAATAAAATAAAATTGTATATAAATATTTTAATGAGATGGGAGAAATTTTCTGATAAATAAAAATTATAAATTATTATGACATCTTTATTAAAAATATATATTGAAGAATCTAAATTAAATAATACTATGTATGACTTTTTTAGTATAGCCCCCTCAAATTGTCTAGCGGGTTGAACCGGGTCAAGCCTAGACCGGCCCTATTTATTATAATATGGTCTAAAAGTAGGTTCGGTAGAAAAAAATTGAAGTTTAGATTTTGTCACGATTTTAACATGAGTCACATTCCAGCTCATTAATTACAAATACCATAATTATATACTCCCTCCGTCCACCGTCAATCTATTCATTTTGTCATTTTAGTCTATCCATCACAAATGTATCTATTTCTTTTTT